AAAGTGGCGTAAAACTAAACTCACTGATAAGCATTCACTATTCCTTGTGTGTTGAAAAACATAAAATATCCCTTAGCATTGAGAAGCGTCATAAGATCAGCTTTGGGCATTAATGTGTATCAAAAGATATTCATGTCTGTGTAAGTCCACATTATATGACAGGCCTAAGCTTGTAATACCACCCAGTGGTTCAAGCACATTACAATTCCTTATAATACAGAGCCAATGGCACATATAATATGATAGTTCCATGGCAGAACCAATTTCTTGTTCCCTCCATGTGTCCTGAGGAAATATGCACAGTTTTTTTCATGACATAGGGTAACGGTGTTTCATGTGGGGTTACATCAAGGATGTCTATTGAATATCTTGAACAGAATGAAATTGTGGAGGGAAGCTTACTTCTACAGTTTATAATGACACTTGATGCAGCAGTGCATGCTTGGGTACATTGATTACTTCCCGGTGACTACTTAGTAATTAAACACAACCAGTTTCTCTACTAAGTGTCCTGTGCCAGCTTGATGGTGTATGAGCCTTGTATCAACCCTGAGGCAGCTTGTAGGTCAACAGTTGACTCCGTGCAATGAGAATGGTGACAGTATTGGTGTTACTGGTGGGCAATTACATTCGCACAAGCTATCAGTAATCAAATTCTCTGTACAAAGGTATAGGTGAACTGCGTATCTGCGTAAATTACACAAATATTTATGTGAAAACCCAGTTCCTATTAAATCTATTGCGTGCAAGAACGCGACAATTTTTGATCTTGCATGCATACACACACAAACATGTCAAATCTTAGCTTGCGTACCGTTGGATGGATAAAATAACTGAGGTATGTTGAGAGGTTCTATTTCAACACATGAACTTAGCAACTTGCAGTCTTTCTTATCATTTCTCATATTACAGATCAAAATATAGATAACAAACACAAAAAACAGCATTTAAATTTTATTATATTTTTACAATTAATGGAAAATGGCAAGTACCCAATTGAGTTTGAGTGAGGTGGGTACAATTTATTTGGTTACTCAAAGGAAAATTAGGATACCCAGTTGAGATGAACACAAGCGAGTACATAACTCAATGACCCAAAAGGTTATCTGTAGCTCTGTCTGAATGTTTTTTGTTTCAGTTCAAATGATGAAATGTTTGGTTTGTTGTTTAACGAACTCAGCAATATTCCAGCTATATGACAGTGGTCTGTAAATACTCGAGTCTGGATGTGAAATGAATATCAGTGTTTGAGAAAGTCTGCACCTTTCACCAGACCAAAGCCATAGTCTAGTTAAATTCTGTTCGGAATGCTATTACACAGATGATAATAATCCAATATAACAGCAATAAATTCTACTGAAAATTTGGCTAAAAGCCATGGTCAGGCTAGTAGACTAGTCTCATTAAATTTTGGCACAGACTGTAAGGTCCATTTTCAAAAGTAGGTATAAGTCTGAGCAGGAAAGAAACTTTGAAAATCCAGATGAATAATAATTGCCTTGATAGTCAGATTTCGTCTCAGACAGACATGATAAGGTCTGAGGATTCTATCCTTGTATATGTTTTTTGAATAGGTTACACAGATATGAAAGTAAGTAGATACTGTTTTCCATGTGACCTCTTGATATGTAGGGGTGGTGGGGTAGCCAAGTGGTTAAAGCGTTCGCTTGTCACTCCGAAGGCCCGGGGTTCGATTCCCCACATGGGCACAATGTGTTAAGCCCATTTCTGGTGTCCCCCGCCGTGATATTGCTGGAATATTGCTAAAAGCGGCGTAAAACTAAACTCAGTCAGTCAGTCTTGATATGGAGGAGTGGTGGGGTAGCCAAGTGATTAAAGCGTTCGCTTGTCAAGCCAAAGACCCGGGTTCTATTCCCCACATGCAGTGTTCACGAATGGTGTTTCAAAGTCACAGGACATTGGGTCCTGTAAGTTTCAGATGTCTGTCTGACCCATTGAAAATGCACAGGACCCATGGAATAAAATTATACACACATTTCAGATTTAATATTTCTTATAATTGACATTGAAATTATTAACAAACATAAGATTTATAAACAGCAAACAAGTGTCACATGTCACATATAACAACTTCAGTCAAAGTCATTGTGAAATATACAGTCAGACATTGGGGCCGGCAGGTGGTAGACTTCTGTCTGACCGTTGGCGAATCTGCCGGATTTGTCAGAGGGTCAGACGCTATTCGTGAACACTGCACATGGGTACAATGTGTGTCGCCCATTTCTGGTGTTCCCCCGACATAATATTGCTGGAATATTGCTAAAGGCAGCGTAAAACTAAACTCCCTCACTCACTCTTAATGTGAAAACAGTTTAAATCTTCTTCTTTTTTTTTTATAAAGTTTCATGACGGTGCTTTAAAAGAAATATGATATGAATGTGAGCAATTTTGATGATCAAGAGAACAAGAAATTTAATTAAGGAGGAGTAACCAATACTTCTGTATGTGCAGACATTATGATCAAGATAATGGCAGTCTGTTAGCTGTATGTTAGTATATGAGACACACATTAGCCTTTGAAAGCTGGATCAGTTCATCTCTCACTGGTGGTGATGGGGTTTTTAACCTTTGTCTTTTCATGCTGAAGGCGGAGATTGGATTACTTGCTTTTGTTGTTGGAGAAACCCAACAGCTTTTAAGTACCACTTCCTTGTAGAGTTCTGTGTCAGAAGCATCATCATACAGTGGCTTGTGTTCTCATGTGGCTTTGTCTCATTGTACATTGTGTAGGCGAAGGTCATTCTCAGTGTTTTAACTACTGGAACCTGTCCGTAGGATTTAATTGGGTGGTGGTGTAACCCAGTTGTTAATGCGTCTGCTCGCCACGCTGAAGACCTAGGTTCAATTCCCCACATGGGTACAATGTGTGAAGCCCATTTCTGGCGTTCCCCGCCATGATATTGCTGGTATATTGCTAAAAGTGGCGTAAAACTAAATTCACTCACTCACTCAGTATTATTTAGCTCATCAAGGCTTGTACATCAAAGCTTGTTCATCCACCGTGATGATTCTGAAGCTATTTCAGTATTGATATTTTGTTCGACAAAAAGCTACGACCAAACAGGAATTTGGTCACATTCCAGCTTGTAAATGATGACACAGAAACAGCAGAACTCTTCACTGACACTGTTCCTTGAGAAATGCATCGTCTGGATCTCCTTTGCTGTCTTTCTTGTACACCTGCAATAACCCCTGGATCCATTCCTGTGGTTCTTGCAATCCCAAATTACCTGCCCTTGATTTCCTTTTTGCCAGTTTGATTGGCTATGCTACAGCATTGAACAGACCAATCAGAGAGTATGTTACAGACCAGCCTTGGAAGTCAATACTGAAAAAATGACATGCAAAGGTAATCTCTCAAAGGTCTTTTTAATGGAAAGGTAGTCTTCATACCCATTAAAGTTGATGTTGGCTTTTGGTTTTAGGCAATACAAATTACCTCCTTTGCACTTCCCATGCGCCAACACAAAATGTGAATAAAACAAGGATGAGTATTTTGTGATAGTAAGAAGTGCAAGAATAGATCCACAGCTCAGGTTTGTGGAAAAGCTTTCCTTCGGGAGCAATGCGATCTTCAATGTTATGATTTAACCCAAATACTTATGTAGTATTATTGCTGAATAGATGGAATTATCTCAAAATCGTCCACTATTTTCAAAGGAGTGAGTGAGTGAGTTTAGTTTTACGCCGCACTCAGCAATATTCCGGCTATATGGCGGCGGTCTGTAAATAATCGAGTCTGGACCAGACAGTCCAGTGATCAACAGCATGAGCATCGATCTGCGCAATTGGGAACCGATGACATGTGTCAACCAAGTCAGCGAAACTGACCACCCAATCCCGTTAGTCGCCTCTTACGACAAGATAGTCGCCTTTTTATGGCAAGCACATGGGTTGCTGAAGACCTATTCTACCCCGGATCTTCACGGGTCATTTTCAAAGGAAAGTGCAGGCCACTGACAAAGAGTTTCTGCTGCCTATGGATGGGACGTCAGTCATTCCTGTATGCCATTATAGCTAAAATACATACTAAAATAAAGAAACATGACGTCTGGCTACTGGAATGGCTCTGGCGATGCAGTGAGCACCTCACAAGTCTGCTGATGATAATATATTGGGGGTTGATGTCCCCTGCATAAATTCAGGAGACATAGTAGCAGCTTAGATGAGTTGGCACACAGCATATTGCAGATGGACGTAAAGCAAACACTAAGTGCAGGGTTTGGGCTGTAGTCTCAGACTCTGTCCAGCCCTGCAGGTACATGATTTATTCACTGTCAGTCTTGTTTCAAATACTCCCAAATCAGTGTCCATCGAACTCCTACGATTCATTCATGATGCGGGTTTGGTTTATTAAGTGAGTGGTTTAATGTTTTAGCAATAATCAAGCAGTATGGTGTGTAACTCTAGAAATGGGTTGTACACTTTGCACCCACATGGGTAATCGAACCTGCGCCTTTGGTGGAACAAGCAAACACTTCAACCACGAGGCTACCCACCTTCCTGGTTTGGTTTATATAGAGGACCGCCTCCATGATGTAGTGGATGAAGCATGTGTCCAGAGAGGGAAGCATCCGGGTGTGATCTCCAGGATTTGTCATGTCCAACAATATTAAAGATGGTACTTGTGACACTGCTGATGTTGGGCGTTGTGGGGTTACAAGGAAGACAGGCTCCCAGGGAGTCGGTATGATGTGTGTGAATTGGTTATACATGTTACATGGCGGAAGTATCCCTGTCAGCTAGTACTTGAGAAACAGAATACGTCAGGAATGGTATACAATCTCCACTACCACGACACACCACACATCACACATCACATCACATCACATCACATCACATCACATCACATCACATCACATCACAACACAACACACCACAACACACCACTTGACACACAGCAAGATGCAGTTACCGTCAGTGTGCTTGTGTTTTCATCTTGAAGATGCAATGCTACCATCAATATGATTTTGTTCCAGGCCTGAGCAAGTCAAGGGCATCATCAGTGGGGGACTTGGGGGACATTGAGGCCGGGGATCGAGTCATTGTTGCTGGACAGAGGAAAGGCACAGTCAGATTTGCTGGAGACACCAAATTTGCCCCAGGTATTTTATAGTTGAGGAATGTACAAGACCGAACACTGTTGTGAGTCTATAACAGCTATTGATCATGTCATATTGAGTCTCTCCTGACATTTACAAGTTCCCAAGGCAGTAGGTTACATTATGTACTTGTAGGCTTTTGTACTGACAACAATTCCATCAGTTTTTCTAAATTCACCACTTTGCCTTTACATGTCTGTTCCATTGCTTTTGACAGTCTTGTCGGTCCAGTTAAAAGGATTCCAAACCACCAGTTTGAAGCCTGTTTTAGTCTCATAAAGTATCAAACTTAGGGAAACTGACAACCATGACTCATTGGCATTGAGAGTTATCAGTTCAACAGTAATCTGATCTGTATGTGAACTCTCTGCTGTCTCTGTCTACAGGTGTGTGGTATGGGATTGAGTTGGACAAGCCGGCAGGCAAGAACGATGGCTGTGTTAACGGAGTCCGCTATTTCACCTGCAAGCCCAAGTTCGGTGTGTTTGCCCCGCTGTCAAGGATACAAAAGTAAGAGTCTGAAATCTGATGATGTAATGTAATAACACATTAAAGGAAAATTACGAAAAACAAATTACCCACCAAAATGAACTTTTCTCTGAAGTATGTATGGATATTAGTGGTGGTCCGATTAATTGAAATACTCGAAGATTGGTCGCAGTGACCAAACGACCAAGCAATCGATCACATTTTCTCATAATCGAACACAAACAATTTTGGAACTACTGTTTTAGTGTTTGAAACACTTGACAATGGAACATATCATAGAAGTTGTCAGTGCCCGGAAACATGTTTAATTCTTAGTAAACTCACTTCACTTACTGAAGTCATGACTGAATATTTCTTAAAGACTCCATAAAGTTTATGTTAATGATATATTAGTCATCACCTTAAAGTTGCATCATTTTGCATTGGATGTGACATTTGCAAATGCATTATGCAAGTTTCTAACTAAAAACAAAACGAAAGAAAAATACCAAAGAAAAAAAAAAACCTAGACAAAAAAACCCAAAACAACAACAAAAACCCCAACAACAGACAACCATGTTATGCTTATCTGCAAGGTCAACTTGAATAGGAATATCTGAAAAATGACGCTAATCAATTCTTTTCGATGATCGGTCGGTCGTTGGTAGTAAACCAATCATCAATTGTGAGATTTCATCCAATTCCCAACACTAATTGATATTATCTTGTAAAGTGGAAGAAAGGACCAGTTTGTCTAGATTGTTTGACTCATTGCCTTGTACAGACGTTTGTGGTGTGTTCCAGACTTGGTGATCGCCGGTTTGACTCGGATGAGTCCCTGGACACCATCAGCTGGGGAGCAGTGTCCGAGAGGCTGGACAGGAAGATGACCGGTGAGGAATCACTTTGATTTCGATTTGAATTGTTTCATCTACAGGAGTGTTGTGTAGCATATCATTAGGATCTAATTCTTGTTGTGTTGAAACAGTGAAACTCAGTATCTGTGAATACTAATTATATATAACTCATCAGTGGAAGATTAGGTATGACTTTTGGGCTTTAGTTATGAGTATGTCCACTAACTGAGAACCATGTATTGTATTTCCAGCACCTACTGTAGCTAGTCTGCTGAATTCCACACCGGTTAAATCCTCGCCGAAAACGTAAGTTTACATCCTGTAGTGACGTAGAAAAGGTTCCAAGCAAAAGAAGCTGAACTATTCTTCCTGTCTTGATAGCATTCAGGAAATCCACCTCTCAAGTTTACAGGTTTTACATGATGTTCACTTATTTATTGAACAATAAATTGAAAAGACAAAAAATTTAGGTTTGAAGTTTCATTGGATCATCAATGTATAGGAACACATATTTTCACATGATTCCCCACAATTGTGCAATTTTGAAGTTTTTATAACCATTGCCTTGCTATGTGTACAGTTGACAACATATCTGAAGCCCAAGGCTGTATGTGAGCTGTGTTTGTGTTGCAGGCCCGAGGTCCAGTATGAATATCCTGCGTACCCCTGGGTCCAGTTCCAACCTGAAGCTAGAGCCGGGCATCAGTGTCCTGTGTAACAATGAGATGGGTTAGTAACTGTTTCCAGCCTGGTGTTATACCTGGCCTCCTACTTGGTGTTGAAGCTGTACTCGTATCTGGCCTTGAGACCTGACTTGTACCTGATCTTGTACCTGGCCTTGTACCTCTACCTGATTCTTTTGGACATGTCTTGACCATGTTAATTTGTCAGTTACCAGTGATCAGAGAACTGTCAAATTAAATATGTAAGTACTGCCAATCCTTTTTGAAAAATACATCAATATTCGATTTCATTGAACATGAATAACCTGAAATCTCCATTTCAGGTGTTGTGCGGTACGTGGGGCCGACAGACTTCGGTGAGGGGGTGTGGCTGGGCGTGGAACTGCGGACAGCCAAGGGGAAGAACGACGGCAGTGTACGGGGAAAGAGATACTTTACATGTAAACCCGACCATGGGCTTATTGTGAGGCCAAGCAAGGTGTTTGTACGAGGAATAAACGGAGCAAAACTAATGACTGACAGCCATTCTCCACCAGATCTGACAAAGCACAATGGTGATCATCGAGTAATTGGGGACAATCGCATGAACGGAGAAACTAGCCATCACAGTCATTAGGAGATGGATAGGACTGGATATGGAATACTGGCTACAACAAGTTTATCTGCAGCAAAGTCCCAAGAATTCATCAGGTGGCTTGATACATCTAAATACTGCATATGTACACTTTCAATATGGCTGCTCTGTTTCTGTGAAGCGCAGACAGAAAGTTCAGTTTTTAGCTGAACTTTTCTGAGTTTTCATGAATCCGGTGTCTGCTTTTACGCTAAAATTCTAAGGGAGCAGTGCAGAATATTTAAGCAGGATTTAAAAAATGTATAAAAATCCCACACAGCTTAAACCCATCTCAAAATGTCTGACTGTGAAACTGTCTGCAAGCACACCCTGACTCATTTGTATTACTGACAGCTCCCTACAGCACACATCTAGTGAATCCTATTTCCCTGTGATTTGTATAGCTGTGATGCAGTAGAGCTTTCAAGTACCTGGTATCCCAAGCTGACAGTTGTATAACTTGAGGCATTGACACAATGAAGATGCTGTTAAGGATCTGACTTGAACTTGGAACCTGAAAATTGGGATTTAGCCTGCTTAAAATGTGCAAATCAGTACCCCTAAATAATGCAATTTACATAGGACTTATCTTCTTCTTATCCTCTCTTAGCAATGTACTCATGACCTTGTGGGAAGGTTTTGACTCATTTTTCAAGTGAACAATATCTCTGAGAGTAATGCCTTCAAAAACCATCATCTGGTGCCGATGACTTTAAGACACTTTATCGTGTTTATACAGGGTATGAGTTGATGACACAAGTGTGGTCACTCATCAGCTGTTTGTATTCTCCACAACGTCCGATCAGTGTCTGATCACAACGACCTGCCACAAACTCCACCATGCATTCCGTCTGTGTGAACCACAATATCATGTCCCTAGAGGTGCTGTTTTACATAACCACACAGTGTGTCCACATTCTCTCATTGAAGATCGTACTGTGTCAGTATCAGCGGAGCTATCACTGATTACTCTGTGTATTAAATCTCCAGTTTATCATGGTAACACCATATGCCTTTCACCAGCGTAGAGCCATTCACTATCATAGTGTTGTTACCAGCTCAACTTCTCAGTTACAAACTTAAAACATAACTATTTTGACTCATAACTATATAACTAATAATAACTATATTACAACCACTTAAAGCTATACTCACTTGGAACTGTACTCGGCTGGAATTCCAGATGGGAACTGGTCCAAAGTAACTTCTGCTTGTTCTGAAAGACTACGGATACGGAATGGGTGGTAAGGCTAGATGACTGCATACAGTGTGTCATTCCACCCAAACAGTGTGTGAAGTTGCCCATCATGTCAATCACTGGATTGTCTGGTCCAGAATCGGTTATTTACATGCAGCTGTTGTAGCTGCAATACTGCTGAATGTAGCTTTAAACAACATTCGTTCAATGTTGTAAATTAGAGGTATTTTGTTTCCACGTAACCAGTCAGTTTCCTGCTTCCTTGGGATTGTCTGGCTGGTAATTGTGTGACCATTTGAACAGTAATGTAATGATCTGATACTGCGTAACTTCATCTTGGCTTAGATTGAAGTCTTTACACGGCATTTAGAAGTGAAACACATAAAGGCAAGAATATAATGAATGTCAGCGTCTTTGTTTTGAGGAATCGGTAGATGAAGGTGTAAGAATATACTTTGAAACGTCGTGTTGCTCAAAATATAGAAGCTGACATCCATAACATTCTTGCCTTTAGCTTATAATAGACTGCACATTGTATGTGTGATGGAAGGCAGTGTCCAGTGCTCAGCCTTGTTTTGTCCCAAGTCAAAATGTACCCACTGAACAATTTTCATCAGACATTACCATTCTTCTGTCTTTGTATCCAACAGCATCTGGTGGTATCTCACCTGGACCCCATGTTAACGAACTCCAGTTGGCCCTGGTCATGTGTACTAAATTCAAGTGGTCCTGATCGAGTGTACTGAATTCAAGTGGTCCTGATCGAGTGTATTGAATTCAAGTGGCCCTGATCGAGTGTACTGTATTCAAGTGGCCCTGATTGAGTGTACTGTATTCAGTAGGCTTTGAGGATGAGTCCCGAATTCAGTAGTGGAGCTGATCATGTGAACTCAGCTGGCCCTGATAATGTGTACCTAATCCAGTTTGCCCTGATCATGCCAAAGAATGCCTTGAATATATATAGTAATGATTTCTCATTTCGGTACCTGTTCTTTATTATAAAAATTGTGTGTCACAATTCCTCTAAAACAATGTATGACAGATAAATGGTTAGGGTTGTGAATAACAAACACAATTTGGAGAAGAGAAAATACACCAGATGACAGTTACATGTTGTTAAACAGTGATCGTATTTGTGATGCTCCTGATGTCACAGATATGCAGAGTCACATTTTCTGTTTACAGAAACTTGTAGAGTATCTTTTTCCTTTCTAGAATAAATAGCAAGGAATGACTGATCCTTGAGCCAAATTCAAATTGGCTCATATCAAAGCATTTGAGGGGCATTTTGCAGTATATCTTATCAACACAGAATATATTTAAAAAAACAGTTGCAATGCATCTATTTCTGTAGATGTGCAGCAATTCACTTGATCAAGACTTTGTATTTAACACATAAGTGAAATGATTTATCTTGCTTCTACAGTGTATATATATTACACCTTTAATGATTAGGTGTACATTTGCATCTCACCACGATAGAACTGAAATATTGTTTGTCAATGTGGGCTTCAGTCCAAAACTGGCATTATGATTCTACCGAGCAGGACAGGCCTGAGGTTATAGTGTATGTGATATATTAAAGTCTTATTTTTCATCCTTCTCTTTTAATATAAATTACCAGTTATTGCCAATGAGACACATTTTGGCATATTTTGCTAACATTTTTAACAACCATTTTAAGATATTTCATTGTAATGTAACCATGTATGTTTGAATATAAAACATATTTAAATATATATTTTTAAAATATCAGAGCAAATTTTATTGTACTGTTACTGTATATACTTTATAAGATCCTGTATACAAATTACAGGACATTAGTTTAACTGTTGAAGAAAAGGTGTAATGGATATATCTCCCACTATGAGAGAACCTCGGTAGTCTGGATCCTGTTGTTTCCAACCATTTAGATTAATACAGCTCTGGACATGTTTATGTACAGGAGTGAAATTATTCTGTACTTAAACATTATTTTGGATATTCCGTAGGGATGATTTCAACAAAAGTTCCACTTTCTGAATTATCAAGATTTCACTGTCCTTCAAGAGCTTGTGCCCTTGTCGATTGTTTGTATTAATGAGCTTAATATTTCAGCCTGCATGTATTATGTTTAATTTGTTTATGGACGTATGTGTCTCACTGGTATAGTCACAATAACAATCAGAACATTCTGTACAAGTGTTTCACTTCAGTTTTCGTTGTTTAATCGAGTCCACAGACTTTACCCCCTTCGTCTTGCTTTTGACTGATGTTATCAGTGCCATAAGTTGATATTGTCGCTGAAGTGGGTATTAATAAACTTAAGTTTAGATTAATAAGTTCTGTGTCTGACAGGCTCTGACATTGTCTATACCGCTCAAAAGAAGTTAAAGAACACTTATTTCCTTTATATGACTTTTGAACACTTGTATTTTTCTTAAATATTGTATGGATAATCAGGTTTCTGGATATCTGAAACCTTTGGTTGGTTTTATAGTTTTAGGGCGACGTGTCTGAAACCTTTGTTAATATTCTACCAAGGCATTCTGCCCAAAGGTTTTAATTGAATAGTTAAGGTTAGCTTTAGGATTTTTTTTCTAGGCTATACAGTATAGTTGTACAAACAAGTTGAGTGTTCTTTACCTGGACTAAAGTCCATTTTTTGGGGAATGATATCAAAGAGATTATTTCCTACACAAAATGATGTAGTTTTTTACTTTAATTATTCTTTATTCTGAGTAATGTTGTTAAACAATTTACACTTCTTATGTTAATGTAATGTAATGTAAATGAAGATGCTGTGATGCAAGGCTATTACTGAAATAATATCCACTTCAGCATTAAATCTCACTCACAAAGATGGTATAAATAATGGGGAAAAGTATTTTATTTCACCAAGGATCTCAATGCAATTTGATATGTATTTGTTCACCAATGTTTTGCTGTCCCGATTTGTTCACATAAGCTTCATGTGTGCATCTAGTATTTTATTGTAGCTCTGGCATCTTTTTGTTTGTATGTTGTGTTTCATGTGTTTTGTTTGAGGTAAACCCCTAAATGTTGTAATCATCTTCATCCTGGTCCCAAGTCCCAATACCCTGCCAACACACACACACACACGTTGAGGGGGCCTTGTAAGGTTGCGTCAACGACCATGCAATGTCTCCATGATGTGAGATAGCACTGCAGTAGATGCCTGAGATGTCACCCATAAAACACTGGCAGAACTATCATGATATTTTGAACCAAATATCACAAATGCAACATTGCCAATAATTTAAACTAGATATTGGATTTACTACAACCAAATAATCAATTGTTTCAGCTTCTGATTGGGAAGGTTTAAAGATTTGATGAAATACACCGGACATTAGTACTCATCAAACAATGCATATAAGGATTACCGTTTTTGAGAAATTAGATTTTAGACCTCAGTTGTTCCCGATACTCTCACTGGGTTTTGATTTCATAATCCTCTTCAAAAGACACGTATGCTCAAATGTTTTGCCATATTGGCTCATAGACCATCTGGTCATAAAAGTGCATTTTCTAACATGACATTCTGTATTAAACTGTTACAGTGACATGTGCACTGGACTACACATAATATGAATCCAAGTCACTACGTATTTATTAGATTTTCATCCCAACAGGAGGTACTTTGACACTTTATTCTGTTATTTAACATTTTGATCACCAGTTAGCATAAGTCGATATAGAGGTACAGATGCTTTTCGGTTGCTCAATACGTTTTATAAAGAGATTGTTTGGAGCAGATGGTATTGAAAAATATTCATTACTACTGGTTTCAGTACATAAGAATAATCACCAATGTCTGGTGGCGAATCTCTTCTGTGGCCGGAGATCATATCCCAATTGTTTGATGAATTATTTACAAGGTAACAGCTGCAACTGTAGGAATCGTTTTTTCTAATCCATCACAGATGTAGAAGTAGGGTAAAAGTACTTCTATTATATTTTCAGATTTTTCACTCCCTGGGGAAAGTGTTTATGACAGGTAACACCTGATTGTTATGGTAACCCACATCAACTTGCAGCGGGGCTGATGAAGGATGAAAGTCTAATAAATAATTTACCATGGCCTAATTGTTTAGTCGCTGAGGTGTTTCATATATACTGATGCAAATAAGTAAAGGAACAGATAGCAAGAAACGGTATAGATAACACAACATAGAATTCTCTCATTTTTTGTTAACATACAGGATGTCAACAGTTCTTGCTACATGTTCCCTTATTTTTTTTGACAACAGTATACATGGACAATTAATTGACTTGGTGGCAGAACTACAGAACATGCAACATAGAAACATGAGCATAATTTTGTTTACAGCACAGTTTTTAAACCATGGGCATCTTGTGCATCATTTTGTTTAACTTGTCATGTGGGCTCTTGGGGTTTATTTCAGAAGTGAAGAGTTTATTTGATCTGAATCAAACGGCTCAAGAAGCTTTCTATCACTTCTCGTATTTAATTCTTATTTCAGCTTTAAACTTATGTTATGAGGTAACACTGTCAGAATCAAACGATCAGCCTGCACTAATTTATCAAAAAAGACTTAGTTTTATGTCCGTTTTTTTCTAAATCCTGTTTACCTTGTGAATGTAGATTGCCCGTCCCCACTGTGATAATGTGACAGTCTTGCCCTCTGTATACAACTGTCCATTCTGTCTAATAAAGTGCCTTACAACTACCTGCCACTTTGTTTCATTTTCCCTTCACATATATGCCACTCTTAACAATATCACGGCAGGTACACCAGAAATGGGCTTCACACATTGTACCCATGTAGGAAATCGAAACCAGGTCTTTGGTGTGACAAGTGAACCTATGACCACTAGGCTACCCCACCGCCCCACTTTATGTACAGAACTGTGACAGAAGGTCAACGTAATCGAACAACAATATTGTGGTACTGTTTATTGTACAAAGTATGTATACAAAACGTCCTTGACCAACATCAGGAGGTGGGATGATAGATGTACTTCTAAAGAAAACATGCTAAACCTTCACATATTTTCTTTCTGTGATTTTGGTCAAAATTCTTTTGATTAAGGAATCATCAAGCTCCTACACATCACATCTCAGTCTTCAGATCTGTGTATAACAAAGAATGCATTCATCATACCAAAAGGGTACTGAATATTCTCATTCAAAACACTACATAGCAAAAGTATGTAGAACTGGTCCACAGGGAAACAACAGCACTAGACGTACATGCTAAACAAGTGCCCTGATTAACAGTGAGACAGTCGACACAGGAACAATGGCTACAACTACACGGCTTTGGGGGCTTCAACAGCAACCTCCATATTTACCCACAGGTTAGACAATACTTCAAAAGAATCTAAGGAGCAGCCATTTTTTAACATGTCTTATTTGGGATTCCACTTTTCAGTAAATTACTATTTGGGATTCTACTTTTGGGTCCCATCCTGGATTTCCAACCCACATGGATGTGATGCAACTCAAAAGACATACTAGACCTTATATCGTATTGATAAAGTGCAGGGTATGAAACTCCCAAAATTTTCAGCCAGACCACAGGGCTGGTTAGATGTAAAACCTGCCAGCCCTGACCAAACCTTACCTGCCCACAAGATATCTTCATATACATGTCTAAACTTTAACCCCAGAACGTCGGGCAGGTGAATTCGAGAGATGTGGCAGACTGTTTTAAAAATAACCCATACCGGGTGGTCGGGCAAGCAGGTATTTTCGAACGCTGTAAAGTGTAATCCCAAATACAACATATGTCACATTTGACAACTGTCCAATGGTATTGTGTCTATTTACACCCCTTCTTATCATATAACTATAGCTAATCTGTTATAGCACGACATATTAGCTATAGTAACATGACAGGTAACAGGTGGTCCTCAACTTCTTTTGAATGTTATACATAATGATCAATTTTCACTCATAAATGAACATTATCCAAATTCATGATAAACATGATAGAACATCTTCCACTACCATGATGATTTAGTTGTGAAGCAGGGTACCAATAATACATGGACAATTAAGTTATTATTTACAAAATGTTATATATACATTTGACTTATTGCAAAGAAAGACTAGCATGTATTATGCAATGGTAAAAATTTGGTCTCATTGCTATACTTCAGTTAAGAATTAAACATATGTATTTCATAGTTTTGAACAATCTCCATGGTCTATCAAACTTGTGTTTATTGAATACTGGCTTTGATAGCAGCTATATCCCTTGGGTTTGATTAACTTTCAGTTTAAATATAATTAGTTAATGTAGAAATTCATATGGTATTATCACAGGTAAAGTGTCTTCTTTAAGTGGAATATATTAGCATAGGTCTGTCTGTCATGGCTTGACAATATTACAATGTGACGTGACATCAGAAAAAACCATTCAACACCTACAAATCACCTCTAGACAGAATGTTTCATCAAGGGACATTTTATACACTGGAGAGACATTTCATGATGATCGTAAGCACACAGGCAAATGTGGTCCAGTGGAAACAGTACTCTGGTATAGAGAAATCAGTTTTAGTCGAATTACAGGAGTGAAAACTAGGGTTTCCTTCAAAATATTCAAATATGTATTGAATGTTCTAGATTTGCATCTGGAGATAATACATTTGATAGGTATTACTTGGTAAACATTCTTAGATTACCGAGACACCTGCAACAAGCAATGCAATAAAAGTATTGCAAGTGAAGGCAACAGTGAGACTATAATGTCAACAGTATTGCACATTTCCTTTCCTAGCAATCAACAGAACTGGCTGATCCAGATAGAGGGGGCTTTCTATTTCACCACACAGCTATTGAAAGCTCAACCAACCTGACACCAAGAGCCGTCTTTATGGTACTGAAACAGATTCATCAGCAACCCTACAATCATTGTCTATTTGAGCCAACACACTGAAGCAATGAATCCAGAATCTGAAACACTTGCAACCCAAAAAGGCAACATATTCAAACTGTGAACCACTTTTCACCTCAGACATCCTGTATCCGGCTCTGGTAAGCATGTTGTGACAGAATGTCAGGTCGGCAATTATGCAATGTACACCCCTTCTTATGGCTGGGGGGGATTAGATGGTTCCAGTTCAAGCAGAAACATACACTCCATTCTGCAGAAGGTAACAACAGACTGGTTTGGCTTAGCAATGACACCAATGACTAGTTCCTGTGTAAGCGAGGAGGATCAACCACATCCCTGTCCTACTCCAGCTCCTATCATCTGAGGCGATGTGTTGTGGCGTTCATACACTGAAAGTTGTAATGTCTGCAGAGTCAATGTGGATAGCAAGCTGGCCCCATCTGCTGAGGATATCTTGGTGATATCAGTTCAAATTATACAAGTCCTGTTGAGACAGAAGTCCATAGTCTATCTATCATTCCATGGTTGAGGATTTCGACTTGATCTATACGTAAAAACATGGCCAGAATGTTGAGTTGACAATGTGACCTTTTGACTACAGAATGAGGGTTGGTCAAGCCAAAAGGTCGAACTAGTCCTCTGACTAGTCTGGAGTCAGACGTGTGTGATGAAGATTCCAGGACTCCATAACTCAACACTGGGATGTATTTGCCTCTTGACGCTTCAAACGTTCCTTGGCCTCTTTGCTGAAAAGAAAAACTTCTGTGTACAACACATATAACCTCAAATATATTCAAGGAAATACTATGAAACAAACAGTGAGAAACTGTTGTGTTATGTTGTTACCAGCAATATTCAAGCTGTATCATGATAAATAGTAAAGCAACTGTCAGGCAAACAAGTGGACGACTACTTAAGTATAGTTTCAAGTCTGCATTTGTGTAAATGTATAGTTTTTACACCACTCAGCATTATTCCAACTCATGACTGCAGTCTGTATAAATTTGACTGGATCAGACAATCCAGTGATTGATATTAGCAGAAACCTACATCAGGGTGCACTGTCATAACATTTTATGAGTTCGACCACCAGATCAATTAAGTCAACTTTTACAACTAGAACCTTTTAAATCAGGTCCCCAAGGTGAGTGAGCAAGTAAGTGAGTTTAGTTTTACGCCGCTTTAGCAACATTCCAACAATATTATAGCAGTGGACCCCAGAAATGGGCTTCACACATTGTACCCATGTGGGGAATTGAACCTGGGTGTTAAGCACGGGTGAATGCATTAACCAGTAGGCTATCCCTCCGCCCTATCCCCAGGGAAAGCACGGGATGCTTGAGATCTATCCTAGAATCGCATAAGTGGAATTCAGCATTAACTTTCTGCCATATTCATTAAGCATAAACCAAAGCCCATCAGAAGTATCTGCAAATTCATTGTCCGACAAACGTGGAGTCACTCATGTTAGAAACAATCTAGTGATTAATAGTTAAAGCAAGAATCCATGCCCTTGGGTCCTACTCTAGGAGCCTAAAAGGGAATAGTGCACACTTACTTCTTGTGGCGAGATCGTTTGTTGAGAGAGACAATGTTGGAGCAGATCATTGGCTGCAGTTTTTCTTTGAAGTTGTGGTAGTTCCGCTCCAGCTCCCGTTGGTACTCCTTCTGCTCCGGGGGGATGAGCGCCTTGTTACGCTGCAGTGAGTCACTGCATCTGTCGGACATCGCAATAATATCAGCAATCTCATAAAACCACCGCGACTCCATGAGAATAGTGTAAAAGAGGAGTGGGTAGAGTTGTACATCATTTATTACATCACTGCAATCACACGACAACTTAGTGTGGGGAAAGCAGAGGTTGATCAACCAGCAATCAATACACAATCAATCAACTGAGTCAAGTGAACTAAGGACCCTAAATACCAAAGCCAATCGACACTAAAACAATATACCAATAATGGTAAACAAACCCACACTAAATTCATAGACCTGTGGAGATCTGGGTTAGAATTGATCTTCAGTAACCCATGCTTGTTATAAGAGGTGACTAACGGGATCGGGTGGTCAGGCTGGCTTGGTTGACACATGTCATTGTATCCCAAATGCATAGAACGATGTTCATGCCTTGATCACTGGATTGTCTAGCCCAAACTTGATTATTTACAGACCGCTGCCATATAGCTGGAATATTGCTGAGTGCTGTGTTAAACTAAACTCACTCATTCACTCACTTAAATGTAATTTTTAGAGTAAAATTGATATTTTATACTTATCCTGACCCCTCTTGTCTGGTGCCCCGAGTAAGGTTTGACTTACCTGAACTCGTGGCGGCGCTACCAGCTTGGGGAGGATTCCCTGTTCGTTGTACCGCATTGTTGACGGTCGTGTTTTTCACTTCCGCCGCCCTGGGGAGGCTCGGCTTCCTCGGAGCAGCTCCGGCTGCTCGGCAAGGGCCTAACTCCACCTTTTGCCCTCGCTGAAATCTTCGCGCACGCTGCACCGGACCCACGAGGAGGTTCACCGAACGCGATGCAGCAGGTGCGGGTGGTGGTCCATGAGGCCTACCTCTCCTCGGGTTCAGAGGTCGGCCCTGGAGGCGGAGGGCATGCTGGCGACGGTCGCCGCATGTCGCTGCTCCGCCAGCTTTCGGAAGTGCAGGCTCACCTCGCCAGCGACTCTTTGCGGTCTGCTGCGTCGACGGTGATGTGCGCAGTCATGGGGATGCGCCGGCTGTGGCTGTCGACGTCTAGGTACTCGGCAGCAACACAGCAGACCTTGCTGGCCCTCCCTTTCCGTCTGGGAGCGACCCTCTTTCCAGGGGCCCAGCAGGTCATACGGGAGGCTGCCGCTGCAGCTACCTCCTTCAAGGACTCTAAGGCCTTGTTGGAGCACCCGCGGGTGTCTCGCCCCCGCGCTCCCGTGCCACCTTCCTCCGCCGGGGTGCAGCCTACACCCGAGTCTGCCGGCTGGCTTCGGCCGCTTGGTAGGGGCAAGGAGCAGTCCTCGACTAGCTCCCAGCCTTTTCGCGGGCGCGGGAGGTCTGCCCCGACCTCCCGTTAACCCATCAGGCTGCCGCTCAAGCCGTGTGTCACGCCCAGTCAGCTCCGCTACTCGGGTCTACACACGCGCTCCTACCCCATATCCCAGTGGGAGGCCGCCTCTCTCTATTCCTGCCGGAATGGGAGAAGGCTACCAACAACGCTTGGGTGCTGGCCACGGTCAGCATAGGCCATATCCCACTGTGGAAGCGAGGTCCGCCCGGCTTCACCGCATACGTCGCACTCGGTGCCGCCATGTCAAGCCAGGGCGGACATATTCTTGACGACGGTTCAGGCTCTGCTGGACAAGTCCGCAATCGAAGCGCATTCCACCGGAGAGGAACAGGCGGGGATTTTATTCCACGTACTTCCTCGTCCGAAGAAAGACGGCGGGTTCCGTCCGATTCTCAACCTCAAGGGGCTGAATCGCGATGCTCAGTACCATCCTTCAAGATGGAGACACTGCGCCGGTGATCTCATCTGTTCAGCCCGGCGATTGGCTCACGCCAATCGACCTAAAGGATCGCGATTCTGCATGTACCCATACATCCATCGCTCAAGCAGTACCTTCGGGTTCTCTTTACGGACGGGATGTATTACCAATTCAGGGTGCTCCCTTCGGCATATCGACTGCCCCAAGGGTGTTCACCAAGCTCATGTTAGTCCCAGCTACCCTAGCTCGCCGCTTAGGAAGGCGTTGTTACCCTTACCTAGGCGACTGGTTGCTCGAGCACTAACACAGCCAGCGAGTCAAGATGCTACTCACACAGTGATAGACATTCTAACTTCGACTGGGGTGGATCATCAACCTCAAGAAATCCGACCTGGTACCCACCCAGGACTTGGTTTTTTGGAGCTTGATTCCAAACGAACAAGGATCTCGCTTCCTTGTAAAGCCCGACCCGGTCACCAGAGTTCGGGAGATGGTCTCTTCATTCCTCTCCCAGCCCCAGGCACCAGCACGGACTTGGCTCCGTCTACTGGGCCATATGGCGGCGACGATCTCTGTAGTGTGGCGGGCGCGGTTGAGGATGCGTCCCATACAGCAAGCTTTGGCTGGGCTGTGGACTCACATGGAGGATCTGGAGCGCAGTCTCACAGTCCCCGAGTGGTTGACACCTCACCTTCAGTGGTGGACAAATGTCGGGAATCTCACCAGGGGGTTCCCCTTGGAAATCCCGACGCCAGCTCTCACAGTTCAGACAGATGCGTCCCTCACGGGCTGGGGCGTTCTGGGCAGTCTGTCGGCTTCCGGACTCTGGTCGAAGCGAAGCTCACCTTCACATCAACGTGTTGGAACTGAGAGCTGTGCGGTTGGTATTCGGCTTCAGAGAGCATGTCCGTGGCCAGGTAGTCCGTCTTCAGTTAGACAACCAGGACGGCCATGTCGCGACATCCTGAAGCAGGGAGGCACGGTGTCCCCAGCACTCCTCCGGAAGCGTGGGACTTTCTCCTCTGGAGCGACCAGTACGATTGTCAGGTACTCCCTGTTTATCTCCGGGGCTGGAGAACGGCGAGAGCAGATGCTCTCGCCGGATCCTGGCCCGCGACGCACGGGATGCTCGACAGGCAGATATTCACAGTAATCTCCCAGTTGTGCGGTCGCTCGAGGTGGATCTGTTTTGCGTCCCGGGGGACGATCGAACACCGATGTTCTGCTCTCGGATACGGACCCAGGCGTTGGCTGCCGACGCCTTCCTGCTGGATTGGACGGGCAAAGTGCTCTGGGCGCTCCCGCCGTTACCACTCATTCCCCGTGTCCTTTCACAGCTGTCCACCCAGCCAGCTCGGCTACTTGTGCTACTGGCACCGCTTTGGCCGTCCACAGAGCTGGTTTCGGTAATTCTCAGGTTTCTGGCTCAGCCTCCTGTTCTATTACCTTTGCGACCGGACATTCTCACTCAGAACGGGCGCCCCACCCAAATCCACGGATTCAGTGGGTGGCTTGGCCTCTGTCAGGTCTAACCTCGAGGCACGCGGAATTCCTGCAGCAGTTGCAGACACAATTCTGGCTTCAGGCGGATTCGACAAACGCTCAGTACGAGGGATAGGTGGTCCCGCTATGCGCGCTGGTGTTCAGATAAAGGGATTGCAGATCCCCTTTCTCGCGGATTTAGTCCAGTATTGGAGTTTTTGCAAGCTCGTTTGGAAGAAGGCCTGGCGGCCGACCATTCAGCGCTACTCCACCGCTATTTCCACTTTTCACACCCCTGTCGATGGTGCTCTTCTGGGGCAGCACCTCTCGCTGGCGCTTTCGCCGCTGGCACGAACGGATTCGACCTGCTCTCAGGCGAACCAGTCCACCTTGGGATTTGTCGATCGTGCTCGATTGGCTGTCCGTCCCACTTTCTCACACCTATCGGCTATTTCCATTCAGTTGTTGACCTGGAAAGCTGTTTTTCTGGTGGCGGTAACATCTGGTCAAGGGTCGGCGATTTACATGCTATGTCGTCCGACCCGGCGCTGACTGTGTTTCACACGGATCGTGTCAGTATTAAGCCTCCCAGATACTTACCGACCGAAGGTCGATCACGCTTCCATGTGACAGCTCCTATCGAACTTCCTACTCTTACCCAGCCTTCCACATCGGGGACCACTCCTACGAGCACTCACCGTTGGATGTCCGTAAGGCGCTCAAAGTCTATCTCAAACGAACGCAGGGGATCCGCACGGGTACCCAGCTGTTCTGTTGTTACGGTGACGGGAAGGCTGGTCTGCCAGCGAGCAAGCAGACTTTGTCTCGCTGGCTAGTATCGTGTATTTGTGCCGCTTATCAGGCTAAGGGCAAGCCTCCCCTGAGGGGTTGAAGGCTCACTTTCGGTCAGGGCAGTAGCCGCATCAAAAGCTTTTGCATCGGCACTCCCCATTGAAGAGATCTGCTCCGCCGCTATTTGGAGCCGCCAAGCACGTTTATAACGCCATTATCAGCTCGATACGCATTCCCGTAATCGTGCAAACTTTGGTCATCGTATTGTTCTCTCCAGTGGACAGTGTCCTGCCACCCTGACCGAAAGTGAGTCTTGGTTTATTGGTTTGTTTTGACGCTACTGTACAATAAGATTCCATTATTGACATGTCTGCTAATGTGAGCTCACTCAGAGAACCTGTACCCTTTCGATTCTCACGGAGTTACTGTATCGTTAGTGAGTGGTATTTTTGTTTTCCCCCTACGGTGCTCTCATGAAAGAAGCCACTTAGTGGGTCGGATTTCGTTGATATTCGCACTACGTGCAATGTCTCATTATGCTAGAGGTCGTCTTTGAGCACAAATCCTCCCTGTCAGTTCCCCTCCCATAATGCCTCTCGCGGAAGCGAAACTGGGTCGAGTGACAGGTGAGTGTTATGGCGTCTGTTCAATTTTTTTCCATGATACGATCGCTATATTTTGAGTGTGCTTGGACAGAATTCCCTCCTCCCTGGCCTCCGGTCTTTGGGAGTCTGTGTTTATGCATAATATGTACCCCAAGGACGATCTCTCTGAAAAAGAATTAACCAAACCTGCAGAGGTTTTCAATTCTTTGAAGAGAGTAGATCCTTGGGTAGGGCCTCCCACCTCCCGCAATTCTGTTCACTGATAAGAATTCAGCAGAAGGAATGATGATACGGGTCTAGGAGCCTACCCAGTTGGTGCGCATGCGCTAAGGGAGGTAACTCCGTGAGGTAGGGTCCGTATAATAAATAAAAGAGTTTATTTATTGTACAATCTTTTTATTCAAAAAACATTGATACAACTGTCACAGGACATTTTTCAGCCGGAAAATGCATAATATGTACCCCAAGGACGACTCTCTTCAAAGAATTGAAAACCTCTGCAGGTTTGGTTAAGTTTTTTACACCACTTAGCATTATTCCAACTTCATGACTGCAGTCTGTATAAATTAGACTGGATCAGACAATCCAGTTATTGATATTAGGAGAAACCTACATCAGGGTGCACTGTCATAACATTTTACGAGTTCGACCACCAGATCTATTAAGTCAACTTTTACAACTAAAACCTTTTAAATCAGGTCCCCAGGGTGAGTGAGTGAGCAAGTAAGTGAGTTTAGTTTTACGTCGCTTATAGCAACATTCCAACAATATTATGGTGGTGGACACCAGATTTAGTGCTTTGTTACTTGCACTGGTGTAACTCAATATCACAAAGTGCAACCTAGTTATTAGTCAAAAGTGCACCATGTGCAAGTCAATTTTTGAGAAATAAATCAATAACAAATCTAAGTACGTCCGTTCATTTTTCTTCTAAACTTTGAATAGCTATGGCACTGAAACATTGCCATTTATAGACACTTCTCGGCTATGACAGCTCTTGTAAACAGGGATCATCTGCGTATCTGTGTTGCTATGATTTCATGGGTACTACGTCACGGAAATATGTTTATGTGCACCAAAACCTCTGACGTTTTAGTACACTACATTGCAACTGGAATTTGGCTTGTGCAACTAGGTTTTTATCTTAGGTTGCACCTGGTGCAAGTAGGTTAACATCCCTTAAATCGAGCCCTGCCAGAAATGGGCTTCACACATTGTACCCATGTGGGGAATTGAACCTGGGTGTTAAGCACGGGTGAATGCATTAACCAGTAGGCTACTCCACCGCCCCTATCCCCAGGGGAAAGCACGGGATGCTTGAGATCTATCCTAGAATCGCATAAGTGGAATTCAGCATTAACTTTCTGCCATATTCATTAAGCATAAACCAAAGCCCATCAGAAGTATCTGCAAATTCATTGTCCGACAAACGTGGAGTCACTCATGTTAGAAACAATCTAGTGATTAATAGTTAAAGCAAGAATCCATGCCCTTGGGTCCTACTCTAGGAGCCTAAAAGGGAATAGTGCACACTTACTTCTTGTGGCGAGATCGTTTGTTGAGAGAGACAATGTTGGAGCAGATCATTGGCTGCAGTTTTTCTTTGAAGTTGTGGTAGTTCCGCTCCAGCTCCCCGTTGGTACTCCTTCTGCTCCGGGGGGATGAGCGCCTTGTTACGCTGCAGTGAGTCACTGCATCTGTCGGACATTGCAAAAAACATCAGCAATCTCATAAAACCACCGCACTCCATGAGAATAGAGTCGTAGGAGTGGGTAGAGTTGTACATCATTTATTACATCACTGCAATCACATGACAACTTAGTGTGGATCAACCAGCAATCCATTCACAATCAATCAACTGAGTCAGGCGTGAACTAAGGACCCTAAATACCAAAGCCAATCGACACTAAAACAATATACCAATAATGGTAAACAAACCCACACTAAATTCATAGACCAGTGGAGATCTGGGTTAGAATTGATCTTCAGTAACCCATGCTTGTTATAAGAGGCGACTAACGGGATCGGGTGGTCAGGCCCACTGGCTTGGTTGACACATGTCATCGTATCCCAAATGCATAGAACGATGTTCATGCCTTGATCACTGGATTATTTACAGACCACTGCCATATAGCTGGAATATTGCCGAGTGCTGCGTTAAACTAAACTCACTCATTCACTCACTTAAATTCATCCATTTAGAACTGAAACTCCAATGTCCCTTCAGCTTATCAAACACATCAGTTACTAGGATACTGGGATATTTACCACTGACACTACAGTAATGTTATCAGTGAGTCTTACTTTTTGAGGAAGTCCTTGAAGCATAGCCGGAGCTTGTTGTGGTGTTTGCTGGGGAGTTGTGTGCCCCCTGCTACGTCTGCCAGGAACACCAGCGCCACCTCCAGGGGACCCTGTTGATGAGACAACTCTGACTTACAATCACAGGCTAGTTGTAACTTGATACTTCGCTGAATTAGCACAGGGCATGAAAACTGTCAAAGCCAGTCTCTGCCAGTTGCAGTTGAAGCAGATCCTAAATTAATTGATCTCAGCCCTGAAAGCTATGCTACAATCATAGGCTCTGAAGAATAAAAGATTAGATTTCATACATTACTGCAATGTCTGTAGTGAACAGAATGATAAGTCTATGGCCACCTCAACTCTATCACTGTGAGTAGATGGGTTCACATTTTTACTGTAATGTTCAACATAATCTCTCTTGCAAACTGAGGTTGTCATTTAGTAAATGAAACCTATTCTTGAAGGAATCTCTATTCCATGTTTGTCATATGAAGGATGTCCACCCCATCCAGTTCTACACTTCCATGGGTTAATGGTCACCCTGTGACTTCTGTACCTGTATGGTGTGGGTGTGTGATCTGTGTGTGACTTCTGTATCTGTATGGTGTGAGTGTGTGATCTGTGTGTGACTTCTGTACCTGTATGGTGTGAGTGTGTGATCTGTGTGTGACTTCTGTATCTGTATGGTGTGAGTGTGTGATCTGTGTGTGACTTCTGTATCTGTATGGTGTGAGTGTGTGATCTGTGTGTGACTTCTGTATCTGTATGGTGTGAGTGTGTGATCTGTGTGTGACTTCTGTACCTGTATGGTGTGGGTGTGTGACTTCTGTATCTGTATGGTGTGAGTGTGTGATCTGTGTGTGACTTCTGTATCTGTATGGTGTGAGTGTGTGATCTGTGTGTGACTTCTGTACCTGTATGGTGAGTGTGTGATCTGTGTGTGACTTCTGTACCTGTATGGTGTGGGTGTGTGACTTCTGTATCTGTATGGTGTGAGTGTGTGATCTGTGTGTGACTTCTGTACCTGTATGGTGTGGGTGTGTGACTTCTGTACCTGTATGGTGTGAGTGTGTGATCTGTGTGTGACTTCTGTACCTGTCTGGTGTGAGTGTGTGATCAGTGTGTGACTTCTGTACCTGTCTGGTGTGAGTGTGTGATCTGTGTGTGACTTCTGTACCTGTATGGTGAGTGTGTGATCTGTGTGTGACTTCTGTACCTGTATGGTGTGAGTGTGTGATCTGTGTGTGACTTCTGTACCTGTCTATAAGTGAATGATTTGGGCGTGTACCTGGTTTACAGTTGTCCCAATGCATCCCTGAAGCACCATCTGCAGAATCTTTAGATCAGGAGGCTCCTGGTTCAAGGCTAATGCCAGTTCACGGGTCTTCTTCTGTACATCCTCTATTGCCACCTCCACAGGTGACAGGATGATCTAGATACAGAAAACAAACACAGTGACCTCTAAGTGTGGAAACAGGATTATGAGTGACACACAAGTGTGGAAACAGGATTATGAAAGACACACAAGTGTGGAAACAGGATTATGAGAGACACACAAGTGTGGAAACAGGATTATGAGAGACACAAAGTGTGGAAACAGGATTATGAGTGACACACAAGTGTGGAAACAGGATTATGAGAGACACAAAGTGTGGAAACAGGATTATGAGAGACACAAAAGTCTGGAAACAGGATTATGAGAGACACACAAGTGTGGAAACAGGATTATCAGTGACACACAAGTGTGGAAACAGGATTATGAAAGACACACAAGTGTGGAAACAGGATTATGAGAGACACACAAGTGTTGAACAAGATTATGAGAGACACACAAGTGTAAAAACAGGATTATGAGAGACACACAAGTGTGGAAACAGGATTATGAGAGACACACAAGTGTGGAAACAGGATTATGAGAGACACAAATGTGAGGAAACTGGATTATGAGAGACACACAAGTGTGGAAACGGGATTATGAGACACACAAATGTGTGGAAACAGGATTATGAGAGACACAAATGTGTGGAAACAGGATTATGAGAGACACACAAGTGTGGAAACAGGATTATGAGAGACACACAAGTGTGGAAACAGGATTATGAGAGACACACAAGTGTGGAAACAGGATTATGAGAGACACAAATGTGTGGAAACTGGATTATGAGAGACACACAAGTGTGGAAACAGGATTATGAGACACACAAATGTGTGGAAACAGGATTATGAGAGACACAAATGTGTGGAAACAGGATTATGAGAGACACAAATGTGTGGAAACTGGATTATGAGAGACACAAATGTGTGGAAACTGGATTATGAGAGACACAAATGTGTGGAAACAGGATTATGAGAGACACACAAGTGTGGAAACAGTGAGTGAGTGAGTTTAGTTTTATGCCTCACTCCGCAATATTCCAGCCATATGGCAGCGGCTGTGGAAACAGGATTATGAGTGACACAAAAGTGTTAAGAGAGGATTAACTCGCCTCTTACATCAAGCATGGGTTGCTGAAGATCAATTCTAACCCGGATCTTCACGAGTGACAGTTAGGGGAGGAGTAGAGTATTAACCGGAGTCATGACATCCCTAATATAGGACTGTGCAATATCTGTGGTTATATCCCCTACCTGTTGCCGCTCTATGACCGTCATGCGCGTCTTGACGTAGGGGAATGTGTGGGTAGTTGTGAGGATGGTCTTCCTCTTGTACTGCTCATGAAGCTCACCGTGGGCGCGGCCGTCCAGCGTGAAGGGCGTGGCGTACATGAACCGCTCTGACAACACAAAGTAGAGACATAAGCTGGGGGCCAGTGAATGAATGGTTTTATATGTTGTAGCACAATCTCACACGTGTCAGCATCATAATCAGTGCATACTGTAACAAGCTACTTTTGTTTGTTTGTTGTTTAACACTTCATTCATATTCCAGCTATATGGCGGCGGTCTGTAAATAATCGAGACTGGACCAGACAATCCAGTGATCAACAGCATGAGCATCAATCTTTGGATACAACGAGTCAACCAAGTCAGCGAGCCTGACCACCATCGCCTCTTCTGACAAGGATGGGTTGTCGAAGAACACTTCTAACCCGGATCTTAATGGGTAACAACAAACTAATAAAGACAATAAGATCATGATGACACCATGTTATTTTTCCCCAACAGAATGGATTGCTGCCTATGTTTCACTGGATTCTAATGACTACTTTTGATGACTTACTGATCAAGTTTTATTTCAAGCTGCCTGGAGTGAATTTAATTTAAGTCACATTTGAACAATTCTGAATTTATATTATGGTTGACAGCTTAACGTTGGAGGCAAGACTGAAGTGATGCAGATGAATGATGTTTATCACACAGGAACCAAATGGTGTAGTGCAGAAAACTCCATATACAAAACCAGTGTGGAAACACACATATAGTGCAACTCTGAACAGTGTTGAACCTTAGATGACTTGTCATCATCCCTGCTCTGTATGCCACTTTAAGCAGTATTTCAGTTTTACTGCAGAATGCCAGGTGAATCATTTGCGGACATTTTCCACTTCCGTGAAGCCCTGGTGCATGGAACTCACAAACCAATATATGTTCGCAGGGAGGAGAATGGGTAGGAGTGCAAAGGTGGGTATCTTGGGGTTTGCAGGTTTAGATGATTCACAAGAATGACCCCAGTACGGTCAAATCTGTGGAAATTTTTCATCCCCGTGTTAGTCATGATCAGAGCCTCACAGCATGACTAGTGCATGCAGTCATGGTATAGCTGTAATACTGATGGGGCATTAAACAACATACACTCATGAAAGTCTGGATGGAGTATACATGTCAGCCCTGAAGCCACACTGAGCAGTGTTCCAGTCACATGAGACTTGGGAGTTTCATATATTTCCCAATTTATTAAAACAAATCCAAATCTTCTGCATGAAAGTTAGCATTCAGACCACAACATCATGTTACAACCATGTAACCGTGCTCATGTTACAACCATGTAACCGTACTCATGTTACAACTGTGCTCATGTTACAACCATGTAACCGTGCTCATGTTACAACCATGTAACCGTGCTCATGTTACAACCATGTTACAACCATGTAACCGTGCTCATGTTACAACCATGTAACCGTGCTCATGTTACAACCATGTAACCGTGCTCATGTTACAAACAAGTTTCCCCACTCACTGATGTTGTAGTTCTTGTCAAAGTAGGTGATCCTGTCCCTGAACTCATACATGTCGAAGTACGGCTCAACGTATGTGATCTGTATGTAGGCCTGCAACAATCAGCAGCACAACACCACATTGTGGGATCAAACTGTTCAGCAATACGACAATACTTCAAGTATATCCTGACAATACTTCATGCATATCCTGACAATACTTTATGTATATCCTGTAAATACTTCACATATATCCTGACAATACTTCACGTATATCCTGTCAATACTTTATGTATATCCTGACAATACTTCACATATATCCTGACAATACTTAATGTATATCCTGTAAATACTTCACACATATCTTGACAATAATGTAATTTTTGGAGTAAAATTGATATTTTATACTTATCCTGACTCATGCTCTTTTTGCTTGTCTTCTTCTTCTTGCGAACATAGTGGAACACTTGTATCTCCCTAATTGAAGCTCCCTTCAATTTAAAATCACTAATTAGTATTCACCACGAGTTACCTCCTTTCCACAAGAGCGGGAACGAGGGCGCCACCTCTACCCATGTGCCTCACTCTCTCCTCATATACTGAGCCCAACATTTGAATTTACAGGGAAATCCAAAGTGTTATTTGGGGAGGATGGGAGGGCTGACCTCATGAGTCAGGATAAGTATAAAATATCAATTTTACTCCAAAAATTACATATTTTTCCTTATCCTGACTCATGCTCTTTTTGCTTGTAGCATCCTACGGAACGGAGGTGGGAATATCTAATACTTTGGATTTTTAATAATTAGTGATTTGAACTGTGATGATTGTAATAACCCTATGGGAACTTCATAAAGGCACTGAATTGATGAATTCCTGCTGCTAACTTATCAGCTGCCATATAAAAGGTTATTACCATGTACTTATTATGATAAAGTATATATAACATTAATACAATGCTTAAGACTAATAGACTTAAGCTTGTTAATATGCTAGTATAAACTCCTTAGAGTTTGTTAGCTAAAATACTTTAAGATATAACATAGTACTAAGCTTAAGATATGATTAAACTTAAGCTAATTATATAATAGCAAACTCTTTAGAGTTTGTTAGTTAATATACTTATATGATATAGATATAATGCTGAGCTTAAGATATGAATAAGCTTTAGCTACATATATAATAGCAAAAACTCTGTAGAGTTTGTTAGCTAATATATTTTTATAATATGAGTATAGTACTGTGCTTAAGCTATAATTAACTTAAGCTACATATATAATAGCCAAACTCTGTAGAGTTTGTTAGCTAATATATTTTTATAATATGAGTATAGTACTGTGCTTAAGCTATAATTAACTTAAGCTACATATATATAATAGCCAAACTCTGTAGAGTTTGTTAGCTAATATATATTTATAATATTAGTATAGTACTGAGCTTAAGATATAATTAACTTAAGCTACATATATATAGCAAAACTCTGTAGGGTTTTGTTAGCTAATATATTTTACAATATGAGTATAGTAGTGTGCTTAAGATATAATGAACTTAAGCAACATATATAATAGCAGAACTCCGTAGAGTTTGTTAGCTAATATATTTTACAATATGAGTATAGTATTGTGCTTAAGATATTATTAACTTAAGCTACATATATAATAGCCAAAAAACTCTGTAGAGTTTATTAGCTAATATGTTTATAGTGTAACCATAGTACTAAGCTTATAGTACTGAGCTTAAGTTATGATGAAACTTAAGCTATATATATATAATAACAAAACTCCGTCGAGTTTTGTTAGCTAATACCTTTATAATGTAACCATACTGCTTAAGATATGATGAAAACTTAAGCTAATTGTATAATATGAAAACAACCCTTTAGAGTTTGTTAGCTATGATATAAACCTAGTATTGAGCTTATGAAGGAAAACTTAAGCTACATATATAATAGCAAGAACTCCGTAGAGTTTGTTAGCTAATACATGTTATAATGTAACTATAAAGCTTAAAATATGATGAAACTTAAGTTTAAATATATAATAGCAAAACCCTCTTTTAGAGTTTTGATAGCTAATATACCTATATGATATAAACATAGTACTGCGCTTAAGATATGAATAAGCTTAAGTTACATATATAATAGCTAAAACTCTGTAGAGTTTGTTAGCTAATACATGTTATAATATAACCATATTGCTTAGAAATATGATGATACTTAAGCCAAATAGCAAAAAACTCTTTAGAGTTTGTTAGCTAATCTACTTATATGATATAAACATAGTACTAAGCTTAAGATATGAATAAGCTTAAGCTACCTATATAATAGCAAAACTCCTTAGAGTTTGTTAGCCAATATATTTTAATAATATGAGTATAGTACTATGCTTAAGGTATAATTAGCTTAAGTTACCTATATAATAGTAAAACTCCGTAGAGTTTGTTAGCTTAATTAACTTAAGCTATGTATAAAATAGCCAAAAACTCTGTAGAGTTGTTAGCTGATGCATTTATCATGTAACCATAATATTACTCTTAAGATATGAATAACTTAAGGTAAATATATATAATAACAAACTCTGTAGAGTTGTTAACTTATATATTGTATGATGTAATAATCATAGTACTGTGATGATAAAAGGAACTTAAGTAAATTATATATAGCATGAAGCTATTTAGTATTGTTATAAGATAAGTAAAAATCTGTTAGATTGACTTATCTTCTCCGAGGAACTGTCAGCTGTTGTGCGAGGACCATGGGATCGAATTGGTGTATACCTGAGACGTCCTCGGTGGTGATATCTCTCAGATAATGGTTTGCAACCACCATATCGGATCTCCAGAAATAAACCCTCCAATATTTCAATCACATTTGTGTGGAACAATTGTAGAAGTTAGCGCTATAATATCATGAGTATTAAGCTCATGGAGGGTCGGAATAGGTCCATCCGCATATGCACGTAGTATGACAGTTCTGATCCAAATGGAGATATAGTACATGAGACTTCTCTCTGCGTAAGTTGATGATAGAGGAAATAATCTGTTGCATTTTTTTACTCCTGTTTGGTTTGGTGGAGATAAATTTACAGTGCTCTTGCTGGCCATCTTGATAGAATCATCGTATCATGGGGTCCAAGTATGTCATCCAGGCGTGTTCATAAACCTCACTTGTGAGGTGTTGGAGCACTATATTCATATCCCCAGGTTGGGCGTGAAATTTCCGTTTATTCTCCAAACAGAAGTTTAGTAGGTTTACTAACCATCTAGTTGTGTTAGTCGCTTGATGAAATTCAGCTGTAGTCTGAAACGCTGTGGATTTAGATCCACTTGTATCTTCGCTCCAGGTAATTAGCTCGCGAAGTCCTTGACGATGTAGGTGCACAACCAGGTGTGTCTGTCCTCGTTGAACTTTATGTAAAATCGCCTGACTGCCGATCCCTCGTCTTAACTTGACAGGGGAGGTCTCTATCTTGAAGAAAGGCAGTCTAATCATGAATGTTCAGGTTAACTGGACTGTAATGAGGCTTGCTCGTTCACTGATATATAGTTGTCACTTGTGGACGTAAGTCTTGAACTGTGAATAGAGATCGACCTCTGTGTAGGTCGTTGTCCCTCAGCGGTCCAATCAGAACAAGGCATTTTGATTCTGTATAATACCCGAGCTGTGATGTCACCGGTGTAGCGGGAAAAAACCCACCTTGAATAAATTCTTGTCGTCGTTGATATTAGCATAAACGTCGGTCTTCACCGTAGCTTCCCGAAGTTATCCGAGTGACCACGTGTTTCGAGGGTTAATGGTAACCGCGCGAAACCTCCGGTGCGAAATATCTCGCTCTGTAATTTTATGCTGGGTAGGTTATTTTCCTGGTTGTCGAAAGTAATTTCAGTTTTGAATATAATTCCGACTTCCTTATATATAAGGGTATAAACAACTTGCAAGTTGTGAGCTTGTAGACTGTATACATGAATGTATCGTCATAATTGTAGAATTAACGTTGAACTTGTTGTACATATTTCTTCTCAGAAACTTTGACGATTAAGAGTTATACTCGCTGTAACAAGGCTGCTGTTCAATTTCGATATTGAATTGTCTGCAGATATGCGTAATGGTCACGCATGTAGATAATCGTATCGTCGTCCGGGGATTGTATATTAGCAATTTATACGAATAGTTGATTTCTGTGAAGATCTATGAAATGTCGTTGACTAATAATACAGCGGCGTTCTGTGTTGTAAATAGCCTGAGCAATTATCTCGGCAGAGGCTTATAGACGGCATCTGGCATACAGTTGATAATCAACTTATGCGACGCCTTGAACGGACTGACGAAAGTAGCTATATATGACGAAAGTGGCTAGTATATGGAAACCTTGGAGGAGACTTCCTCGGTGAACGCCGAGACTTCGCGAAGTTCTCGAAGCATCCCTTCTAGATCTTCTGGGTGAAGTAGACTTGGAGCCACTTAGCCTTAGCGACCATCGCGAAGGTGTCGAAATCAAAGCCCGATTAGTATATATATATATATATATAAATATATATATGAGCTTGTTTCGTTGAACAGCCTCTGTGTTTAACAGGATGTGGGATCGCGGCGCTTGCCTAAGTATGGCCGCATGGATCATCTTATCATATTCAGAAGTCGTTTACGAAGTCTGGTGATAAGTGTCTAATTGATCGTTCTAGATCTATTTAGGCCAGCGAACATACGCCTCGTCATGGATTCAACAGAACCAATATACGATTGTAGTTCTTATACTTGATATCGATGATCAACTTGTCTATGGGTTGATCTTCTCGAGACTTGTGAGGGAACGTTGATAGTTTCGCTGAAGCTCTTGTATAGTCCCTCGATGTCCTTCTAGATGATGATGATCTGGATTCAGGTGTCCTTCGCATGCCTTCGCGAAGCTTCCTCTGCGTCCGGTCCGGGGGAACGACGATATGACCTTCGCGAAGGCTTCCGTGATGTCTGATGGTCCGAGTCCACATCTAGGGATGAAACCGCATAAGGTGATGATCTATCCTGCCTTCGCGAAGTCCTTCGCGAAGGCTGTACATCTAGGTTCTTTCCGCCTTCGCGAAGGCTGTACATCTAGGTCCTTTCCGCCGTCGCGAAGGCCTTCGCGAAGGCTGTACATCTAGGTCCTTCGTCAAGGTGGTCCGTGACTTCCTTCGCGAAGGTGACATCGCCCCTGGCTGCTACGCTGACGGGGGTGCCTCTGGGGTGCTGTCACGTTGGAGCCTTCGCGGCTCGGACCCTGCTACCGCAGATATTGGTCCTCCATGATGTTCATAATTTGTCGCATCATGTCTTCTGGGATGGTCTCTGCGACGAGGTCGCCGGTGCTTTATCTGCGGTGTTAATGGAGGGGTCCACCGGAAAATCGTCCGACATCAGTGTAGAGGCATCAGGCTGCATGGTGATCTCTGCTGATGTCGTTGTAGCTGTCCCCGGTCGTTTCTTGTGGCGACGCGTCGGGTATGATGATCAGCTGATCATCGTAGAGGTCCAGGTCATCGGCTGGAACAATCTCGGTTGAGAAAGTCCTAGTAGACTTCGTTGATTTTCCCTCAGAGGTCGACGCTGCCCTGGGTGTGCGACGCCTGGCGTTGAGTGTTGGTAATGATGGGACCCTCAGGACGATCATCCATATCTGCGTTGGTACATCAGGCTGCATGCTGATCTGTGCCGACATCGGTCAATCTTTGATGTACATCGGTATGATGACCGGCTGATCATCATACAGGCCCAAACTTCGATGGGAACGGTCTCGGTTGTTGAGATGTAGTAGAAAAACCCTCTAGTCTTCTGCTGCGACGATGGGATGTCTGGGGAAGCAGAATGCTTCTTGGAGATGGCGGACTCACGCCCCACACCTCTCCACCACTCTAGCGGAACACCACACGGGAGGGAGTCGGCCAACAGCAGTAGACTGGCGAGGGGTTCCGTATCAGTCATACTAGACTCTGCATACGCGACCTATCTGCTGTGCGTGCCAAACATAAAGTAAATATTAATAAAGAGGTAGAATTGGATAAATTAGTACCAAGAACTGCAATGTGAATATAATAAACATGGCCGCCGCATACATCATATTAAAGGTGGATCAGCAGCAGCATAAAAGCGTAATCTGCAATAGTACAGAATTTTCATCAACGTAATCCACTGAAACAAACACACGGCCCCGTGAATAAACTGTAGAAAAGCGACTAAATATCAATATATAATCGTTGAAGGATACTAGCTAAACCTCTATAGATGTCTATACGAGGTAACTAACTAAATATAATCAAAGGATATAGTGTGTCGGGAGACACAGGCGCTCTCACGTCCAGCTCACTGGGCGAAGAAGGAGAGAGTGAGGCACATGGGTAGAGGTGGTGCCCTCGTTCCCGCGCTTGTGGAAAGGAGGTAACTCGTGGTGAATACTTATTAGTGATTTTAAATTGAAGGGAGCTTCAATTAGGGAGATACAAGTGTTCCACTATGTTCGCAAGAAGAAGAAGACAAGCAAAAAGAGCATGAGTCAGGATAAGGAAAAATCTTTATGTATATCCTGACAATACTTTATGTATATCTTGTCAATACTTGACATATATCCTGACAATACTTTATGTATATCCTGACAATACTTCACATATATCCTGACAATACGTAATGTATATCCTGACAATACTTCATGTATATATCCTGACAATACTTCATGTATATCCTGACAATACTTCATGTATATCCTGACAATACTTCACATATATCCTGACAATACTTCAAGTATATCCTGGCAATAATTCACGTATATCCTGTCAATATTAGTTTTACGGTGTTTTGAAAGGTCGTACGTTACTGTAAGACCCTTGTAAATTCCATATTTCCTGAGGCGCAGGTATATCCAAATTATACACTGATATCATGATAATACGTCAGGAATACTGACTCTGAAAGCCAATCTTGACATACTTAGTCTTTTCATGACAAACCTTCAGCAGTATTGGGGCAGTATTCAGTTATGTCAGTCGGTTTTCAGTGTTGAAAGAAAGGCTTAAACACATTACTTTATATGGCCTGAAATAAATATACAGATAAGAGTGCTCTCTTGATTACCTTGGCAGGATCCAGTTTTTCCTTTTCCACGGTGTTTGAATCCTTTACAGTTGACACAACGTCATAGCCAAACCGGTCACCATAGAAACTCTACAGCAGAAAAACGGAAATATCAGCATGACTGAGTGAGTGAGTGATGCTTGATTTACAGAGTCAGAAGTATATCTACAGTAGCCTGTAGATACGGTGTCAGTATCCGACAAACCACAATAACTACAGGTGACACACAGTGACTACAGGTGACACACAGTGACTACAGGTGACACAGTGACTACATGTGACACACAGTGACTACAGGTGACTACCGGTGACTACAGGTGACACCCGGTGACTACAGGTGACACCCGGTGACTACAGGTGACACCCGGTGACTACAGGTGACACACAGTGACTACAGGTGACACACAGTGACTACAGGTGACACACAGTGACTACAGGTGACACACAGTGACTACAGGTGACACACGGTGACTACAGGTGGTGACTACAGGTGACACACAGTGACTACAGGTGACACAGTGACTACAGGTGACACACAGTGACTACAGGTGACACCCGGTGACTACAGGTGACACATGGTGACTACAGGTGACACAGTGACTACAGGTGACACCCGGTGACTACAGGTGACACAGTGACTACAGGTGACACCCGGTGACTACAGGTGACACCCGGTGACTACAGGTGACACATGGTGACTACAGGTGACACAGTGACTACAGGTGACACCCAGTGACTACAGGTGACACAGTGACTACAGGTGACACAGTGACTACAGGTGACACACAGTGACTACAGGTGACACCCGGTGACTACAGGTGACACACTGTGACTACAGGTGACACCCGGTGACTACAGGTGACACACAGTGACTACAGGTGACACACAGTGACTACAGGTGCCACAGTGACTACAGGTGACACACAGTGACTACAGGTGACACCCAGTGACTACAGGTGACACCCAGTGACTTCATGTGCCACAGTGACTACAGGTGCCACAGTGACTACAGGTGACACACAGTGACTACAGGTGACACAGTGACTACAGGTGACACACAGTGACTACAGGTGACACACTGTGACTACAGGTGACACAGTGACTACAGGTGACACACAGTGACTACAGGTGACACACAGTGACTACAGGTGACACACAGTGACTACAGGTGACAGTGACTACAGGTGACACACAGTGAGTACAGGTGACACAGTGACTACAGGTGACACACAGTGACTACAGGTGACACACAGTGACTACAGGTGACACACGGTGACTACAGGTGACACGGTGACTACAGGTGACACGGTGACTACAGGTGACAGTGACTACAGGTGACAGTGACTACAGCTGACACAGTGACTACAGGTGACACAGTGAGTACAGGTGACACACAGTGACTACAGGTGACACGGTGACTACAGGTGACAGTGACTACAGGTGACAGTGACTACAGCTGACAGTGACTACAGGTGACACAGTGAGTACAGGTGACACACAGTGACTACAGGTGACACACAGTGACTACAGGTGACACACTGTGACAACAGGTGACACACACTGACTACAGGTGACACACACACTGACTACAGGTGACACCCACCCACTATGGGTGACATACCTCAAGCCTGTGAGATATTTCTGGGAGTTTTGTGATCGCAGGTTCCTTGTAGATAAACTCCTCTCCATCCAAGTCTCCAAACAATGAGCCGTAGAACCCTACACGGAAATATGTCCCGAATATCCGCTTTCCTTCCTGAAACAGAACCACAGAGATTGTAAGAGGACCAAACAGCCATGTATCATTCAAACGTTGCAGAGAAATGTTGGACTTATAATTAACATTTTCCAAAACCTAGTTTTGGAGAAGCCGTCGTTTTCACATCCAGCTGGTTTGACGAAAGCATGACAACTCTCTCTTCTGAGTGAGTGAGTTTAGTTTTACGCCGCACTCAGCAATATTCCAGCTATATGGCGGCGGTCTGTAAATAATCGAGTCTGGACCAGACAATCCAGTGATCAACAGCATGAGCATTGATCTGCGTAATTGGGAACCGATGACATGTGTCAACCAAGTCAGCGAAACTGACCACCCGATCCCGTAAGTCGCCTCTTACGACAAGATAGTCGCCTTTTTATGGCAAGCACATGGGTTGCTGAAGACCTATTCTACCCCGGATCTTCACGGGTGAACTCTCTCTTCTGAGGCCCCATGAAGTTATATCTGTGGCATTGGAACCTACTTCTTATGGAGTGACAAGCATAGAAAGCTGGGCAATGTCTACCAGAATCCCCATGGATAGGTACGTCTGAGGTACAGGGACCTATGTTGTTGATGAATACCAACAGACAGCTCAGCGTGAGATACAGGAGAACTCTCTGCACTGGAAACACTTTGGAGAGACAAGTTTTAGAATATACTGTGTAAGGACCTCTTTGCCTTGGAATCTCTATGGATAGTTCTGGTACCTATCCCACAGGGATCTCTCTGCTCTGGAATCTGCTGAGATAGACACATATTTAACTCTGGCATCCCAGGACAAAGCTGCTTGATTCTGGAGTAAATTCAAGGAGCTCGATATGTGAGACATCGTTGAAGGACTCCCTGACAGTGCCAGCCTCCAAAACAATGATGTTGTCTGTACTCACCATTCTGATGACATTGTTGAAGGACTCCTGCAGCTTTTGGTGGATGTGGGCCAGCTTCTTGTAGTCACGGCTTGCTTCGTGGATAGGCAGCAGGATCTTGTACACCTCGTTCACAGCCTCGTACATACCAGCCTGACAACACATACATTACCGCAGGCATCATAATCAGTGAGTCAGTTTGGTTTTACGCTGCTTTTAGCAATACGTATTGCAGAAATATCATGTCGGGGGACACCAGAAATGGGCTTCACACATTGTGTCCTTGTGGGGAATTGAACCAGGGTCTTCATCGTGGCGAGTGGATGCTTTACCCATAATTAATCTTCCCTTTTATTCCACACAGTAACAGTTACAGGCACCACACAAAGCTACATGTGTGACGAGGATACTCACCATCATACACACACAGGGAGAGGTTTCACCATTGGACTCACCATTGTGAAGGAGCTAGCAGTCTGCTCCAGCAGGCCCACAAGGCCGTTCTCCGTGAAGTACTTCCCAGAACAGATACCCTCCTCGTCGGGCGACACCACATCATCCGAGATGGCACTCTCCTCCAGCACATTCCATGTTATTTTCTACAACATCACCAACAAATATCATCAGAAGATCCTCCTCAACATTTGCTCTACCTTTAGAAGAACCAACTGCAGACAACAGCATCCATTATTGTCGGCCGATCACAGTTAGAGACAATGAACGGGATATCTTCAGTTGTTTGTGGGGTTATCAATCTTATTCTTTATAACAGACACGATAATATATATCACTGTCAAGTTTCTCTCAGGCTAGTGCCTGACTTGTAAGAAGTCATACAAGTTATTTAGTGACGCACATCAAGGCAGCATAACGTCAAATGATGTCATTAACTTGCCTGGTCTGGAATGAAAATATGGTCTAGTCAACATGGAGTACATGATGACATAAATTACAAAATAGAAAAGACTTGGATCCAATAATGATAATCATACATACCAATTTCCGATTGTAAAATCTCTTACACTCAAGTCACTACACATACAGCACCTAGACACAAGGGTCTGGTTTCACAAAGTTATCTTAGTACTATGACTGTTGTAGCTCCTATACTATAACATAGATTTACGACAGTCGCAGTGCTACGATACCTGGTGAAATGGGGCCATGGCGATGGTCGCTTTACCTGGAATGCCACACAGCCTACTGGAAGGTAGGGTTTATCCTCTAGCATATTCAGGTACTCCGCCACCAGTCCCGCTGCATGCACCAGACACTGGGCTGCCTCGGCATGGTTGCTCCGCTGGCAACACAGAGGAAACATTGTAACTAATGCGAGTGTTAGTGTGTTCTGAATATCAAGTGAGCGAGTGAGTTTAGTTTTACGCCGCACTCAGTAATATTCCAGCTATATGGCGGCGGTCTGTAAACAATTGAGTCTGGACCAGACAATCCAGTGATCAACAGCATGAACATCGATCTGCGCAATTGGGAACCGATGACATGTGTCAACCAAGTCAGCAAGCCTGACCACCCGATCCCGTTAGTCACCTCTTACGACAAGCATGGGTTACTGAAGATCAATATTCTAACCCCGGACCTTCACGGGTCTGAATATCAAACACAGGAACCAAATGTGATTCTGAGAAGAGTGTAATAGTAATGCATCATACATTGTACAAGAGTCATCAGAAGATGACAAATAGCCCCGGAACCCCACACATTTGAAAGAACAAATCATCTGAGAGTTAGTCCAACTTGTTTTTTTAGACTAAGTCCAAATTCAGTGTGAAATTGTAGCCTTTCAAAATGATGCCATGCCTATCTCACAGCTGTGAGAGTTCGCAGAAAACATACTGTTGACTTTTGTCCTTATCACTGTTCATACAAGTTTTTGCATTGTAAGATTTGCAGGTGCTAGTGAGTAAATATTGTGGACATTTTTCCCACTTGATGGAATATTATTGTCTAAGGAGCCAAGAAGTTGGAACATCAATATTTATTGAGGGTTATGACAGTCTTATATCAGGAGTTGATTGAAGCTATGGAGAGTGAGTGAGAGAGTAGAGTTCGAGGCTGCTTTTAGCATTATTCTGGCAATATCATGGTGGGGGACACCAGAAATAGACTCTACACATTGTACCCAAGTTAGGAATCAAACCTGGGCCATCAGTGTGACTAGCGAAAGTCTGAACCACCTGGATACACCTCAGCTCCTTGAAGCTGTGGTATTATTAGACTGAAGCTGTGGTATTATTAGACTGAAGCTGTGACATTATTAGACTGAAGCTGTGGTATTATTAGACTGAAGCTGTGGTATTATTAGACTGAAGCTGTGGTATTATTAGACTGAAGCTGTGGTATTATTAGACTGAAGCTGTGACATTATTAGACTGAAGCTGTGGTATTATTAGACTGAAGCTGTGGTATTATTAGACTGAACCTGGCTACCCCTCAGCTCCTTGAAGCTGTGGCATTATTAGACTGAAGCTGTGGTATTATTAGACTGAAGCTGTGGCATTATTAGACTGAAGCTGTGGTATTATTAGACTGAAGCTGTGGTATTATTAGACTGAAGCTGTGGTATTATTAGACTGAAGCTGTGGTATTATTAGACTGAAGCTGTGGTATTATTAGACTGAACCTGGCTACCCCTCAGCTCCTTGAAGCTGTGGTATTATTAGACTGAAGCTGTGGTACTATTAGACTGAACCTGGCTACCCCTCAGCTCCTTGAAGCTGTGGTATTATTAGACTGAAGCTGTGGTATTATTAGACTGAAGCTGAGGTACTATTAGACTGAACCTGGCTACCCCTCAGCTCCTTGAAGCTGTGGTATTATTAGACTGAAGCTGTGGTATTATTAAACTGAAGCTGTGGTATTATTAGACTGAAGCTGTGGTATTATTTGACTGAAGCTGTGGTATTATTAGACTGAAGCTGTGGTATTATTAGACTGAAGCTGTGGTATTATTAGACTGAGGCTGTGGTATTATTAGACTGAACCTGGCTACCCCTCAGCTCCTTGAAGCTGTGGTATTATTAGACTGAGGCTGTGGTATTATTAGACTGAGGCTGTGGTATTATTAGACTGAAGCTGTGGTACTATTAGACTGAAGCTGTGGTATTATTAGACTGAAGCTGTGGTATTATTAGACTGAAGCTGTGGCATTATTAGACTGAAGCTGTGACATTATTAGACTGAAGCTGTGGTATTATTAGACTGAAGCTGTGGTATTATTAGACTGAAGCTGTGGTATTATTAGACTGAAGCTGTGGCATTATTAGACTGAAGCTGTGACATTATTAGACTGAAGCTGTGACATTATTAGACTGAAGCTGTGGCATTATTAGACTGAAGCTGTGGTATTATTAGACTGAAGCTGTGGTATTATTAGACTGAAGCTGTGACATTATTAGACTGAAGCTGTAGCATTATTAGACTGAAGCTGTGGTATTATAAGATAAAGTTAGGGAGCTGTAAACATTAGAAAGGTATGCACAAGCGAAAATCCTTTTTGAAAATAACTAAGTAAACATCACACACACATTTCACAGTTAACACTAAAGACTGTAGATGTCAGTTACATCATTCAGTGCAATAATGCAACACTAACCCTGTCTACTCCATCATCAACCAATCAGAAAACTGTAGTGAACCAATCAGCAAACAGTAGTGAACAAGGGGGCATGGCTTAAATGGTTTGGGTTTATGGAATCAAAAACAGAACAAAATGTTTCAAATGCCATGGAATCACGAGCCATATGATTTTTGCCATGTGAATGAGGTCTATCACTCTTACCTCGCTGTGTTTCTGGGCCATATTCTGGAGCCAGGTGAGTCGGAGGTCTGGGGAGGTCTGGTAACCCTTGGCAATGCGGTACATGAGGTCGAGCAGCATCTCGGGGTCATTCTGGTACTCCTTCATCTTGACAGTGTCAGACAGGATCATGTGGAGGTTGAACACGAGGTCTCGCACCTGGAAGGTGCATGCAGCATAAACAACACTGGCATCAAACACATGAAAAGCTCTGGATATTTCTTTATCAGCTTGTACATGAGAATTCACGAGGTACAACGTTCACAGTGGGATGTTCTGTTTTACAAGTTGAACAACTGTCTTCACCAGGGCCTTGATTTTCGAAGCTGTCTTAGCGCTAAGATAGTCGTAAGTTAATGTTAATGTATGGCAGCCTACGACTATCTTTAATGTATGGCACTATCTTTGGTTCTAGGTGTTAAGAGCACTTATGCTTCGAAAATCTAGGCCCTGTTCATTTTCGTTTTTCTAGTGGTGCACCAGCCCATTCAGTTCATTCTGTACACCCTACTAGTAATACATGTGACTGGTTTTCAAAATTATTGGGGCTCTAGGGCTCCATGGTCTTCTTATATTGTCGCCGTTTCCCGAGCCTCAAAATCTTTAACTTTTAACATATTGGTTATGACAAAGATCCATTAATTCAAGCCTTGACTTGGCCACCATGTGTCTGTGTGTTTCACCCACCTGCTCTGGGAAGGACGTTTCCTGAAGCTCATGGTCAAACTCTGCATATGTCAGTATGGTCTTGAGGGATTTGCGGAGGTACTCCTCATTGAAGTTCTGATTCTGTCCCACAAGTGATGACAGGGACATTGTCACCTGCATCTTCACCCGAGCAAAGTTCTGGCAGCGAGAAAATGGACAAACATAAACATACAAATGTAGAAAAGGCTGACCTCCAATTCTATTGACATTAACAAAAATTACAACAGGAACATTCCTACTGCATACATACCCATTTATCTTCTGAAAAGTATGGAATTAGAAGGATACCTTCAAACAATTTAATAATTTTCCTTTTCATTTATTAAAGAGTTCACGGAAGCAGTAAAACAAAGAAAAGAAAAAGAATGAAACATTACAGTAATATTTCAGAGGAAACACAAGGGCTATTGCCAGTGAGGTGCCTTGCAGCTCTTTACAGTTGTCTGCCATATTTACATTTCCCAGTTCGAAGTTGTGCCTCATGAGGAGGTAGAGGGATGCGGAGGACTGGGAGCGGGTGTTGCTGATGCAGGAGCTGCAGTGTCGCAGCAGACGCAGACACAAGTCAGCACACTGCTCCGTCTCCTCCTCAAACAGCAGGTCCAGGAACTGTGGACACAGCAATAAACACAAAGTTAGGCACATGATGGAAACAACACCATGGACAAAATGTACATAGACTCAAGTTAAACAGATACAAACAGATCTGGACACTTTTCCTTTCTGAAATGACGAAAATCGAGAGATCAAGATAGAGTATGATTGGCATCAACATTATTCTGTTTCTAGTAAATCTAGTTATGTACATTAATGACCAATGTAGTTGTTTAAATAAGCTTGTGCTTTAGTCAAGGGCAGACAATTCTAACACCCATGGAACAGCTACAATAAACATGAAACAATTCTCTGATGCACTACGAGGTAAGAATACATCCAACTTGTTACAAACTGGGCCAACTCACCCACTAATTTCAGGAAGTGTGCCAACACTTATCTGAACAAGGGTCAACATGTTTCAAGTTTAGTTTAGTTGCATGAAAACTGACCAATGATTTTTCAATTTGCCAAGGTAATGTCAGCTGAGTATATCTAGCAATGCCCTGGCCTAGAAGCATCCCTGGAATGCCTGGTGTCACATCATCCTTCATTAAGTGTATTGCATTAAACACTGCAACACCCTTCATCTCTGAGCTTCACCCTCTGTCTATGAATGATGAATGTGTCGTTACCTTGGTGACAAGTGCCCTCTGTGTGGAGAAGAGGTTCTGCAAGACCAGCATGCTCTGGTTGAGTCCAAGCATGTGCAGCAGGACACGTAGACCGCTGCTGAGGAGGGGCTGCATCTCGTCGGAAGTCTGCGCAATCTGGGGACAGTGGAACACTCAATAATACCATAATGTCCAGGGGGCAGGGAGGAAATGCTGAGGACAACTTGGACAAGTGAACCACACACAAACAATAAAATAACTTGTCAGGACAATTTCAAACTTTTGGTAAAACCATTTTATTTAATCACCAAATTTCCGAAGTTAAAGGTTCAATAAATTTTCGTGAATTTGTCATTTCCTGAAACTGCATAAACTGTTTCCAAAGATTGTTTCCAAAAAATAATCACAACATTTCAGGAAGCTCACTACAAATACATTTCAGAAATATTTTACGATCTTCAAGAACATTCTTTTACAAGAACTCTTCTCAAACATTTAATGCATATTCATCAATCCTTTCATTTCAAAACATACAATGATTTCAAAGTTTTCACAACCATTTCTCAAAGGTTTATAATTTTACTTGAAAAAATGTAAAACATGAACATTGTGCACTAATTCGCAGAGTTTTTTAATTTCTACAAAGGTAAGTCAATTGAGTGTGAGACCAAATCCTGAAGGGACACTGGCCTTAGATGTTAGTCACTCCAGAAGCACATGGACACAGTGATGACTACAGACCTGTATGATGAGCTCCAGAGTGTCCAGCGAGATCATGCTGACCTCTGCAGCCAGGCTCCCCTCCACATGTGCATCAGACTCAACGTCACGTGGCTTCATGCTGTAACATCCAGCATCAGTGTGTGACAATATTACTGACCAGGTGGGTTACTAATCAGTTTAAAATGTCCCTAGCTTAAATATTTGAGAGCATATTTTCTGTCAGTTCAATGCTTCAGTAAAAGTTCAAGTAACACAGCTTGTGATTGGTTAAGCTATGAATTACAGCCAATCAAAACACTGTCACTCAAGATGAAGGGGGATAACTTTCAACTTGCGAAATTGATTCATTGCCTTTATCATTTGTACTTTTCTTCACATGGGCATACTGATCTACAAATCCTGGTAAATCGTCTCGCCTCTTATCATATAAGAGGAATGTGTAAAGAGAGGTTAATAGGCAGACTGGTGTTTCACAGATTGCCTAGCATAGTCATATAATGAACGAAGGATACTTGTTCTTGTCAACTAATATGTTTATGACAGTGTGACTTGCTAAAGTTAACATTTTCATGAATGGTGCATTTGGGTCTGTTATTGATCCGGGCTACACATCACATAACGTAATCTCCAGAACAATCAACTCCGACATTTAGGGTAATGGAAAAAAAGCAAATCTGAAGACAGGCCAGGCTGAGGAGGCCAGTATATACATGCAGCTGACCTGTCCTGTATCTCCATGGAGTGCCGCCACTGGACCTGGTCCTTCCTCCATCGGAGCCTCATGGAGCCACCTTCTGGAGCCAGTACAGGCGGAGTCCGGTCACCTGCAGTCACAGTGTGGGAGCAAATGTTAGTTGAAAGGCAACACTGTGATCATCACACACGTCAAGAACTTTCTATAGTTAGTTCTAGCAGTCATAGATATGCCTCAGTGAAATGGGTCAATGTCCCATAGCTGTATCATTGAAACATCACATCGATTTGGAAGAAGAATCAGCAAGGCCCCAGCATTAACCCCACTGTGTCCCATGATAAGTATAGCAAGACAGATTGCTTTAGCTCACCTGATTCACCAGACAAGCTGTCCCAGCTCACCAGACAAACTGTCTCACCTCACCAGCTTCCTCAACTCATCAGAGAGACTGCCTTGACTCACCAGACAAACTGCCTTAATTCACCAGATTCACCAGACAAGCTGTCCCAACTCACCAGACAAATTGCCTCACCTTACCAGAGAGACTGATTCAAAACACAAGATTCACCAGAAAAGTTGCCTCCACTCACCAGCTTCCTCAGTTCACAGGCAGACTGCCTCAACTCACCAGACAGACTGCCTCAACTCACCAGACAGACTGCCTCAACTCACCAGACAGACTTCCACAACTCACCAGACAGACTTCCACAACTCACCAGACTTCCACAACTCACCAGCTTCGTCAACCTATCAGACAGACTGCCGCAACTCACCAGACTGTCCCAACTCACCAGACAGACTTCCACAACTCACCACAAATCACCAGACAGACTTCCACAAATCACCAGACAGACTGTCCCAACTCACCAGACAGACTGCCTGCAGTCCCACGTCGACGCATCATCATCTCTGTGCGAGCATTACCAGTGCCCAAGATGGCTTCCTCCAAGCGTGACTTCATGTCAGTGCTCCGCTTCAGCGTCTGCTGGGAGTACTGAGCCAGCATCTTTTTGCCCTGCCACACACATACACAGAGTAAGCAGACAGATGACACAGCTTCTTTGTAAACATCACTGGACAATCGTCCCCATAGCCTGTATAACAGGATCTTCCCTGCAGTACCCCATTCAACAGATACCAACAACCTCGGTTCATCCTTCACCAGATGTTTTTTCCAACTCTCCATATACCCTTTAGTTCATAATAAATTCTGAACAAGACCTCATACCCATCATACATGAAAACGTGCCCTTATATATTTATGTGCAAGTCTTTCACCACCACAAGTCTCAACGACCTGCAGGCAGGCTTTCTCAGGAACCTCTTATCAAATAATTTAAATATCGGATCAGTAATTCATCAAAACTTACTATCCACTAACGAACAGTGCTCCCCGAATGGCCATATCATAACTTGTCCCTTCTCACCTCGTCCTGGTGCCTGTGGGCGTGGCCAGCTGGCCGACAGAGTGAGTCAGTCTCGACATGCCTCATGCCCAGTGCTCGCGATTATTACTAGTGGGCAGAAGGCCCCTCCTAGGCATCCCAGTGTGTTAGCCCCATCGTGGGCATACATGGGTAGGGTATATACTGGCATCATGCATGTCAGTTTCCACTAGTATAATCAGTATAACGCTTGGAATTGTCAAATTTAACAGTTACATGATCTAAACAAATCACAAATCAAATAAATATACATAAGTTCCTCTAAACAAAATCACAGGTTAAAAAGGAAACTTCAGCTAACGACTAATAAAAACAGGAGAAATGATATCACACAACTGGCACTTCTGATAACATATAAATCTCTCATTATCAGCAACATTTGTGAGTAAGGATCGACACCTTGAGGAGTTTAAGATGTGCTTACAAATTGAAAACATTTTCCTTGTCTGTCTCATTTCTTCTGTCTCATCTAAAAATATGGACTAAAATTCGAACAATCTTTAAAATAAGGCCTCTGATAAGGACCTCTTAATTCTCAATTTCACTCACTGATGTTGATTCAATTTATGAGTTATTGGATTGATCATGTAATCGAATAGATAAATCATTATAAACTAAGAAATCTTCTCCAAAAAGGTTCTTCATATTGCTGAAGTGTGTAAGAGCCTCCCCTGGGTTGACACTTGCTTACAAATGCTGTCAATACCAGTCATTCTCCACAATCATCTAGTTTCAGGTCTTAGTCTACTGCTTCATCACTTGACAGAACTACAAATACGTCCTTGGTTCCTGCACAACTGTCACGTTTCTACTTCAAGAAATGTAAACTGGTCGAGTTAGGTGCAAGTTGTTGCCATGGTTACGGACCTGTACCTGCCCTGTGGGATCATCTCGGGAGAAGCTGCGATTAAGCAGAGTCCCCGTGCCCCGAATAAAATCCTGTGACTTTCTCTGAATTCCCTCCCAAAGCTGCTCGTGGAGTGATTGAGATTTGGGCAGGGTGTGGCTTTTAGGCCGCTGAGTGTGAGGGGGGCTATCACCACCGTTACTGCCGCTGCCCCAATCTTCCAAGGTTTCTTCCGACGATGACAAGTTCGGACGCAATAGTCGTAATTGTGTCAGAAGGTCATAGTTGATGATTGCCCATTTGGCCTACAATACAACACTGGACAGTGAACACAGGCAAGCGATAAAGGACAGAAAATGTGAACGTTTCCTCCAATAGCGATCAACAGCCAGAAGCAGGACCTTTGTTTCATGCTGGGGTTAGCTCATCTCATCAGACATGCAGAAACTCAGGGATGTCTGCACAAGGTGACCTCAAAGGTCACCATCATCCGCCTCATCCTTGTCGTCATGGCAACCAATCATCATAAACATCTTCATATCTTCAAAAATTAGGTTTTCTCGGCTGTTTACATCCATGGTATGTCAAGAATTTAAAGCTAATCTGTTTTTCTGCGATTTCAGGGGTGGATGACATCGAGTGGTTGTGAGAGTTCCTCAGTCACCCCATGCAAACATCCCCTATCTGAAGCCGACGGCATGCACAACACATCCCAGACAAGGTCCACCCTCGCTGTCACCACCACCGCTGACACTCACAGTGGACGGTATGGGTTCGTACAGGTTACAGCAAGAGACAAAAGCATCAAGGCTTGCTGGTTCCCCGCAAAGCCACATAACATTAGATGCATGCAAAACAAACATTAGTATAACAAAATGCATACATGAAACAGTAAAACATGTTAAACACTTGTCATTTTCAACAAAAGCACATACAGAACACAACAATTAACGTTAATCAAGCTTATAGCGAAAAAGATTAGAAAATCTTATCAATTTTTAAACATTGTAGAAGAGAAACAAAAAATTTTTTTTTGTATCTTATTTCAGAAATGGTTTACGCAAAAAACCAAAAAAAGTTAAGGTAAATCCCCTCACCAACAGAAAGTTGATTATATACACAAGAGGACAGAAATTATTACACAAAGCTGATTATATAGAAAAAATAGAATGCATAGGTCTGCTGCCTCAGGCAATTAATTCCATGTGAAAATACTGCAGAATAAAATTTGCCACTGACAATGTTTTTCTTCAGGAAAAAATTATGATAATTAATAATGTGAAAACTCCCAATAAAACAGTACTGAAAAAACTAATTTAAGGTGTTCTTCAGTTTTACAAGGTAACAATAACACCATCAGATATACAAAACATCTTAACATACAAATATGTTTTGGTTTTTGTACAAAACTGTTATTAGTGAAACAAACAATGTTGTGGTCCCATGAAAAGACAAAATTATTGGTCAGCAATGAGTAGATTAATAACTTTTCAGAAAGCAAATTAAGCAATATACAACAAAAGATTTAACGCAGTATTGTGTGATAAGAACGTCGCATCAGAGTCTCATGTACCAGAACCACAACATTGTATGTATGTCTTCATACTAGTGATTGAGGCTACAGACAAATCGCTTCTGCATCTACATCTATGCTAGTAAGCTGTAACTACTGCTACAGATGGCACAGGGTTACAGCAGACAGTGATGGTGGATGAGAGATGACCAAGATAGACCCACTCCACACTCAGCCGACCACACCCACACCTAGCAGTGAGGACGTCCGGGGACGGCGGAAGTCACAGCCGACGCATCCAACAGGTACAGGGGAAGAGGCCGGGCATACAACTCCAGGACTCCATGCTATTATGGTAGGGGATTGACATACAACTACGTGACAGCACTACTGATCTTTGTGATGGGCATTCAGAACACAAGCTTGAAGGATCCTCTAACACCTACAACCCCAGGTCCTGGTCAACCAGCTGTGATTGTGGATCGACTAGCTATTCAATACACCTTCACATCCCACGTGATGATATAAATAATAAATGGATGGAACATTTATCAATGTACAGGATACGCAAGATGCAAATGACATACATATTTTTTGAAGATTCGCTTTCGACCAATAGGAAATGTTAAGTACTGATCTAGTATTCTCGTTTGTGGATCTTCTGGATCTACCTGGATATTACCCCTAAATGTGTAAGTCCAGTTCCGCAGGTTGGTTAACTCTGCTCTGTATTTCAGCCATATAAAGTTTGTACTGTTAACATGCCAGAGATGCATTTTTTAGCAACAATTCACATAATAGGGATGGACGTACAAGACCTATCACGAGAAACACAGCTTGCTGCAAACCTATTGTGACCTGGAGTCCCCACATGGAATAGGTTGTTGAGAACATTCTATTCAGACAAAGTGTTGATAGCTGGGGACCTGTTCTAACATGGCTTCCCCATGACAAAACAAGCATACATTGCTGGGGACCTATTCTAACTTCTATTCATCAAGAGGAGACAAGCATACATTGCTGCGGACCTATTCTAACCTCGATTTCTCAAGAGGAGACAAGCATACATTGCTGGGGACCTATTCTAACCTGAATTCTCAAGAGGAGACAAGCATACATTGCTGGGGACCTATTTTAACCTCAATTTCTCAAAGAGGAGACAAGCTTACGTTGCTGGGGACCTATTCTAACCTCGATTTCTCAAGAGGAGACAAGCATACATTGCTGGGGACCTATTCTAACCTGAATTCTCAAGAGGAGACAAGCATACATTGCTGGGGACCTATTTTAACCTCAATTTCTCAAAGAGGAGACAAGCTTACGTTGCTGGGGACCTATTCTAACCTCGATTTCTCAAGAGGAGACAAGCTTACGTTGCTGGGGACCTATTCTAACCTCAATTTCTCAAGAGGCGACAAGCATATGGGGACCTATTCTAACCCAGATTCCACCAGAGGCGACAAGCTTACGTTGCTGGGGACCTATTCTAACCCTGATTCCACAAGAGGAGACAAGCACAGGTTGCTAGGGACCTATTCTAACCCAGATTCCACCAGAGGCGACAAGCTTACGTTGCTGGGGACCTATTCTAACCCTGATTCCACAAGAGGAGACAAGCACAGGTTGCTAGGGACCTATTCTAACCCAGATTCCACCAGAGGCGACAAGCATACGTTGCTGGGGACCTATTCTAACCCTGATTCCACAAGTGGAGACAAGCACAGGTTGCTGGGGACCTATTCTAACCCAGATTCCACAAGTGGAGACAAGCATACATTGCTAGGGACCTATTCTAATCCTTATTCCACAAGTGGAGACAAGCATACGTTGCTGGGGACCTATTCTAACCCTGATTCCACAAGAGGAGACAAGCATACGTTGCTAGGGACCTATTCTAATCCTTATTCCACAAGTGGAGACAAGCATACGTTGCTGGGGACCTATTCTAACCCTGATTCCACAAGAGGAGACAAGCACAGGTTGCTGGGGACCTATTCTAACCCAGATTCCACAAGAGGAGAAAAGCACAGGTTGCTGGGGACCTATTCTAACCCTGATTCCACAAGTGGAGACAAGCATACGTTGCTGGGGACCTATTCTAACCCTGATTCCACAAGTGGAGACAAGCACAGGTTGCTGGGGACCTATTCTAACCCAGATTCCACAAGTGGAGACAAGCATACATTGCTAGGGACCTATTCTAATCCTTATTCCACAAGTGGAGACAAGCATACGTTGCTGGGGACCTATTCTAACCCAGATTCAACAAGAGGAGACAAGCACAGGTTGCTGGGGACCTATTCTAACCCAGATTCCACAAGAAGAGAAAAGCACAGGTTGCTGGGGACCTATTCTAACCCTGATTCCACAAGAGGAGACAAGCACAGGTTGCTGGGGACCTATTCTAACCCAGATTCCACAAGAAGAGAAAAGCACAGGTTGCTGGGGACCTATTCTAACCCAGATTCCACCAGAGGCGACAAGCATACGTTGCTGGGGACCTATTCTAACCCTGATTCCACAAGTGGAGACAAGCACAGGTTGCTGGGGACCTATTCTAACCCAGATTCCACAAGTGGAGACAAGCATACATTGCTAGGGACCTATTCTAATCCTTATTCCACAAGTGGAGACAAGCATACGTTGCTGGGGACCTATTCTAACCCTGATTCCACAAGAGGAGACAAGCATACGTTGCTAGGGACCTATTCTAATCCTTATTCCACAAGTGGAGACAAGCATACGTTGCTGGGGACCTATTCTAACCCTGATTCCACAAGAGGAGACAAGCACAGGTTGCTGGGGACCTATTCTAACCCAGATTCCACAAGAGGAGAAAAGCACAGGTTGCTGGGGACCTATTCTAACCCTGATTCCACAAGTGGAGACAAGCATACGTTGCTGGGGACCTATTCTAACCCTGATTCCACAAGTGGAGACAAGCACAGGTTGCTGGGGACCTATTCTAACCCAGATTCCACAAGTGGAGACAAGCATACATTGCTAGGGACCTATTCTAATCCTTATTCCACAAGTGGAGACAAGCATACGTTGCTGGGGACCTATTCTAACCCAGATTCAACAAGAGGAGACAAGCACAGGTTGCTGGGGACCTATTCTAACCCAGATTCCACAAGAAGAGAAAAGCACAGGTTGCTGGGGACCTATTCTAACCCTGATTCCACAAGAGGAGACAAGAATATGTTGCAGGGGACCTAATATCCCTCGGGTTCCCCTTCAACTCTATGAGGTGATAATACAGGATAAACATTAGTGTAACACATCCCCAAATGAAAGCACAAAATTCTGAGGTCTAACTGAACAAACTGACATTATGAATGTGTACTATATTTCTTAGCCTTACAAGAGTCTTGTGAAAGTGCATGCAATATCTTATTGACATCAGATCTGATAATCAACAAAATAGAAATCGTACACCCTGTGATCCAAAATACCCACGCTATTCTTAAAGTACATTTCATTTCAATTTACTACGACTAAAGTGAATCATTCACACAATTATTGACATTTTACTGTATGACGAACTGTAACGGATACTTGAGCATACACCTACTAATGACCCTCATCATCTTTAAGCAGGTTAGTCGGAAACAAGTCAAACAAACATTCAAACTCAACAGTCACAGTGATGGAAAGGGAGGTAACTTCTAACAGGTGAGAGGTGATCACCATGACAGCTGTTTCTCAGCATGATCTGTGATGATGTGGACCTCATGACCCAAATCTCAACATGCTTGTTGTAACATTGTAAGGGAAGACACACCAATTCTACACTTATGCTGCAATGCTCTATTCCAAAGTCAAAGGAAAAGTTCAAAAGTCCCAAACCGAACCATAATAAACCCATGAAACTGAAAATCTATTGTAACAAATAGTTTCTACAAAAAGTGTGCCATAAAAGATTCATGTTCATACTGGACAAAATGTCCTTTTCATATACCAGTAAACAGTTCCGTGTCTTATCTTGACACATCAAGACTAAACTGAACTAAGCTGAACTAAACTATATATTTACACTTTGACCTCGCTCTGCGGCATTGACTGCTAAGCACAGTTACCTGACAAAACCAAAATGGCCGTATTCCAGCATCCTGTCACATGATCACAGTCAAGGTGAGATAATGCTTTGAACCAATGAATGATGCTTATTAATGGTTTGGTTAGAAAACACAAAGCAACTTACTGACAGCATCATGTCTGTATCTGAATGAGTTACTAGCCTAGACAAGCAGGCTAAACCAATACACTTGATTGTGTACAGCACTCAGACATGGAACAGCCACCATCCATGATAAAGGATGGATACTTTGCATGTCTCTTATACTGTATAACTGCTGCTACTGCTGTACGACTAATCTTAACTTTGCGCATTGTTACTAGTTAATCCTAGTCTTCAAAAAGCAGGTACTATTTGTAGCACTGTCGGTACTGCTGTACGACTAATCTTAACTTTACTCATCGTTACTAGTTAATCCTAGCCCATGAAAAGCAGGTACTATTTGTAGAACTGTCAGTACTGCTGTACGACTAATCTTAACTTTACTCATCGTTACAAGTTAATCCTAGTCCATGAAAAGCAGGTACTATTTGTAGCACTGTTGATACTGCTGTACGACTAATCTTAACTTTACGCATCGTTACTAGTTAATCCTAGTCCATGAAAAGCAGGTACTATTTGTAGCACTGTCTGTACTGCTGTACGACTAATCTTAACTTTGCTCATCGTTACTAGTTAATCCTAGTCCATGAAAAGCAGGTACTATTTGTAGCACTGTTGGTACTGCTGTACGACTAATCTTAACTTTGCTCATCGTTACTAGTTAATCCTAGTCTTCAAAAAGCAGGTACTATTTGTAGCACTGTCTGTACTGCTGTACGACTAATCTTAACTTTGCTCATCGTTACTAGTTAATCCTAGTCTTCAAAAAGCAGGTACTATTTGTAGAACTGTCAGTACTGCTGTACAACTAATCTTAACTTTGCTCATCATTACTAGTTAATCCTAGTCTTCAAAAAGCAGGTACTATTTGTAGCACTGTCTGTACTGCTGTACGACTAATCTTAACTTTGCTCATCGTTACTAGTTAATCCTAGTCCATGAAAAGCAGGTACTATTTGTAGCACTGTCTGTACTGCTGTACGACTAATCTTAACTTTACTCATCGTTACTAGTTAATCCTAGTCCATGAAAAGCAGGTACTATTTGTAGCACTGTCTGTACTGCTGTACGACTAATCTTAACTTTGCTCATCGTTACTAGTTAATCCTAGTCCATGAAAAGCAGGTACTATTTGTAGCACTGTCTGTACTGCTGTACGACTAATCTTAACTTTGCTCATCGTTACTAGTTAATCCTAGTCCATGAAAAGCAGGTACTATTTGTAGCACTGTCGGTACTGCTGTACGACTAATCTTAACTTTACTCATCGTTACTAGTTAATCCTAGTCTTCAAAAAGCAGGTACTATTTGTAGCACTGTCTGTACTGCTGTACGACTAATCTTAACTTTGCTCATCGTTACTAGTTAATCCTAGTCCATGAAAAGCAGGTACTATTTGTAGCACTGTCAGTACTGCTGTACGACTAATCTTAACTTTGCTCATCGTTACTAGTTAATCCTAGTCTTCAAAAAGCAGGTACTATTTGTAGCACTGTCTGTACTGCTGTACGACTAATCTTAACTTTGCTCATCGTTACTAGTTAATCCTAGTCCATGAAAAGCAGGTACTATTTGTAGCACTGTCTGTACTGCTGTACGACTAATCTTAACTTTGCTCATCGTTACTAGTTAATCCTAGTCCATGAAAAGCAGGTACTATTTGTAGCACTGTCTGTACTGCTGTACGACTAATCTTAACTTTGCTCATCGTTACTAGTTAATCCTAGTCCATGAAAAGCAGGTACTATTTGTAGCACTGTCGGTACTGCTGTACGACTAATCTTAGCTTTACTCATCGTTACTAGCTGTTACTAGTCTATAATCAGCAGATACTGATTTTACCATGACTGAAACTGGTGTTCCACCTCTCTTCTGATCATAACTTATCCAAATTAATCTTTAAAGAGCAGCAGCACTAAAGCTTAGGCGAGGAGCTTCAACCAACTCTGGCTCTATGCTGTACAATACATACCTCCAGGTTAAACAGTTTTTAAAGACCCAGTTTCCCATTTATGAACATCATGTGAATAAATTCTGGGCAAAAACATAACATTACTGTGAACAGAATGACATTCTTCCCCAAAATTGATCCAGAATGCAAGGTGTCCAGATTAAAGGGATCCAAACTGAAAAGGTTTCTCTGTTCTACTACTCAAACATCATCATCATTATACTTTTTAACTGCTGGAATAAAGCCACAGCAAGACTACAACACGTTGAAGCTTATACAAGGCCTGCGAGTTCGCAATGCGTCTTAGCACCAATGCTATTGATATTCATGGTATAGCAGTTACAACAGATCCAGTGCTAAGACAGATGAGTGGAACGGAACCAGCTTATCACTAAGTTGCCTTGCTACTATCATCACTACTGGTGCTAGGGGATGGATATTAATAGTTTGTGGATATTATCTGCTACACAGCAAACACTAGCCCATGGTCAGGTTACATTAGTAGACATGCTCACAGTACACGCCTTGAGTCGGAACACTGGATGATGCAGTTATAGGATGAACGTTGAACATGTTACCATGGTTACTGCTATTAACTTTTATTAGATTACTTTTGGTAAGTATCAATAAGAATATAATTTATACATACAAAGAAACAGATTAAGATTAAGAGGAATTCAATTTTGTAAATGTTATGCTTAGAATTATAGCCAGCTTATTAAGATCAAACTTTAATCACACAAAGATCAACATCTAGCTAATGAAAACTTTTGATGATCAATCTGAACGCATCATTTCTTAGTACTAACAAAAATGTTTGAGATCAACAACCATAATATACCCAAATACTGCAAGTCATGACATTAATGCAAGCAGGAACTTTTATAAAAACATTTTCAATCACATGATCTGAAGAATTATTTTGGAAAATTGTAAAAATAGCTTTATTTTTTTTAATATAAGAAAAGTCATTGCATTTTTAATGGGTCATTATCGGCATTAAGGACTATATCATTTTAATGGCATTAATTTCATGACTTACAGAATCAGGATGATGTAATGAATATGAACAGTTATACACAGGCAACAGGTGCCCTACAGAGAGGATTAGGGTATGGAGAACCTTGTACTCGAAGTTGGACACGCAGAAGTAGACGACCTCCAGGAGCTTGTTCAACTTCACCATCGGCAGGTCCCCCCACCACTGCTTCAATAAGGTGTGTTCTGCGTTCTTCAACACCCACAGAAAACAGATGAGCAAGTTCCGCGTGGTTTCCATGTTCAGAGGACATTTCCTAATCTGGAATTAGGCAGAAAACATAGCATTGAGCAGTCGACATCAATGGGACATCAAACAGCCAGTACTTCCCTGAGACTAACGTAAGCTCAAATATAATATAAGTTACATCTAACCACTTTCTAACTGGCATCACAGTTCTCTCCAGGTATACAAACGAGTCCGGTAATTCTGCGCGTCCGGTAATTCTGCGCAGCTGCAATAGCGTGCTTCCGTATCGAGGTAAACAACGTCTGCTAACACATTTACGCTTGAAATTGGGACATTTCTACAAGGGACTGGCTTTTGATCACTAAACGTAAGTAAATAACAGTAATTGACAGATCAATTGACAGTTTTATGAAAAGTCGTTTTCTTCCTTACATTGATGAAGTGACTTTTGAAAATAATCTGGCCTAATACGCTTCCATACTTTGGATCTCCAACTGGATGTTATGCGCATCAGTTGCTGCGCAGAATTACCGGACAGCAAGCGATGTCGTCAGAACGCCAGTAAGGTCAACCGTATGGCATAATGCAACGTGAGAATCTTATAGTCTTATATATATTTCTAGGTAAATATGATTCATACCAGCATGTTTAGTCACGTAAACCACAAAAAATAAGAGACGTTAGTTGCCGTGTTGCGATCGATGTGCTTAGGTGCGCGGAATTACCAGACGGCATTGTAACGTCACCAGTACCGTTTCCTCATGATACTGAAGGGGATGGAATATGTAAAGCAGGATAATATTAGGATCCAATATCCACCGTAATGACACCCAGGGACTTGGGTTGCCCAGTCTAAGGTTCTGCAGTGCAATGTAGAGTTGCCTCCCTTCGGCATGCCAGAATCCTACGATGAAGTATGAATCCGTGTTTGCCATGAGCCTGATTCTAGGTTTGTGAGAACAATACCTATGCTTGTGGGTTTCACCAAAGAGGCAACTGATTAGACCTGCATCACTTCAGGTCTTTACCCCACATGAAGCTCTTACACTGTGATACGATGGAAATCACAGGCCTGTAGTGGTGTAAAACCACTCCTCTCGTGAGGTCATTCATTTCATTTGTCTAGAGAAAGCTGCACTGATCTCACCTTCCCTGATGGCTCATTCGGGTCATAGGGTGCCTCTCCACTGGCACAGAAGGATGCACCAGCAATAGCCAGGGCCAGTTTCTTGCTGATCTTGTCCCCCTCCTCATCAAAGTTACTTGACTCTCTGTTCCGACCTTCAGCATTCGGGTCGTACATCTGGGGTAGTGCCCCCATCACAATCCCCACCAGAGGCAGGTACATGGCAGATAGGCGGCCTTTCACCTCTGGGTTGGTGTAGCGTACATCCAGATCGTGGTTATACAACAAGTTGCGAACAACATTGACAGCCCTCTGATGGATGGATGGATTGCTGCAATAGAAACAATTCTCACAAAAATTACAGCAGTACTAGTAATATCTGATCTTTTACTCTCATAAGACACCCAAACAGTAAGATCTACAAACCCTGAGGAAACTTTCCCCATGCTAAACAAGACGACATGGTCATGAATATCCCCCGCCACAGTGTTCTGTTCCTATTTTGACAACTATTCCTTCTTCCTACAAATAGCCATACATAAGCTGTTAAATGAAAAAATCTGTTCCCATTGGAAACGCATGACCAGGGCCATAACTCTGTAATGAATTGTAACACAGTTTCCATTTTCGAACTCCATCAAAGGCATTTGTGTTCTGAAAATACGTACAACATTTGGTTTCCCTATCCAGAGCTCCAGATAAGATTTAGCTCAAATGGGTACTGTACCCACTGTATTTTTTTGGAGTGGGTATTATGAATGTTGAGTGGGCATTTCATTTACCCACTGCTTTCAAATATGTGCGTATTTCAGTCACTTTACTCACCTAAATATTATGTCATTGAGCAAGTTTACTAAGCAGGTATGTTCTGCCTTATGTCATACCTAATCAAAACCAACTTAAATATAATGGAAATTATTTCATAAAACATCACTCATCCTATACTAACAGTACAACTTGATAGCAATCGATATCTTTTTCATTATGCAAGCACTTTTTATAAATATATTCCATACGCATTTGTTTTAAACTTTTTGCGTATCTAACATTTTTAATGTGTAATTGGTACGCAACAATTATTTTTCAATGCTTAATTCTATGCGTATTTTACCCGGATACGCAACTTATCTGGGCCTCTGCCTATCTGTAACAGTTTTTGAGAAAATCTGTCCCCATCATCTCGGACAGATGGACGGATGGAGCTCAAACCTATATCCCCCTCCAACTTCATGGCGGGGGATAATAAAGAATTGTTTGGGTCCTAGGCCAAATCAGATATAACTTTCTAACAATTCACTATCACTTACCACCATGGTTCTAACATTTAAACAACCAAAATCCTAAAGACAACAAGAATTGGATGTTGATGTACATTCATAAGATAAAGATACCAATTACGCAGAGGTCTCTGAATGCTACGACTAAAGAATCTTGTAGTCTTTGTGATGAATGGCTCATTAGAAGGGATTAGATTAACCTATCTCCTATTGATTTGCTCACATCTTCGTAAATAAATCCAATCAATGTAAATTGTACTTTTTATAAAGTTTAAAACTTTAAAAAACATTCTCCAATGTTTTAGCATACAAGAGAATGCAAAGGTCAAAGGGATTAACCAAAGTAGTTTTGAAACTAAGACACCAATTTGTATAACTCACAATGTATCAAAGGCTGCTGAGAGATCAGACAACACGAGACCCACAAGGAAGTGCTGCTGTCGGAACTCTGGCGTCAGCTCGAGGAACACGCCCTTGTCTGTCAGAGTGCTGGTGGATGTGTTGGAAGCGAAGGAGTGGTGTGAGATGGCACTGCCAGAGCTGGGGGTGGGGCTGGCAGTACCTGAAGGGGTGAGGGGGGTGGCGAAGGGGAGGTTGAGGGGGAAGTAGTGTTCGTGGGAGCAGATGATGCGGATGAAGTCGAGGCGAAGCAGGATGAGGCTGGTGGAGTCCGACAACTGGGACATGCGGCCTGCAATCTGGAAACAAAAACAGGTAGATGTATAATATGTACATCAGAGTCAGAATGAGTGATGCTTGATAATGGTGTTAGCATCTACACCAAAATGATGCATCCACCGCAATTAAGAAGTTGTCTATCCATATAAAACTCGTTCCTGTTCATAATACCAGCTTCTAAATGCCACTCAGAGAAGAATCAGAATTTGTTAAGTCATTGTTGATTTAAGCAACACACCAATATTTGGGCTATATGTTGGTTTCCTGTAAATAACTGTGTCTGGACGAGGCAATTCAGTGATTGATGTTATGAGCATTAAACCAAGTATTGGTTATGACAACAGACAACCAACCAGGCCACTGATCCTGCCTGCTATCAAGTCATCTGTGACAATATACACAGCGAGCTGTTTGCTAACCTGAAATCATCACTTTACTGAAGCGAAGATATGAGTGAGTGAGTGAGTTTAGTTTTACGCTGCACTCAGCAATATTCCAGCTACATGGTGGCTGTCTGTAAATAATCGAGTCTGGACCAGACAATCCAGTGATCAACATGAGCATCGATCAGTGCAATTGGGAACTGATGACATGTGTCAACCAAGTCAGCGAGCCTGACCACCCGATCCCATTAGTCGCCTCTTACGACAAGCATAGTCGCCTTTTGTGGCAAGCATGGGTTGCTGAAGACCTAATCTACCTCGGATCTTCACGGGTTACAAAGATATGAGTACCTATTTGTTTAGCAAACATTCATTATCATCAGCCATCTGACTGTACAAGAAAGAAATTGTTACAAAATGTAATACGTCAGTCTGTGACTGGAAAGAATTCTGCCATATGTGTTCTTAATGCAGACCTCAAAAAAGAACTGTATGTTATGACAGACACCTTTTCACGTCACTAAAATCGAAAAGTGGCAAACCATTTTTTAAAATATTGCAAAACATTATTGCATACAAATTCACATATATTACCAGTGAATGATGTTTGATGGTAAGGAGGTTCAGAGATGCTAGAGAATATCTGTGATAACTTTTAAATCTGAGAACTGTCAACATCTTTTGATTTTATCATAAAGGTGATAACAAGGACCACGCACCTAACTTCGAAGTGTGGACTTGTAAGACAGTATTTCCCCAATTCTGAGGCTTGTGTTGAGCTGTGTACTCACCGTGCGACAGTAGGTGTGGATGTATGTGAAGATGGTGCCTCGGTCCATCAGACACATCAGGTCATGGAGGAAGAACGCCAGGCTGGTGTTCAGGCTCTTGATCAAAGGAGGATCCTGCATCATCACAATTGTAACATCAATACAGGAAACAAAACAAGTCGAGTCAAAGTGAAGCCTAATGTTAACTACACACTCAGTTATTTCTATTTTACAGTGCATGAGCTGGCTTAAACACAACCTTTCACAGTATTCCAGTTACCTATATCACAGTGTGTCAGCTGTGGTTCCTTACAATGACGGGGCGGTGGGGTAGCCTAATGGTTAAAGCGTTGGCTCGTCACGCCGAAGACCCGGGTTCGAATCCCCACATGGGTACAATGTGTGAAGCCCATTTCTGGTGTTCCCCGCCGTGATGTTGCTGGAATATTGCTAAAAGCGGCGTAAAACCAAACTCAGTCAGTCAGTCCTTAAATGACAGTTTCCTGGTGTGAATAAGGGAGGGAACTCTGCACCATGAACTGAATGATTGTTGGGAAACTAGATTTCCCGTGACCATATTTAAGGATTATGATTCCTTAGACCACTATCACATTACATGTCACAAACAATTTACTGTGTGAGTGAGGGCAGTTTCACACAGCTTTTGACTTTATTTCAACAAAATCACATAATGTAAAAGCACTTTATGTTCTGTTATAAAATGTCAGTGTTGTCATATTCCTTCCAATCCTTCGTATTCTTTACGACCTTAGACTGACTGACTGACTGAGTTTGGTTTTACGCCGCTTTTAGCAATATTCCAGCAATATCGCGGTGAGGGGATTCCTTGCCCATGTGGGAATCAACCCTCCTAGCCAATCCAGCGCTTTAACCACTGGGCTACCCCATTTAGAGATGTATGTTCTAAAGTGAGTGATTCCTTCTGGCAACTCCTACCACTGCCCACCTCCATTTAATGAATAAAGTGAGTAAGTTTAATTTTACGTTTAATGAATGAAAGGTCCCTTGGTACTTTCGTTTGATTGGGTAATGTACAATCTCAGTTTTCCAAACCCAACAAAGATCAAAATGACTCCAACAGACTAATTCTGATGATCTTTCGGTAGGGATGATCCAATCTCCAATTTTTACAACATGCAAACATACTATATTTGATTACAGCTTCAGACATACCCGGATATATCTGTCGACGATGTCTCTGATGAGCGTGTTGACGAGGGAGGAGATATCGTCCAAGAAGTGGTCAGGGAAGCGCATCTGTCTCGGAGCAGTGAGTCGATCTGCTTGACTTAGATGCTCGGCCATACTCTTCACCTGGCAAAAATGTAATTTTTAGAGTAAAATTGATATTTTATACTTATCCTGACTCATGCTCTTTTGCTTGTCTTCTTCTTCTTGCGAACATAGTGGAACACTTGTATCTCCTTATTTGAAGCTCCCTTCAAAATAAAATCACTAATTGGTACTCACCACGAGTTGCTCCCCTTTGTCTCCCCTGGCGGGAAAAGGTGTCGCCACCCTCTGGCCATGTGCTCCACTCTCTCCTGATTTAGCGAGCCCAACACTTGAATTTACAGGGAAATCCAAAGTGTTATGTGGGGAGGATGGGAGGGCTAACCTCATGAGTCAGGATAAGTATAAAATATCAATTTTACTCTAAAATTACATATATCTCCTTATTTGAAGCTCCCTTCAAAATAAAATCACTAATTGGTACTCACCACGAGTTGCTCCCCTTTGTCTCCCCTGGCGGGAAAAGGTGTCGCCACCCTCTGGCCATGTGCTCCACTCTCTCCTGATTTAGCGAGCCCAACACTTGAATTTACAGGGAAATCCAAAGTGTTATGTGGGGAGGATGGGAGGGCTAACCTCATGAGTCAGGATAAGTATAAAATATCAATTTTACTCTAAAAATTACATATTTTCCCTTATCCTGACTCATGCTCTTTGCTTGTAGCATCCTACACGGAACGGAGGTGGGTAACAGAATACTTTGGATTTATAATTAGTGATTTTGTATAGATATACTGTAATATCCCCTACGGGAACTTCATGAAGTCTTAGATTTAGGATGTATCCTGTATAAAGAAAACCATAGGTTATATAAAGCCATTAAAGGGGAATTACATTATGAATATATTGAACAATACATATAAATTATATATATATATATATAGGTGACTCTGATAGAGGCACTGAAATTGACTATATCCAAGTATATGCTTAAGGTAGAATACTTAAGCTGAACATATATACATAGCCCTAAAACTCCTTAGAGTTATAAGCTAGATGAGTATGTATAAAATACATATTAATCTTGTGAGGCTAATATTTTAACGCCTCTGAGGGACTGTCAGTTGCTGAGCGAGGACCAGTGGTCCGAAATGGTGAATGCCAGAGACATCTTCTGTAGTGATGTCTCTTAGGTAGTGATTAGCAAATACCATGTTAGATTTCCAATAGCATCCTTCCATAATCGTGTTCAAGGAACAGTTACCGTGTAGGGTAGGAAGCGAGGGTAGAGGCCAGTGCCCTGATCTCATGTGGATTTGATGCTGTTGGTGGGTCCAAGCCTGCTGCCTTGTAGGCACGGAGAATGACAGTCCTTATCCAAATAGATATTGTGGTCCGTGACACTTCTGTTTGATTAAAGGCGATAATGGGATGAATAAACGTTTGAGAAATCTTCTCCTTGTTTTGGATCGTCGTAAATAAACTTTGAGCTCTTACCGGACACAGTGATAGGTCTTGTGTATCTTGTGATCCGAGAATAGAGGATAGCGCCCGGGATGTGGAATAATCTGTCTGGTTGACCTGGCAGTTGATTCTTTGCAATGAAATCCCATCTTAATCCGAGGTGCGCTGTGTTATGATTGTCATCAAACTGTATCCTCTCAGTAATCCAGAGCGTGAATTTCAGACATTCTTGCTGCTGTGGCTAGCGATAGCAGAAACAATGTTTTCTGTGAGAGAAATTCAAAGTTTGTCGATTCCAGGGTTCATAGACCTCACTCGTGAGGTGTTGTAACACTACATTCAGATCCCAAGCTGGGCGTGGAACTTCCGCTTTTGGTCCTCCAATCGGAAAGCTCGTGAAAAAGGCCAGTAACTCTGGAGATCTTGTCAATTTGACACCCGTTCTCATGGTGATTACAGAGCTAAGCGGCCGCAAGATATGTTGATATCGCTGAACCTTTTAAATGTTTGTTTTGGCGTAGGTAACACAAATAGTCTGCCACTTGAGGTTGTGAAGCCTCTCTTGCTGTAAACCCTTTCTTTGTTGCATAATTTTTGAAACTGTGCCACTTGTCGTCGCATACAAGCCACGAAGTTGAGTAACGTAAAGCAAGCGTGACTGCTTTTGCCGCCCTGGCAGAATATCCTCTCTTGTTTAAACACATTTGTATACAGTCCATACGTGTAGTTGGAACATTGCTGGGTTTCCGTGCACTTGTTTGGTGTGAGGATGAATTAACAGGTTTTGGCGCTTGGGCAGCTCCAGTGTTGGTTGACCGATTTCTTGAATTAGTATGGAAACCACGTTCTGGCCCGGCCAGTAGGGGCGACCAAAGTGAGTTGTAGGCTCTGTGTTTGTCTGATTTTCTGTAATACTTGAGGTATTATTGCTGGCGGCGGAAACGCTGTGACGCATTGAGGCCTTCCCATGATAGACTTAGAGCGTCCGTTGCCCAAGCTTGGGGTCTGGGACTGGTGACACGAATGTCGGTAGCTGATTGTTGAATCGCGTGGCGAATAGGTCTATTAGCTGGCGCTCCTAATTGCTTGATTATCTGTGCAAAAATTTCCCGGTTGATCATCCACTCTGTCGGTGATGGTAGATGAGGCCGTAGAGAGAGCGCCTGCTAGTATATTTCTGGCTCGGGAATGTGCACTGCTTTGACATGTAGATTTAGATCTTGTATTAAATCGAACAGTTGAAAGCTTAGGTTCAAAAGGTTCATCGATCTCGTTGAGCCTTGCTTGTTTATGTAGAACGCCACTGTCGAATTGTCTGTATGGATCATTAGGCTGCGCATTTTGTAGAAATGTGCTCCAATGTAGAATGGCGTTGATTACAGCTTTCATTTCTAGACTGTTTATATGGAGTTTGCATTCTTGCTGATTCCATAACCCTGATATCGTGTGGTTGGTGAGATGAGCTCCCCAACCTTGGAGTGACGCGTCTACATACAGATGGGTTTTGTATTCCTGCTCTGCTAAACAAATCCCTTCGCAGACATTCGATTTCTTGGTCCACCATAGTAGATGTGGTCTGAGATGTTTCGGTAGACTGAATGGTTGTACATCGTTGAGATGTGCGTTGATGAGGACCTGTAGGGGACGAACTGTAATCTGCCTGTGACAGTCATGTCTTGGGCTGATGTGAGAAGACCTAGTAGGCTCTGCCATTGTCGCGAGTGGTAACGGAGAGAGTAGAGCTGGTGGAATGGTCTGTTGTATCTTGAGCCAACGGTCTTCTGGTACCATAATACGGTTGCGATTTGTGATGAATCGAATACCTAGGAACTGTAGGTCTTGCGATGGTACTAGGTCCGACTTGCGTAAGTTTACTAACCAACCTAGTTGTGTTAGTAGCTTTATGATGTAATTTAACTGTAGTTTGAGACGAAAGTGGATCTTGATCTACTTGTATCCCGTCGTCGAGGTAAAACGCACTCGCGTAGCCCCTTGACGATGTAGAAATTTGATAATCGGTTTCGTTATCCTCGTGAATAGCCAGGGGGCTGATGATATTCCGAATGGGAGTACTTTCCACTGGTAATGTAGCCCTTCTAGAGTAAATCGTAGGTATTTCCTGGAATCGGGATGAATGGGGATGTGCAAGTAGGCATCCTGTAGATCTATGCTGCCCATGTAGTCCATAGGACGAATCATCTGGCGTAACTGAGGTAAATGTATCATGCTTAAACTTCGTGGTTTGCGCGAGATAGTTCTTGTTGAAAAGCTCATGTTGTAGATGAGTCTGTATTTCTCCGTGGAGTTTTTCTTGGGAACTAGGAAAACTGGGGAGTAGAAACCTGGTTCGACGTTTGCTTGATCTATTACTTCTATGGCCTGTTTGGATAGGAGTGATGAGACAGCCTCTTTTATCTTTGGTAGTTGTTGCGCTTGTAAATCGAACTTGGGGGGTTTGATTGTCAGCGGAGGCTTGTCCTGTAGAGGGATACGAAATCCGTGTTGAATAATGTTGGAGACGTAAGGATCTTGCAGTATTCCCCAGTTTTCCCAGTGTAGTTGGAGGCGTCCACCCACTTGAGCTGGTTGTACTGGAACGGCTGGGGGTGGAAGACTCCAGTCGTTCCGAACCTGTGTTTCAGCGTCTATAATTGCGGGAACCTCTGGGTGTCCTGCCTCTTCCTGATCCTCCTCTATAGTTGCCATATGGGCTTAATTTAAAAGAATCTTTACCTCTAGAGCTGGCTATCTTCCTGTCTCTTGCTCTTTGTAGGCCCGTGAACTTAGATCTGCCTGAGTATCTTTGTGAAGTCTGGACGAATGACGCTGGCTAGTGTGTCCATCGATCTAATCATAAGGACTTCCCTGGAATCCTTAGAGACTTCCTTGGCGACCTTTGTCGATTTCTCCGTCAAAGATGGATGTTGTCGACCACGGGCTGTATAAAGTGGGGCTGTAAAGTTCTCCCCAATTACAGGAGGCGAGGAGGCCTTGACGACGAGCTAAGGTCAGTGCTGCTGAAACAGATGTAAGATGATCCGCTAAAACTGCTGATCTTTCTTTTGCATAAGTAAGGCAGAATAAATCATTCTATCATCTTCCGTCGTGGAATCCGAATCTAGTAATAAGAGTCTCATTGATCGCCCTAGATCTATTTAACCCAAAGAACATAATGCCTCGCCATGGTTTCTATATGAGCCAACTTGCGATCATCCATCTTGTAAATCTTGTTCTTTACATCGCTGATGATCTTATAGTTCTCATCGATGTCCTGGGCCTTGTAGAAGGAGTCCATGTTATCGCGTGGAGAACTTCTTGGCTTGAAAGTTGGGTAGATGTGGTATCTGAACTTTCGTAGCTTTCTGGAAAGCTGCATCTAGATTCTGTGGCACTGCATAATCGGTCGATCGGGGTAGAGTGATTGCATCTGGATCATCTTCCTTCATCAAATACGCCTGAGCTGTATTGCCACTTTTAGATGGTGATGTGAGATCTAGGTTATTGACCATCCAATACCGTGATTCTGCATCAGAAAATATGATTCCTCCATCATCCTCAAAACCATCATCATTAATAAATTGTAGATGCTCGCCGGGACTGCGCGTAGCTATCTGAATATCTGATGAGGTTTGTGGCGATCTAGTTGACTTGTGCGCTCTATGTGGAGATCTGATGGGTGATCGACCTGGTGATGAAGCGGAGTGGAGATCGTCTATGGGATGATCTTCTCGGAGACTTGTGAGGTGAATGTTGATAGCTTCAAGCTCTTCGGCAGTCCCTCGATGTTCTTCTAGACGATGAAGATCTGGAATCATATGTCTTTTCGCGAATGCCTTCAGCGAAGCTTCATTCGTCCCGTCCGGGGATCGATGATATGACCTTCGCGAAGGCTTCCGTGATGTCTGATGGTCTGAGTCCATATCTAGAGATGAAATCGAAGATGGTGATGATCTCCGCGCCAGCAAGGCCTTCGAAGGCTGTACATCTAGGTCCTTCGTCAAGGTGGTGCGGGACTTCCTTCATGAAGGTGACATCGTCTTGGCTGCTACGCTGGACGGGGGTGCCTCTGGGGTGCTGTGTCACGTTGGAGCCTTCGCGGTTGCTCGGACCCTGCTTGCGCAGTTTGTAGTGGTCCTCCATGATGTTCATAATCTGCCGCATCATGTCTTCTGGGATGATTCAGACGAAGTCGCCGGGCGTCTTTTCTGCGATGGGGTTCACATCAATGACGCCTGGACGCCGGTGTAGAGGCATCAGGCTGCATGGAGATCTCTGCAGAAGTCACAGTCGCTGACACCGGGTCGCTTCTTCTGCCGTAAGTCGGGGATGATTATCGGCTGATCATCGTAGAGGCCCAACTCTGCTGCTGGAACGATCTCGCTGAGAAAGTTCTTGCTGTCTTCGTGAGATTTCCCTTTGGAAGTCTGCGCTGCCCTGGGTGTCCTCAATCTGCGCTGAGAGACGACGATGAGGCCCTCTTAGACTTAGTCTGCAATGACGGGATGTCTGGGGAGGCGGTCGTTTCTTCGAGGTAACGGACTGGCGTCCCCACGTTCCTCTGCCGCAGGGGTCTCTAGCAGAACACCAGACGGGAGAGGGTCGATCGCTAGCAGCTGACTGGAAGGAATATCTGGACTCTCTGCCATGTTTTGCCCTTGTTTGCGTGATCTATCTGCAGCACGCCTTAAGACATAAAGATGATATTTATTAAATGCAGAATGAGATAAATTAATGCAGTAACTGCAACGCGGAATTAAACGCACACGGCGAGAACAACTAGGGCATATTACATGTGGATCGGAGGCAGAAAACGTAATCTACAAATCGTACAGATTTTCATGAACGTAAAGCTAGCTGAACAATCACGAATACACGTGAATAAACAGTAGAAATACGATAATTAATCAATACAAATAGTAAAGGATACTAGCTATACCTCTATAGTAACCTATGAGAGGTAAAAACTAAGAGATTATCAAAGGATATGTGTGTAAGGAGACACAAGGCGCTCTCACATCCTGCTCACTGGGCGAAGAAGGAGAGAGTGGAGCACATGGCCAGAGGGTGGCGACACCTTTTCCCGCCAGGGGAGACAAAGGGGAGCAACTCGTGGTGAGTACCAATTAGTGATTTTATTTTGAAGGGAGCTTCAAATAAGGAGATACAAGTGTTCCACTATGTTCGCAAGAAGAAGAAGACAAGCAAAAGAGCATGAGTCAGGATAAGGAAAAATTATTCAAATCAATCTTGTGATACAGTGGACTGCCACAGTGATACAGTGGACTGCCACACAATCAGGGGAGACAATCACAGTGAGGAGAATGGACGACAGCTTCATGTAGTGAGTTGTTTTACGCCGCACTCAGCAATATTCCAGCTATATGGCGGCGGTCTGTAAATTATCGAGTCTGGACCAGACAATCCAGTGATCAACAGCATGAGCATCGATCTGCGCAATTGAGAACCGATGACATGTGTCAACCAAGTCAGCGAGCCTGACCACCTGATCCTGTTAGTCGCCTCTTACGACAAGCATGGGTTACTGAAGGCCAATATTCTAACCCGGACCTTCACGGGTTGACAGGACATGAGAGTTGGTGACACACAATTAACCTTCACTATTCTACCATGGCTTGAGAAACAGCAAAGGCTCTCTTTATTGTCTACGAGACAACTAACGGAGTGCTGTGTATTGTTGTAGGAGTAGCCATACTCGGTAACAACATGCACGATCAATGTTACACACATTACTGTGTCCACTTTAGAGTCTGGCAGTGTCACTGGTCACAATAATTATCAATGGTTAACATTCTACAAGGTCACTGCTGTCTAAATGACCCTTGTGACGTACATTGCACTTGAATATACTTAATTTACTTGAATATAAGTGAAGCCATATAAGAATATAAGTGTTGCATAGCACTTGTCAACAACAGCCTTGGAAAAACTAAATGTTTTAGAAACATATAACTGACAACACACAGGAGGACTTACAATAAGTTCGAAGAAGAACCAGGCATTGGCGAGTGCTGTCTCCCTCATTGAGCCACTCGATACGACCCACTGTAAAGCCAGCTCTTCATGGACTAGCTGTAAATAACACAGGAGTGAGTGAGTGCATCTTTCTGGTATATCTGCCAAGACATCTCAATTTAAACAATGGCAAAGGATTAAGTGGACGATAATCACGTATACAGTAATGTCAGCTTTCACGCTGACATGCCTGAGTGAACCAGACAAACCAGTGATCAAAAGTATGACAAAAACTGAACACTGTCAGGTCATGGTGACATAAAACTATAGCTGACATTCTTTGCTGCCCCCCTTTCATGTGCAATCCACACAATGCCACCAGTTCAAGCAAGTCATTAACAAACAGTGCACTGTACCCTGTATCACCAAGTTACTCGGACGATGGCTGATTAAGTCAAATGCAATACTTTCCATGAGAAAACATTTAACAGTTTTACCGAAAAATAAATAAACACAACAGCAGTGTCTACCAATGGTTTCACATAACATCCAAATTCCTCTATCTTGAAGTAATATTTTCTTGATATGTATTTCTGTGTGAATGGGTAATCACACATCTCCGCCATGAAGGAGAGAGATACATACTTTCTTCCCTCTAATCTTGGTGAATCCCTGGGTTCCAATGTCATCCATCTTCACACTGCCTCCACGCTCCAAAACGCCCAGCTGGACAAACATGGAAAATTCACATTGACTTCACAACTTCACTATCAAAGGTAGCATGTCTTAGCATCTCAAACAGCTAGGAGTGACATATGCAGATCACATGAAGGGCTTAATACTACTTCACTCTGGCCATATGAAGGCTTTAATACTTTAAGGCTTCCAGCACTAGTAATTTCTTAATTTTTATGCTACCAAGAGACCTGGAAACTGAATGAATTTGTTTCATGTCCAAAGAAAGCTTAACAAAGCTGGCAAGTTTGAACATGTTTACCACTTTGTATGCCAAATATTGTCACATTTACCCACCATTGAAGCCGAACACCTCAGCATCCGGGGATGTTGGGGTCAGTCCGGCCAGGTCAGGATTACTGGTACTTCTCATGTAGGACTGTTTGGTGATGGGGAGGGACGACGGCCGCCCCAGAGTGTTGTAGCCACCCTGGGAGTGCATGGTGGGGCTGCCAAGGCCTTGGGGGGAGTCTGCAAATACAGCTGGCTGGTAACTGTTCAGAATACCCTTGGCGTTCCTCTATACTAATGTGGGGAACAAACCTTCGATATCTGTCATGTATTAGATGACACTGAAGGCTTCCTATATAGAGATATAAATGTCACCCAGAGATGTGCATGAATGAGAGAGTGAGTTCAGTTTTACGCTGCACTCAGCAATACTGCAGCTATATGGTGGTGGTCTTTAAGTAATCAAGTCTGGACCAGACAATCCAATGATTAACAGCATGAACATCGATCTATGCAATTGGGATATGATGACATGTGTCAACCAAGTCAGCGAGGCTGACCACCCGATCACATTATTCGCCTCTTACGACAAGCGGGTGTTACTTTGAGTGACGGATTATCAAACATGATAGGGTTAAACAATCAAACAAGAAAGATGCAGATATTTATGAAATACAGTTCGCTCTACCACCATGTATAGTGTAATAAAGCACACTTGACTATGATCTGTGTGCTTTATTACACTATACATGGTGGTAGAGCGAACTGTATTTCTTTTCTAAGATGCCGAATTTAATACTTTCTTAGGATAATTACGATTAATTTAAGGCAGAAAACAAACGACGGTGTCGGTGACCTAAATTAAGAATCCTCGCACAGGGCTAACTGGCACGCTGTTCTATTATTGTGTCTGCCCCCCTACGTTAAGACGAACGTTACCAGAAAAAACAAATGATAACAGTTTGATGACGTTTACGTTCGGATTGACTATGTTCTCTAAATTATTTTAATTACATCTGTGATTAACATAAACCATTAGGGGCAATATGAACGTTGCATTTCTACTACCAACATAAGTTTAGATCAGTACATCCAGATGAAGCTGAGCAGTCAAGCGACATTCCACGATAGCAGTGTCAAATTGAGACATTTTAACCATCGGAAAACATAAACGCAATGTTTCCACCAGTGATGTTAGCTGGGTGAAGCAACTGCAAACAAAGAAACGGGATGCAACGGAGTAGTTTACTGTAGGAGGCTGTATGAGGCGATGACAACTGACATGCATCGTGACGTCGCTTACATTGTGACACAATGCAAAATTGTTCGATTACGAGGGGGCAGACTAGAATGGTGTAGTGACGCCAACTCATTGTGACGTAATGCAAAAAGTGCACATTATCGTCTGATAAAATACTGTCGGTGCATCTTAGAATGGTGCTTATTACAACATGAAGGCATATAAAATATTCAATTATGAATGCCACAAACTGCAAAATAGCAAACACACATATAGGAAACTGACAAAAGAGGACATTGAACAGAGCAAAGTCACTACATGGATCTAACAGCATTTTGAAATATTCCAAGAAACTAAGACATCAACAACTGAGATTACAATGCATAACAACAATATAACATTTTATTGGGGATATTCTGTGTGTTAAATGCATTTGACTGGTTGCTTGGAAAGGTACAAATCTGATTCTTGGGGATCTGTTAAATGTTTAGTACATTTGGTATATATACAGCTGTTCAATGTTCTTTTTTGTAGGTGCAAAACTTTGCTGCTACTTACTCTGTGATGACAGAGGGCTTGGTATTTTACTGCAGTACTGGATGTAGGCGGCAAGGATGGAGTTACGTCCGTTGGCGTCGTTCTTGTCCTCCAGGAGCTCAGAGCACTGCTGAACTATCTGGGCAATCGCCTCAAATGAACTCTGGCCCGTATTTACTGCAATTATACAATCTCAAAACATCAGTTGAATAATTTTAAAAGTGAAAACTGTGCTTGTGAGTGGTTGCGTTGGGGTCACAACCGCTGTGGGCATTGTTTCAGTGTATGGGCTAGGGGAAAAAGTAATATGTTGGTGCAACCCACAATAAAGACAAATGAGAGATTTGAACCCAGGAATCAGCTGATCCTGGCATGTGGGAAGCACAGTATGGCTCCCTAAACCACTCAAGACATCCATGCCTCTACACATGAATACATACGGTCACAGATGCATGCTCAATAGGGCCCGTAAGTAGATCAAGGCACTTCGTGAGACCTTAGTACTTCTGGTGACAAACAATGTTTCATACCTCTTCGAATGGTCTCATGGTTGTCAGCTGACAGTAAGAAACTGATAATCCTTGCAGGAATAACAAATTTCTGATCTAACCATCCCCAAATTAGCCAAGTATTATGACTGTCAACAGCTGTGACAGCCAAGCATGGTTGTACACTTGGTCCGGTCCAGTGAAGTTATATTTGGTGGTCGTGCAATTTGGAACCAGAATCTGTTCTTGAATATATGTGTGTCACCGGAAATCTGATACAGAAAGTAAGCTGGGCCCCATCTCGCATATTGCAAGTTTATGGGCACAAAGGGAGCCTGGAACCAGCCTATTTGCGGAAGTAGCACCACGCAAGAATTACAGGCCCTATACTTCCTTATAAAAAAAACATCACTGTGTAATATCCCAGCTGCCGGTACAGACAAGCCAGTGATTGACATTTTGAATACATCCAAAGTTGTGTAGTATGCGAACACACAATAACCAGATCCACCCATTTAATCTCCTTGTAATACAAGCATTGACTGCAGGAGACCAATTCTAGTCTGGAATGTCCATTCGGTATCAAGAAAAGATATTAATAATAAAGTGACAATATAATGTTCATCCACCTAAGACTAAACATACACAATACCAGATGGCAGATTGACAAAGATTCATTGTTCACATTATCACACATTACTGTAAACCTACATATATGACTGTACACCTACACATATTACTGTACACCTACACATATTACTGTACACCTACACATATTACTGTACACCTACATATATTACTGTACACCTACACATATTACTGTACACCTACACATATTACTGTACACCTACATATATTACTGTACACCTACACATATTACTGTACACCTACACATATTACTGTACACCTACATATATTACTGTACACCTACATATATTTCCTCCAATTACTGGTGGTCTCGCCATCAGCATGATCAGTTTGTCCAGGATGAGGGGCAGGAAGTGGATGAGGTTCTCTCCCTTGGCCTTCACAACATCCATGATGCTTCGCTTCAACTCATTCTCAAAGTGAACTTCCGTCATGCGGGGCGGGATCTTCTGTTCCTGTGCTGCGTTGATGTAATGCAGGAAGCGATCGATGTGTTCATCCTGAATCATGAAGTGGATGTGTGATTGGGAACGACTGCTTGGATTGGTTTCTTGTTTAAAGGCACATTCAGCTAAATTCCAGGGGCTGTTTTCACTGAACCCCTAAAGACCAACTTTGGACCAACCCCTTCAAGAAAGTCCCTTTATGCTAGGATTGTTATAAATGCAGATAAAAACTTATGATTCACCCTTGTTTTAGTCTCTCAAATTTGTTTAGCCATAATAGGGGTAGCCATTTTACATAAACCTCTTTAGATAAATGTGTTAGATTATCTGAGCACATGAAGGTGAAGGGACACTGTGAAAAGGGGAGACTACTCTGTTTTGGAAACAAAGGGACTGACTGACTGACTGAGTTTAGTTTTACGCCGCTTTTAGCAATATTCCAGCAATATCACGGCTGGGGACACCAGAAAGAAAACAAAGGGAAATAGGCGATAATTTAATGTATGGTTGCATACAAAGAGCTGTTTTAGACTTCCTCGTTAAAATGGGTAAGTATGACGTAGTTTAACTGAACAAAAATATAACAGTTTGTTAAGTGTTGAGCGCATATAGGCCTTATAAGGCCCAAAGTCGCCCTAAAACCTTATCTACCTACCTACCAAAGGGAAATATGCATGTCTCATGCCAAAGTGGTTCACCTTAGTGCAAATGGGCATCAAAGAATAATTTATCCTAATGATGACACTAAGGGCACTTTGTGAGACCAATGTGAATAATTTCTAAGGTGACGTAACTCGTAGCTCTTAAGAGTGCTCTCAGCAAACCGGTCCTTAAGTTAGCAGACCCAGCTGTTTAACAGCGAGTTAACTGTGCTCAATGCTTGCTATTAGGAGCCAGTCATATGTTATCATGGTACGATGGCACAACAAGGCCCTGAACCTGACCACCCAATCCAATAATGACAAGCACAGATTAGTGTTGACCTGCACCAACTGGAATCCATTGCTTTAAAGTCTTTCAGTCATATGTTGTATCAGCAAGTCTAAAGACTACCAGGCTGTCGAGATTTAAATTAACACATAACTAGCATTGTCACTAAGGTGACATAATCCCCTGCCGCAAATTATCAAATCAAACTTATAAAGTAATGAAAGTTTAAGTTAAATGTCAACAAAAACATGACCAGCAAACCTCTCTTGATATCTTGCTCTTTTGGTGTTCAAACACACGCATATTTTCAAGACTGACCTGACATGAATGTCATAGTGTATGAAATATGCAAAAATAGTACTAAAGAAATTGCTTATTGAAAAACATTCAAGGGAAGTCTTGAAAGTCGATGAAGAAAATCCAGTGAACCAGTGAACCGTTCTTTAAATATCTTGCTGACAATTCAGGTTAATATGCTGAAATCTTCAAAGTGTTGCCATGACCTTCACAATTATGTGAAGGTCACAAATATTGACTGGGCCCTGCGCCTTCCCTAGATAAAGCTTGGTTTCAAATATAAAGAAAATCCAGTGAACCGTTCTTGAGACAGCTTAACATGCAGGTAAAACGTTAAAGTCCCCTTGTGACCTTGAAATGAAGGTCAAGGTCACCAAACCTGACTTGGGCCTTTCTTATACTGTGATGAACCTAGGTACCAAATATGAAAAGATTCTAGCAAACAGTTCTTAAGATATTCCAACTCGTACAGACAGAGCCTAATACTATATCCCCCGCTTCGCGTTAAACGCGCGCCGGGGCATAACTAACAGGCTCAGGGATCGTAATCAGATATACATAGGATTTGAACCCATAATCATGCCCACCTTCCAACAGGCTTCTAGCAAGGCAAAGTCCTCCTACTACCGAGACCATGTACAGTTGTAGACATACCTGAGAGTGAACTGACGAGACAGCTTTGATGTTGACGCTGAACACACACTTCTGGTTGTCTACCCACTTCATGTTGGGCAGCTTGATCTGAATACATTAAGAGGTTAATTAAAGAGAGAGATAGATGAGATCTTATCCCAAGAATGAAACTACTTAATGACTGGTTGACTACTTTTGATGAAAAACTTCTTTGAGAGGGATTTAGAAATTGTACTTCGTCTTTGAAGCTATTTCAAAATTTCATAATCAGAAAACTCCCAAGGAGCAATCTACATGTATATAGAAAAGATGGCAGTTGCTGTCTCCATCACTCACATCTGGATGCAGCATGGAGAAGCGAGGAGGAGGCTTCTCCACGGAGACCGGCAGCGAGAATTCTCCTGTCTGCAGCCGTCCGTCTTTCATCAACGGCAGCCACTGAAACATCATCAAGGAAGTTGTTAGGTGGTTGACAAATAACGGAGAGTGAGTATGGTTTTACACCATTTATGGCAATATTCCAGCAATATCACAGCGGAGCCTGCGGAGGACAACATAAATGGGCTTCACACATAGTACCCGTGCAGAGAATCGAACCCAGGTCTTCAATTTGATGAGAAAACACTGAACCATCACTCTACCCCTCTCTACCTGTAAATAATCAAGTCTGGACCACAGAAACCCATGGAGATGGAATATATGACAAAATGCAACCAAGCCTGATGATATCATCCATTTTGTCTACCACCATGTACACTCTGTGGGAATATAAGATCGCTCCTCAGCAAACCTATGCTGTCATAAACTAAAGCTGAATGGGTTTGGTGTTTGTTGACTGGGTTTACTGTTTGTTGCCCCAACAACATTGTTGTTCACATTATTAATCACCAGATTGTCTGGTTCAGGGTTGTGATTGTTTGTTTGTTGTAAATGCCACACTCAGCAACATTTCAGCTATAGGGCAACGGTCTGTTTATACATGATTCTGGACCAGACAATCCAGTGATCAACATCATGAGCATCAATCTACGCAACTGGGATACGATGACATGTGTCAATCGAGTCGGCATGCCTGGCCAGCCGATCCTGTTTGTCGTCTCTTACAACAAGCATAGGTTGCAGAAGACCAATTCTAACCAGGATCTTTACAGGTATCAGGATTGTGACTCAATTCATAAAGGCCAATGTATATGTCTGGAATACTGAGACAGACAGATAGAGTATGGTGTATTTGTAGACTCTCGGTAAAACATATTGGGTTGTATACATTAGAATAGTGCCATCGACGAAAAGTTGATGCCTTCCTTCTAATTAAAATGGACGGAGATATACTTAGAGTTTACTGTTTGTAGTGAGTGAGTGAGTTGTGATCAATGCCTTTTTCAACAGTTATACTATGGTGTGTCAGCTTCAGCTTAATATAGAAGTAAGACGCAAAGTGAAACTGATGACAACATTGACAACTATAGAAACATAATCGAAGCCAACTAATACACACGAAAAGTCTATGCAGGTAAGTATGCTGAAATACTTACAGTGTAACCGACAGGTATCTCGACAGGTGTGGGCTCGTTCTTCTTCACCTGGCAGCTGATGTGGTACACTGTGAACATCAGGTGATGCTGCTCATTCAGTCGTCCCGGCAACCGCACCTTGATCTCTTCATAAAAGTCTGGGGATCTGGAGGAAGGAAGAATATCTCTCTGAACACTACCAATGTTAAACAACAGAGACTGTATAGAGAAAACCCCTAACAATAACCTGATCCAGAAGGAAGTACATGGAACTCATTCACATTATCCACCACTCAGTACACTTGCAGTTGTCACTCGTTGAGAAATTGTTTTTCTTTGAGTAATCAATTTTTTATCCCCTTGGGGCAAGTAAGTTTGTTATTTTTAATCACATGAATTTAAAACAAAAACATTCTTCCCCCGGGAGTCAGATGTTGCATAAGCCCACAGTAGTGATGTGAGATACAGAGAGTGAGAGTTTCATTATTCACTGCCGGAGAGTTTGTGAATTAGTGAACATGGTGTTATGCCGCTTTTAGCAATATTCCAACTATATCATGGTGATGGGCACCAGAAATGGGCTTCACGCACTGTACCCATGTGGGGAATACAACAAAGGTGTTGTGAACAATGAATCTTTGTCAGTGTGCCATCTGGTATTGTGTATGTTTAATCTTAGGTGGATGAATATTATATTGTCACTTTATTATTAATATCTTTTCTTGATACCGAATGGACATTCCAGACTAGAATTGGTCTCCTGCAGTCAATGCTTGTATTACAAGGAGATTAAATGGGTGGATCTGGTTATTGTGTGTTCGCATACTACACAACTTTGGATGTATTCAAGATGTCAATCACTGGCTTGTCTGTACCGGCAGCTGGAATATTACACGAATCACAAGGCCATCCCACACACATGAACTGGTGATGCCTGTATTTGATAATCAAATACAGATCTGTATAAAGGTGATTGTTTGTTTGTTGATTAAAGCCACACTCATCAATATTCCAGATATATGGATATATCTGGTCCAGTGATATACAGCATGAGCATCGATCTACGCAATTGGGATATGATGATATCTTTCAACCAAGTCAGCGAGTCTGACCACCCAATCCCGTTAGTCGCCTGTTACGACAAGCATGGGTTGCTGCAGATCAATTCTAACACATATCTTCATAGGTAGATCTCTAATGAAATGCAGGTACACTAACAGAAAAGGACCACACTGGTTACACTGTTGAGTTCTTCATTTTACATATGCACACTGCAAGCAACTCGAAAAGTAAACTCAGTAATGGTGAACTAATTTTTGGCATTTTCTTCCAGCTTATCTGAATCTGTGCCATTATTCTGTGTGCTATAATAAAGAAGAGGTGAGCACTGACTTGTTGTGGTAGGTGACTGCTGTGTAGGCTTCTCGGGTCAACTCGGGGCAGCTCGACTTGCCGAATATCACCTGAAACAAGCATGGGCAGGTAACAGCAACAAGAGCACTATCATGGAATTGTTCGTCAGAGTGATTCATCTCAAATTGGAAGAAGGGATCTGGAGTTGAATCACCATTAGGCATCAGTTTCACATATTGAAACTATGAGTGGAATCAAACCCGGGCCTTCGGCGTGATGAGCGAACGCTTTAACCACTAGGCTACAACACCGCCCCTGAGATGTACAGAGGACAACCGGATGGTGTGTGACGTAAGGGTTAGGACACTTACCGGTATTGCATGCACCTCATCTTCTCCCACCATGTACTGGATCTTGACGGCCAGGTTACGAGCCGAGCCCTGGCGGTTGGTGAAGTTCAGGGACTTGGGGTACACGAACAGGAGATTTCTGAAGAAAATACGAGAGAGTAAAATGGCATATTATTTAGGAATTTAGGGGCTGACAATTTGATATCTGTTACTTCTGTCTTCCATGCACAAACAGTACAAAGGACTTCCAAGTTTGAGCTGTACTGCCGACTTACTTGTATGTGCAGTAAGGCATGAAGACCTCCTTGGCAGGGAACTCGGTAACCTCCTTGGTGGGGCGGCCCTTGTCGTCAGGGTAGGGCTCCACCTTCCACAGTTCGGGGGTGAGGTTGTAGCGAGGCTCCTCTGGGCAGGGCGACACATCAAGCTTTAATGTTGCTGGAGGAAACAAACAACATCAGTGAAACTGAATCACTGCAAAAACAAAGGAAGAAAGAGCCAACAATTTGATAAGGTTCTACTCACATCATAGCAATGTGTTATCTAGTTCAGTTTGTACGGAAAAGATAGAACTCTCACCGGGAATGCATTTAACCCTCTTTAGAACTGATGATGGACGTTTGAGGTCAGCCAGGAACTTGTACAGATCATCGTCACTCAGCTTTTCACTCTCCTGGACACCCAATAAAATAGTGACGACAAGAATCAATGAATCAAACATTTATCAATGTTCAATCAAACTGAGTGAGTGAGTGAGTGAGTGAGTGAGAGTGAGTGAGAGTGAGTGAGTGAGTGAGTGAGTGAGTGAGTGAGTGAGTGAGTGAGTGAGTGAGTGAGTGAGTGAGTGAGTGAGTGAGTGAGTGAGTGAGTGAGTGAGTGAGTGAGTGAGTGAGTGTGAGTGAGTGAGTGAGAGTGAGTGAGTGAGTGAGTGAGTGAGTGAGTGAGTGAAGTTTTATGCCGCTTTCAGCAATATTCCAGCGGGGCGATACCAGAAACGAGCTTCACACATTGTACCCATGTGGAGAATCGAACCCGGGTCTTCAGTGTGACAAGTGAACGCTTTAACCACTAGGCTCCCCCAACCCAGGTATTTGGCCATCCTGTCTATGAAAAAGATGAGTACCCACCACAGACAACAGCACATGCAAGTATTGTGGTATGTATCGGAACAGGCACAAGGCAATGTGATAAGCATCATTCCAGCACTCGACATCAAATTCTCAATGTCTTGGAGGTCTGTTGCCATGGTATCCTAACAAACCCCCACATCTTTATACCTTAACATTAGGGCTCTGACAAAGACACCAGACTAAATTCTATCCCTGTAACATGGCTATATCAATATAACTTCTTTGAGTGGCGTTTTAGAAGTTGGGAAGTACAATATAGAACAGACTTTATGGATAACAACTTCTCGCTAACAATCAAACAGACTTCACTAAACACAAGCTAACCGAAGCCATCCACATCAAACGCCAAAAGCCCACCATTAACAGAGACCAAGGATACTTCATTCCATCTGCTTATGACGCACTCATCCACCAAGCCCAATCTACTGTATAAACTCTACTGTATAAACATCTCATTATTTGTACATCATTGGATTCCACGCCTTTCCTTTGCCAACTCACAGGCTTCACCAGCTTACTGCCCAGTCAATTATATTAATTATGTTGTTTTCTTTGTTACACCCAGTATACCACCCTCTTCATGTTCCCTTCCTGCTTGACAACAGTACAAGAATCTGTATCTAAACCAGAGGCCCAGATAAGCTGCGTATCCGGGTAAAATAAGCACAGAAAATTTCCAATTACGCATTGAAAAATAATTGTTGCGTACCAATTGCGCATTTAAAATGTTAGATACGCAAAAAGTTTAAAACAAATGCGTACGGAATATATTTATAAAAATCGCTTGCGTAATGAAAAAGACATCAATTGCTATCAAGTTGTACTGTTAGTATAGGACAAGTGTTGTACTGTCAGTATAGGATGAGCGATTTTTTATGAAATCATTTCCATTATATTTAAGTTGGTTTTGATTAGGTATGACATAAGGCAGAACATACCTGCTTAAAACTTGCTCAGTCACATAATACTTAGGTGAGTAAAAGGACTGAAATACACACATATTTGAAAGCAGTGGGTAACGGAAAATGAAATACCAACTCAACATTCATAATACCCACTCCAAAAAAATACAGTGGGTACAGTACCCACATGAGCTAAATTTTATCTGGAGCTCTGTCTAAACGTCACACTCACGAATACAAGAAGTTGTTATCCATAAAGTTTGTTCTATACTGTCAATATAGTTTGATGTGTTACAATTGATTTGTAAAGATTTTAATGAAATAAACCAACTTGAATGATTCCGTTCAGTCTGGATGATGACAACCCAAAGCATCTTTTCCTTTTTATAACCGAATCACAAAATGAGTGCACCCACCTGCTTGAAGAAGCTGGAGACAGTCAGTGTGACAGGCCTGAAGTTGTCCAGACTTGCTCCATAGCTCTCTGGTGACCAACTACGTCTCTTCTCATAACCAGCTCGACCACGGTCAATGGAGCCCCTACGTCCAGCCAGCAGGTCATCTTTGGACTGTTTTCGGAAACCCGAGAACTGACCCCCAACTCCACTCCGCCGATCTGTGCACAGAAGATTACATATCAATACCTGCTATTGTTACCAGCTGATACATTTTCCGCATTAACAAGATCAGAGGTTGACATGTTCAACCTTTGAAGGATGAATCTGAAACGATCTCTAACCTTAGCAGTCAAACTGAAAACAACTCGTAACAAAGATCTTGTTTGATTGGCATTTTAGAAGATGCTACTTGAACATAGAGAATTTTCTGGGTTTCATCTTCTTTTTATTGTTTGGTACAACGTTTCAGGGCTTGTTCTGGCCCCATCATCAGGGGAACTAAAGAACAATAAAGATCTTCTTTTCTTTATTTCAAATTACTTATTTTCCAGGGTATTTTAACATAAAGCATGTTCCTCTGTGTGTGTTCTTTCATGAGTGAAATGCAATATCCCTCAACCAAGACATCACACGTGATCACAGCTATGTTAACATGAAATGGGACATTATTTATTCTAATTGTGTAATTTTGACTGAGATTTGCTACAGATTTGGATATATCTCTGTAAATCCCTGGTTCTGAAGGTTAAGTGCATCTTGAAGTGAAGCTTGTGTATAGTTATTCTTATCAGGTACACACGTAACACACACAGAAATAACTTAACACACACAGAAATAACTTGGAAAAAGGAAACGTTAGTAGTAGGTGTTTGGTTTGTTTGTTGTTTAAAGGTACAGTCAGCAATATTCCAGACATATCAAACACACCTGTAATTAAATATTAATCAAGTCTGGACCAGAACACCCTGTGACTGATACTGTGAGCATCCTTCCATCACCATCAGGGCACAATAACATGCAGTAAAACAAGACACAAGAGTCTAGCAATACAATGCTATAGACTTTTGACAACCAACAGTGCTAGGACCTATTGTAACTTTGTGCTCCAAGTGGTTGGAACTGTTAGCTGACACGATACAATACAATACGACATTATACGACACGACACAACAAACTAATCTTGGCCATTTTACAACAATAATCTTGTACAGCGAAGCTACTGACCCAAACTCGCTGCTCGGGTTGAGGGAGACTCATGGTCCACGGACTTCTCAACGGAGGCCTCCCTCTCCAGGCTGTTGCTCTGTCCCCCTACAATGTTCATCAGATAGATGGCCGTCCAGGCAAACGGCATACGATACTTGCCAAGGCGATCACAAAACTGAGCAGCCTGTGCACGGTACTTTTCTTCTTTAGCCGACTGAAACAGTTATGTAAACTTGTCATTCCCATCTTAATCAAACTTGCTCACAGTAATTGGTTATCCCTAAATGCTACGCAAATATAGCACAGAATGAGTGAGGTTTATTCTGCTTCAGTTACATCATGGCTTTTCAGATAAAATGTGAGTGAGTGAGCTGGGGTTTTTTCGCCGCTTTTAGCGATCTTCAAGCAATATCACGGCGTTTGACACCAGCAATGCACTTCACACAATGTACCCGTGTGGGGAACTGCACCCACATCTTCAGCGTGATGTGCAAATGCTTTAACGACTAGGCTACCCCTAGGCTACGAGGACATCTGGTCACGTCCTGCTCCTCCTCCTCCTTACCTTGTCCTCCTTCATGTAGGGCTCTGCACACTCACTGATGTCTCCCTGCTGCAGCACCTTCTCCAGCTGTCAACACAACACACATGACATCAACACACAGCATCAACACACATGACATCATCAACACACAGCATCAACACACATGACATCATCAACACACAGCATCAACACACATGACATCATCAACACACATCATCAACACACATGACATCATCAACACACAGCATCAACACACAGCATCAACACACATGACATCATCAACACACAGCATCAACACACACACAGCATCAACACACATCATCAACACAATACACATGACATCATCAACACACAGCATCAACACACATGACAACATCAACACAACAGACATGACTTCATCAACACACATGACATCAACACAACAGACATGACTTCATCAACACACATGACATCAACACAACAGACATGACTTCATCAACAGACATGACTTCATCAACACAACAGACATGACTTCATCAACACACATGACATCATCAACACAACAGACATGACTTCATCAACACAACAGACATGACTTCATCAACACAACAGACATGACTTCATCAACACAACAAACATGACATCAACACACAGCATCAACACACACAGCATCAACACACATGACATCAACACACGACATCAACACACATGACAACATCAACACAACAGACATGACTTCATAAAAAAAACAGACATGACTTCATCAACACACATGACATCACCACAACAGACATGACATCATCAACACAACAGACATGACGTCATCACCACAACAGACATGACTTCATCAACACATATGAGATCATCAACACAACAGACATGACTTCATCAACACAACAGACATGACTTCATCAACACAACACACATGACATCAACACACAGCATCAACACACGACATCAACACACATGACATCATCAACACAACAGACATGACTTCATCAACACAACACACGTGACATCATCAACACACAGCATCAACACACAGCATCAACACAATACACATGACATCAACACAGCATCAACACACACACATGACATCATCAACACACAGCATCAACACACATGACAACATCAACACACATGACATCAACACACAGCAACAACACACATGACAACATCAACACACAGCTTCAACACACATGACATCAACACACAGCATCAACACAATACACATGACATCATCAACACAACAGACATGACTTCATCAACACACATGACATCATCAACACAACAGACATGACATCATCAACACAACAGACATGACTTCATCAACACAACACACGTGACATCATCAACACACAGCATCAACACACAGCATCAACACAATACACATGACATCAACACAGCATCAACACACACACATGACATCATCAACACACAGCATCAACACACATGACAACATCAACACACAGCATCAACACACATGCAACATCAACACACATGACATCATCAACACACAGCATCAACACACATGACAACATCAACACACAGCATCAACACAATACACATGACATCATCAACACAACAGACATGACTTCATCAACACAACAGACACGACTTCATCAACACAACAGACATGACTTCATCAACACAACACACATGACATCAACACACAGCATCAACACACATGACATCAACACACATGACATCAACGAACATGACATCATCAAAACAACAGACATGACTTCATCAACACAACACACGTGACATCATCAACACAGCATCAACACACATGACATCAACACACAGCATCAACACAATACACATGACATCAACACAGCATCAACACACATGACATCATCAACACATAGCATCAACACACATGACATCATCAACACACAGCATCAAGACACATGACATCAACACACAGCACCAACACACATGACATCATCAACACACAGCATCAAGACACATGACAGCATCAAGACACATGACATCATCAACACAACACACACCATCAACACACATCATCAAGACACATGACATCATCAACACACAGCATCAACACAATACACAGCATCAACACACATGACATCACCAACACACAGCATCAACACACAGCATCAACACACATCATCAACACACATGACATCATCAACACACAGCATCAACACACATGACAACATCAACACACAGCATCAACACAACACACAGCATCAACACACATGACATCATCAACACACAGCATACAGACACATGACATCATCAACACACAGCATCAGCACAACATCATCAACACACACATGACATCATCAACACAACACACAGCATCAACACACATCATCAAGACACATGACATCATCAACACACAGCATCAACACAACACACAGCATCTACACACATGATATCATCAACACACAGCATCAACACGCATGACATCATCAACACACAGCATCAAGACACATGACATCAACACACAGCATCAACACAACACACAGCATCAACACACATCATCAACACACATGACATCATCAACACAACACACATGACATCATCAACACACAGCATCAACACACATGACATCATCAACACAACACACAGCATCAACACAACACACAGCATCAACAAACAGCATCAACACACATGACATCAACACAACACACAGCATCAACACACATGACATCATCAACACAACACACAGCATCAACACACATGACATCATCAACACATGACATCATGCATCAACACATCATCACACAGCACAGCATCATCACATCACAGCATGACATCATCAACATCAGACACACATCAACACAACACACATGACATCATCAACACACACATCATATGACATCACACATGACATCATCATCAACACATGACATCATCATCACACATGACATCATCAACACACAACACATCATCATACATCAACACACATCACATCAACACAACACACACATCAATGACATCACACACACACATCAATCAACACACAGCATCAACATCACACACATGACATCATCATCACACATGACATCATCAACACACAGCATCAACACACATCATCAAGACATCATGACATCAACACACAGCATCAACACAACATCAACACACAGCATCAACACAGCATCATCACACACATCATCAAGACACATGACATCATCAACACATCACATGACATCATCAACACACAGGATCACACACATCAACACACAGCATCATCAAGACACATGACATCATGACACACAGCATCAACACACAGCATCAACACAACACACAGCATCAACACAACACATCACATGACATCACACACAGCATCAACACACATGACATGACACATCAGCACACACAGCATCACACATGACATCATCAACATCAACACACAGCATCAACACACATGACAACATCACACACAGCATCAACACAGCATCAACACACATCATCACAACACACAGCATCACATGACACATGACACATCAACACACAGCATCAACACACAGCACCAGCACTGCACACATCATCATCAACACAGCACACACATGACATCAGCACACATGACATCATCAACACAACACAGCATCAACACACATCATCAACACACACATCAACACACATCATGACACACAGCATCACACACATCAACACACAGCATCAACACACATGACATCATCAACATATCACACATGACATCATCAACACACATCATCAAGACACATGACATCACATCATCACATGACATCACACACATGACATCAACACACAGTCATCAACACACATAACATCAACACACAGCATCAACACACAGCATCAACACAACACACAGCATCAACACACATGACATCATCAACACACAGCATCAAGACACATGACATCATCAACACAACACACAGCATCAACACACATCATCAAGACACATTTCATCATCAACACACATCATCAACACAACACACAGCATCAACACACATGACAGCATCAACACAGCATCAACACGCATAGACATCATCAACACACATCATCAACACACAGCATCAACACAACACACATCATCACACATGACATCATCAACACACATGACATCATCAACTCACATGACATCAACACACGACATCAACACACATGACAACATCAACACACAGCATCAACACAAAACACAGCACCAACACACATGACATCATCAACACACAGCATCAAGACACATGACATCATCAACACACAGCATCACACATGACAAGACACATGACATCATCAACACAGCATCACACACAGCATCAACACACACATCACATCATCAACACACACATGACATCATCAACACACAGCATCACACATGACATCATCAACACACGCATCAACAGCACATCATCAATCAACACACAGCATCAACATCACATCATCATCACACACAACACAGCATCACACAGACATCATCACACACATCACACACAGCACAGCATCAACACACAGCATCATCATCAAGACGCATGACATCATCAACACACACACATGCATCAGCATCACGCAACATCACATCATCACACACATCAACACAGCATCATAAAACACAGCATCATCACATCAAGACATGTGATCATCAACACATGACATCAATCATCAACACGACATCAACACATTATCACACACATCAACACACATAACACACACACATCAACACAGCATCAGCATCAACAACACACATGACATCATCAACACACAGCATCATGACATCAACACACATGACATCATCACACACATCAGCATCAAGACACATGACACACATCATCACACACATCAGCATCATGACATCATCAACACAACACACAGCATCACACATCAACACAGCATGACATTATCAACACAACACACAGCATCAACACACATGACATCATCAACACACAGCATCAACACACATGACATCAACACAACACACAGCATCAACACACATGACATCATCAACACAACACACACACATCATCACACAGCATCAACACACATGAGATCAACACAACACACAGCATCAACACACAGCATCAAGACACATGACATCATCAACACAACACACATCATCAACACACATGACATCATCAACACACATGACATCATCAACACACAGCATCAACACACATCATCAACACACAGCATCAACACACATTACATCATCAACACACATGACATCAACACACAGCATCAACACACAGCATCAACACAACACACAGCATCAACACACATCATCAAGACACATGACATCATCAAGACACATGACATCAACACAACACACAGCATCAACACACATCATCAAGACACATGACATCATCAACACACATCATCAACACAAAACACAGCACCAACACACATGACATCAACAAACAGCATCAACACAACAGACATCAACACACAGCATCAACACACATGACATCATCAACACACAGCATCAACACACACAACATCAACACACAGCATCAACAAACATGACATCATCAACATACAGCATCAACACACATGACATCATCAACACACAGCATCAACACAACACACAGCATCAACACAACACACAGCATCAACACAACACACAGCATCAACAGACATGACATCATCAACACACATCATCAACACAACACAGCATCAACACAACACACAGCATCAACAGACATGACATCATCAACACACATGACATCATCAACACACATCATCAAGACACATGACATCAACACACAGCATCAACACACATGACATCATCAACACACAGCATCAACACACACAGCATCAACACACATCATCAAGACACATGACATCAACACACATCATCAACACAACACACAGCATCAACACACATGACATCATCAACACACATCATCAACACACATGACATCAACACACATCATCAACACACATTACATCATCAACACAGCATCAACACACATGACATCATCAACACACATGACAACATCAACACACATGACATCATCAACACACATGACAACATCAACACACATGACATCATCAACACACAGCATCAACACAACACACAGCATCAACACACAGCATCAACACACATGACAACATCAACACACAGCATCAACACAACACATAGCATCAACACACATGACAGCATCAACACACATCAACACACGACATCAACACACATGACATCATCAACACACAGCATCAACACACATCATCAAGACACATGACATCATCAACACACAGCATCAACACAACACACAGCATCAACACACATCATCAACACACATGACAACATCAACACACAGCATCAACACAACACACAGCATCAACACAACACACAGCATCAACACACATGACAGCATCAACACACATCAACACACGACATCATCAACACACATGACATCAACACACGGCATCAACACACATCATCAAGACACATGACATCATCAACACAACACACATGACATCAACACACCATCGATACAGTACATACAGCATCAACACAACACAAAGAGCATCACCACAACACACACAGCATCACAACAGACATATCCACACACATCATTGACACTATACTCACATCAACACAACACACACAGCATCAGTGATAAGAATCTTGATCAGCTTCAGTTTCAATCAAGAACAAACTCAACAAAATGTGAAACAGAAAACAAAACAAATGTTACAAGCAAAGTGCAACAATACACTAAATATATATACAGTTCTACTTTCTATCAGCTTTTGCAACGATTTAAAGTTTGTTACAATGGAGTTAGAGACACATACAAGGACATCTGAGCCTATGTTGACCAATGTCCTCCATCAGCACAAGGGTGAATGAAACAATTATATTTCCCAGCATTCACAGAGCATTTACTCAAACTTCAAAACAATCTAATTGCACATTTGCCTCTCAACATTCACAAGTCTTCAGTCTCAACATACTGTTTATTCCTTCATCATTCTCAAAGTCAAATGCTCTGAACTGATCACTTGTGTTTTCCATCATAGAGGAGTGTAGTTGTTACCTTGACAACCAGGAAGACATCATTGGTGGGGTAGGTGATGCTGAAGTTGCAGCCAACTGAGGGTGGAGATGTCCTGCCGTGGAACATGCATGCTGATCATTCGTTTCAGGTGGTCGGAGTTCATGTCGAAGTGGAATGTCTCCGAGATCTGGAAACAAACAGTATCTGGAGTATGTGACTTAGTGTACACTAGTGTTGGTAATTGGTTGAAATCTCACAACTGATGATTGGTTCGATACCAACGACCAATCATCGAAAAAAAATTGGTTAGCGTCATTTTTTCGATTTTCCTATTCAGGTTGTAGTTGCAGATAAGTATAAAGAAAAAAACATTTGGTTCTCTGTTGATGTTTTTAGAAACTGCACAAATTACATTTGCAGATTTCACATCCAGTGTAAAATGATTCAGTTCCAGTGTAACATTAACTTCCCAGATTATTCAAGAAATATTCAGTCACACTTTTCAGAAAGTGAAGTGAGTTTTCTTAGAAATAAACATGTTTTCAGGCCCTGACAACATCCTATATATATACCAACATCAAGTATTTCAAACTCTATTACAGTGGTTCCAAAATCGTTTGTGTTCGATTATGAAAAAAATGTGATCGATGGCTTGGTCGTTTGGCCACTGCGACCAATCTTTGATTATTTCAATTAATCGGAACACCACTACTTACTAGATAATCCAGTGTCAAATACTACTCACCTTCTTCCTCTCTCTAGCATCGTACAATGCGAGTGAAACAAAGATGGGTTCGACCTCCATCTCTAGACTGAAAGACAGAAAATGTACATGCTTTAGCGACATAAAAATATGTAATCATACCTGTTATTCCCATAATATTAATGTTCATAATTATTTCAATGAATCATCCTTCATCGAGTGTAAAGATATATTTTACCAGCAGAATTCTCTGTAATATATTCTAAATATGACTAAGCATGAACACGCAGACTTACGACAGCTGTAGACATTTGACGTGTATTCGGTGTCCGAAGTGCTCCTTGGGGGTCTCCACTGGTACTCGTCTCTCAATACACTCCTCCTAGAGATTCAACACAGATAATATTTAACAGGCATTACCAAATTAAATAAATCCATTGTGTAGTAGGAGTTGACCTGACTTTCATATTGTAATTTATGGCAATAATGATTTAAGTAGTGCAATATGTACCACAAAGGACTGCATGCATTCTTCATCGGCAATTCATACATCAGGCTTCCTGTGCATCACTTTGAAAACTTTTTTGTCCACCATTATGTTTGATATTGTTAAAGACACAACATCTGCATAATGGACACAGGAAGTTGCTCAAGTATAGTTTTACTTTCTCCATCAGGAATCAAGTTACAAATTTCTGATTTTCATCATTTTAGTTTGAATTGTCACTTATGTAAGAGCTATCAACGAGAAGAAGATGACATGATTTTATAAATTGCAATATGTTGGAATTCACCAAAAAGCATTGTGACATATATCCATAAGATTTATATTCAATTTTTTTTTCTTTTAAATTGGCAAATGCAGCAATATTGCACCCCAATACAGATTAATTTTCATGGATCATATGAGATTTCAGATCGACTGACAACAATGTCACTACATCGGAATGAGAAAAAACAAAAAGAGACCACAACATTGAAACTTACAAAATATTTCAAGACAATCTTCCCCCTCTGTCATCCTGTTGCCAGAGTTACACTGATCACTCATACCTGATTCACAAGCAGCTTACATTGTCTATATCACAGCTGCTATTTCCAACAATCAAACCAATTAGTTCTTTAATGCCACTACAGCCATGAAGGGATCAACACGATTTGAAGGAGTTATCTCCCTTGTCTCACCTCATCTTGTGGTGGATACAGACTGAAGATGTTGTCCTGTCTGTTCTGTTGGCGCTGGTTCTCGTTGTTGCGGTCAACATCGTCATATGACATACGTTCAAACAGGTTTGATAGGAGAGCATCTGCCTGGCTCTGTTTCAGGTCAAATATACTGCTGGCCCAGCTGCCGCGGGGTGTCTCGTTCAAGTGGAGGGACTGTCGCTTGTTGCTCTCCTGCTGTAAAAGTCATTGAAGATTTTACACACAGTGAGTGAGGCAGTCAGTGAGTGAGTGAGTGAATGAGTTAGTGAGTGGCCCATACTTGTACTATTAAAATGAACAGCATGAAACCTGTTTGTTTCAGCTCAGATGGCTGTTTAGTCAATCCGGGGATGGTGTTGTTAGCGAGTGATTAAAGTGTTCGCTCATCACGCCAAAGGCCAAGGGTCGCCCCCACATGGGTGCAATGTGTGAATCCCATTTCTGGTGTCCCCTGCCATGATATTGCTAGAATATTGCTAAAATCAATGTAAAACTAAACTCACTCACTTAGTCAATAAATCCAAATTAGTCATGACAGAAACAGAATATTTTAAATGTTTGGGGGATGAAGACAAAAGTATCAGGCTGTTTTTTCAGTAACAGGTAGCACTGGTGTATGTTTCATATAGCTAAATTCAACCCTGTAAACTTATACGTGTAACGTGTATTCATTATAGAATCTGCCGAAATAAAGAAATCGATACCAAAACCCATATGAAATGTACAAAAGTATTTCATAGCCATCTGTGAACACCTGAAGTCGACTCAACACACCGTTTTCACAGTTGTCACTTTCAACTGGTCAAGTCTTATACTTTTTCTTTGTTTGCAGGCACAAAATATTCTTCAAAGAGTGAGTGCCTTTAGAAATTAACATGAAGCATACGATTATTAGCCTAGTGAGTTTAAACTCAAAGCCATGAACCAGCTCTCATGAACTAACCTCTTCATAAAGCAAACTGGTGAAGAGAGTTACCAGTTAATACAATACACTGTGTAGAATTCCTTACATAAATCTGTACCAGAGACTTGAAAGATATTGGTGCAGACATATTTGCATTTTCACTCAAAGCAATTTAGCCAATATTCATAATCGATCAATAGTTAGCTAATGATTACTGATCTCTCATCGATATCCAGGGGTGGAAATAACTTTAAAATTGCTAGTGTACTCCGGTACAGTGGCACATGTGAAATCACTTGCCCTGAAAATTTTCCACTACACCGGCCGTTTAAATAAACAACATAATTAACATTGGAAAGTCAACTGGACGCCAGTACTGTGTGATATACGAATCTGCTTGCCCGACAGAAAAAAACACTGGACTCGGACGTCAGGCAATGGGTTATCTCCACCCCTGATATCGATAGCGGCCATCCCAGGGGCCTCCATACATCACCCCAGAGATGTTACCTTTTCATGCTCCATGGGCATCTCATCCATGTCATCAATCTCATACTCTTGATGTATGATGCCATCTCGGTCGGCCAGCTTCTCCTTGCTGTGGAAACTCGAGCTGTATCTCTGGTATCTACAGACACATACACCAAACTAAGGCCACAATCCACTGATCATGTTCATCGTCATATTTTCATCTCATTTTCAAAAATGTGATGTTGAAGTGAGGGTGTTTTTTAACATGCGAAGTTCATAAAAAGTAGGGGCGGTCGGGTAGCCTAGTGGTCAAAGCGTTGGCTCGTCACGCCGAAGACCCGGGTTCGAATTCCCACATGGGTACAATGTGTGAAGTCCATTTCCGGTGTCCCTCGCCGTGATGTTGCTTGAATATTGCTAAAAGCGGCGTAAAACCAAACTCAGTCTGTCAGTCAGTCATAAAAAGTATGTGCTGAAATGTGTCCGTAACGGATGTCACTGAGGTTGCTGGAACTTAGTGGAAGCCTACTGAACCTATATTTTCAACAAATATTTCAATGTTGATGTCCATTATTTCATGTTAATTAATTGCCTTGCTATTCAGTTTTGATGTTTAATCATATTTCAAACCATAAAAATCCATGTTTAGTCCATTCTACTCATTTTGACCATCCTGACCATATCAAAGCTACAGATAACTTTTGGGGTCATGAGTTATCTACCCGCTTGTGTTCATCCCAATTGGGTATCCTAAGTTTCCTTTGAGTAACCAAACAAATTGTACGCACCTTACTCAAACTCAATTGGGTATCTTGCCATTAATTGTAAAAATATAATACAATTAAAATGTTGGTTTACGTGTTGTTGTTTTTTTATATTTGATCTGTAAAATGAGAAACGTTAAGAAAGACTGCAAGTAGCCAAGTTCATGTCCTGAAATAGAACCTCACAATATACCCCAGTTATTTTATTTATCCACCGGTACACAACAAGATTTGACATTTTGTGTGTATGCATATAAGATCAAATTCATTGAGTATTTACAAAAATTCAAGCATACTTGTACGCAATAGACTTAATAGAAATTGAGTTTTCACAAATATTTGCGTAATTTACGCAGATACATAGGTTATCTGTACCTCTGCCATATATAATTATACAGTCCCTCTGTTGCTTACTGCTATGTTAGTAACATTCAGTAAACAAGGTGGATGGGTATCAAGTGGTTTTTTTTAGGTGTACTAAGTTTCAGATACCTTGAACAATATTTCATGTGTATCATTGTCCTAGGATTCCTAAAGGTTTGATTCCTAGACTTTCACCTCATGAAGGTTCTGGTACTATTATATTTAGACAGGAAATGAAAATTTGTAAGTGTAAGATATGGAGACAGAATGTATCTCTCTTACCTGCGGGTGACAACAGTGTAATCCGACGTATATCGCTGCACACAGTCTTTGACTATTGGATCCAGATCGCTATGGAAACCAAAAAGAAACATACAGTTTGCAACAGCAGAATAAAGGGGAACCTACCTATGACACAACACAACCAGCAAAGCTGATGCTATTGTTTACTTGTTAAAAAAACCTTGTTGAACAACTGAAGTTTTGTCTGTTTATTGTTTAATGCCGCAGCACATATCAATTTTCCACCTATAAGATGGCGGGCTGAAAATATTCAAGTCTGGACTAGACAATATAATGACTGACATCAGGAGCATTGATCTGCGCAATTGGGATATGATGACAGGCATTAACCATCCGATTCCATTAGCCACTTTCTATGACAAGCATGGGATGCTGAAATTAATTTCGAAGGGTCTAAAGTATTGAAATTGAAGCCTTATTTGTGCACTACTAATGTAATATTGATGTGATATTTATGCTATATCAGTGTAATATTGGTGCAAAATCAGTGTAATAATGATGTTAACTGGTGTATAATCTGTGTAATATTAATGTAATACTGGTGCAATACTTGTGTAATACTGGTGTAACACTGTTGTAATACTGGTGTAATACTTGTGTAATACTAGTGTAATACTGGTGTAACACTGTCGCAATACTGGTGTAATACTTGTGTAATACTTGTGTAATACTGGTGTAACACTGGTGTAACACTGGTGTAACACTGTCGTAATACTAGTGTAACACTGGTGTAATACTTGTGTAATACTAGTGTAATACTGGTGTAACACTGTCGTAATACTGGTGTAACACTCGTAATACTGGTGTAACACTAGTGGAACACTGGTGTACTACTTTGTAATACTTGTGTAATATCGGTGTAATACTTGTGTAATATCGGTGTAATACTTGTGTAATACTTGTGTAATACTGGTGTAACATAATATCAGTGTACATGCACTTTCTTCACACAACTGTAAACTCAAGTTCCTGCACAATCCCCAGTGTTAAACTTACCTTGACTCAGGGACAATTGGCGTGACAGTACGACTTGTTTTAGGCACTGTATGGACATCGATATCATCTTCTGGGTATAACAGTAGGTCCTTGAAAGGATCTCGTTCAATGAGGCACTGATTTTGTATAACAAAGTCCTCAAAATCTGGAGGTTCAATCCCATCATTTGCAAGTGTCTGTGAGGAAAGAAAATGCATAATTTAGATGTACATCTGTTCGCAATGTTATCAGGTCAAATTCAAGCAGATGAAGAACTAATACATTTCATACCATGTCTGTATACATAGAACATACACAAAACACAGTCTGACACAACCAAATCAAAATAATTTCAACCTGCTCCAGAGAAACAGATAAGCTGCATATCTGCGTAAATTACGCAACTATTCATGTGAAAACTCAATACAGTACGCTTGAAGTTTTGTAAATGCTCAATAAATGTGATCTTACATGCATACACACAAAAATGTCAAATCTTAGCTTGCTTACTGGTGGTTAGATAAAATAACTAAGGTATACTGAGAGGTTCTATTTCAGGACATGAACTTGACAACTTGCAGTCTTTCTTATCATTTTTTTTATATTACAGATCAAATATAAATAACCAACACTAACATTTAAATATTATTATATTTCTAAAATTAACGAAAAATGGCAAAATACCCAATTGAGTTTGAGTGAGGTGAGTACAACTGATTTGGTTACTCAAAGGAAAATTACTAGGATACCCAATTGAGATGACACAAGCGAGTACATAAGTCAAGGACCAAAACAGTTATCTGTAGTTCTGCTGCTTCTGTTGCTTGTATATCCATTATCAAAAACATTCTACAAAACATCACTAAACTTCTGTTTACTGCATCAGGCATTTAGTTCTGCTTAAGGGGAATTTGGCATTCCATATCAGTATAGCAGGGTCAACATGAGGCAAATATTACCAACACTCTGCTGGGGTGTGGGGTCGTTTATTTCGGTGGATGTGATTGATATATGACACCCCTGTGGGTGGTACAAAGGTGTACACCAATCGGGCACATCACCAGTCTTATGGACGGGGACTTATCTGGTCAATATTACATTGTAGGTCTGTCCATGCTGTCTTTACGTGGCAAGGAGTCAGTGCAGAATGAGTCAAATTGTGCATGGAGTTAGTGAGACCAATCAGCTGAGAAGCGTCATGGCTTGGGCAATTAGTGAAAGAGGCCAAGCTCTAAAGTTTAACCCTTAAAGTGCCTAATAATAACATAGCTAAAAGGAGAGAATGATTAGATTAAAATAATATATTTACACTAAAATACACTTGCTACATAAGCAGCATAAGGATTTCCTCCCAATCCTCCATTGTCACTGGTTAATAATCATGATAATAATGCATTCATATCAAACCAGTACTTAGCATTTCACAAACAAGTATTACGATGCTTAATGGTTTAAAAAATAAATCTGGTACTTGTCAGTTGTAATGACGAAGAGTGCCATATTCATATCATGAAAACTACCCTGAATTTTTATTTGAAACCCAAAAAAGGATGTATTTGACATATCTGACATGTTTCAACACATATCTAATCAAAACAACACATCACTAATTTCTGTCTGAGAAATGATATCAGATAGAAATTAGGCCAAAAAAGATATATGTCGTTTCCTATTACATGCTTTTTAAAAATAGGGTCGGTGGGTCAGCTTTATCTTTTTTATTACTTTTTTGTTTTTGTTTAGTAGCACCAGGTGGGCACCTGAGAATGTCTTCAAGGATACCATATCATGTTGTGACAATGCCTTGTGATGAAACATTGATAGATTTCTATATCAAATCATTATTCATGTTATTTATTTGCAGGTTTTGTCAGTGAGAGCAATCCATTTTAGCCCTACGTACACTGAAAAACATGAAAATATCATACTCGATTTTGATGAAAATGATGAGTTGAAATGCACTCCAGTCATGATTTTGACTTGGTTAAAAAAATTTTTTAGGGTCGGGTGGGTTAGGATAGGGTCGGTCGGGTTACCGGAGACGGACATATTATTTTTTTGGCCTTACAATGCAGTGGTAACATTAATAAAGTGATATTGATAGTGATATGATCATATTTTGTTAGTTGTCAGCTTGAAAATCAGTGTGTCACTGATTGTGTCCACCTGTAAACATCAAGGTAAAACTAAACATTTGGGGTATCCTAATACTAGATATCCCAGTGACAATTAGAATAGCATCAACACTCAACACTAAAAGCCCTCACAATACTTAACACTTATTAAGCATGCACTAACAGATCTCTCAGCAGTATTTAACACAAATGACAATCACTCACCCCTGTTGTTTGCTGAGTGTGGTGGGTGATGAAAGTGCTGCCTGTACTACTATGAGAGTGGGTGGTGCTCTTGGCACTGGAGTTGGAAGGCTCAGGTGCAATAAAGATGGTTGAAGACACCTGTCTGCGCACCTCTGCCGCACCTTGTCTACAACACATACGACAACAGTGAAACCTCTGTAGTTTGAACTGGAAATACTTTAGTTAAATTTTTAAATTAGATCTTTTTCGCTTGTACAATTCCTCTCTGTCATCATTTAACAATCTTAACAAAACGTTTAAATATCTCCAAACAGAATCATAGTTTTGCCCATTTTGACTGGTAGTCTAAACGTGATCCAGCTGATTGTTGTAATGCGTTTTCAGATACTTAATAGCATGACTCATGAAGGTCATGAATATTGACCTTCAGTAACTTCAGTAAATCCAGTGATCAACAGCATGAGCATGGATCTACACAATTGGGATTTGATGACATGTGTTAACCAAGTCAGCGAGCCTGACCACCTGATCCCCATACAGTTGAGACATCAGAATAGCTGAACATCATAATGGTTATTTGTCCCTCACACGTGAAGGTCTGGGTTAGAATATTGATCTTTAGTAACCCATGCTTGTCGTAATAAGAGGCGACTAACGGGATCGGGTGGTAAAACTAAACTCACTCACTCACTCACCACTTAATAACATCCGCTGTTTTCTTGCTCACCCCATGAACAACTTAAAAGCATATCACTACCCTTAAAAAGACACATTATCTTCAACATAAGCCACAATCTGAGTGTTTACATTGTATGTGTGAGACAACACACTTTGTCACTGCGTGAATAAATACTGCGGTCTGAAACATATCATGTCCAAATATATATAATCCAATGATATATTCCATTCATTACCTTACTGCATCATATTTTTCTGACTCCCTCCCTTCTTCCCCACGAAATACATGCAACATCTTTCATGACTCCTTCTCAGTTCTCTCCCCCTCAAAGATACATGACTGGTGTCTAAATACTGTTGTGATACAAAGATGTGACTCCCCTTTCTCTCTGTGTCAGTTGTGACCGCCTCCGTGGTGTAGTGGTTAGAGCGTCCGCCCGGAGAGCGGAAGGTTGCGAGTTCGATCCCCGACCACGACATACCAAAAGACGTTAAAATATAGTATTTGTTGGTCCCTGCCTGTGCTAGTACAAGCAGACGCACATACACATACACACGCATGCACGTCGTCATATGAGCGAAATATTCTCAACAACGACGTTAAACCCAATTTCACCTTACCACAACTGTGTCAGTTGTCCATGAAATCCTCACCACTCAGTATCTTGCTAACCGGGCCCCCCTCTTCAGTAACAAATGACAAGTCTCTAAGTTGGAACCTCCCACACATGATATCACTTCAGACCTACTCACTATGTAAATGTATAGATCTGTAATTGAATCATCAGGCTAAAATCAGTAAGTTCGATCCCTTGTGGTTCAATCATTGGGGTTCTCCTGTCAGATATGTGGAGCACACTTATTTACATGACAGATCTAAGATGTTTACCCCCGGTGGAAAATCTTTGTTTGTGACTCATTTTGATAACACGCTTAACTTTTTAGATAGATGCACGTGGAACGAGACCCTGCTAACTTAAACCTATACAGTTAAGAGGACAAATTTACTGTGTCAAATAACCATTAGTTCTCACTCTTATTGCATACTTACTTGCTTAATTTCTGAGCAAAGGCTCTCTGGCCCGTAGAGGCCATTTTTCCTGTTATGAATGCGTACTACGTCATCGAAATGTGTGTTCTGGGTGCGTTTTACCAAACACTCCTTTCAGCCGTCGTTATCGGGTTCTGCGGTGTATCAGATTTCTTTCGCAGTTTCTGCTATATCACGGCACTGTGATGTTATGGAAATGTATCGCAAACAAATACTGGTACTTATTTTTTTTTAAAAACACCCGCTGGGGTGTCTTTGTGTTTATATGAGCGTTGAAGACAGAACGTGGTTTTCAGTGCTCGGCTGCTTGTCAATGCGACAAAACCTGATTGTCAGGAATATACAAAATCATATTTCCCTTGGCTGTAGGGTTTCATGTTATGGCAAGGCATTTTATATGGCCAATCTTACGTACATCACAACAACAGCACATGTACAGTACAAAACAGGCTACTGATAAGGAACATTATCTTTCCGCCACGTAAAATACTTTAATTTCATTGGTCAATGACGCTAAGTTTCCGTGTCACCCCACCTAGGAATACTGTCGTATGTCGCCTACCGGCTCGGGTAACACTGCTACAAAGAGGCGTACATCAGACCGTATTACCCCCGAGAGAAGCATACAACGTATAATGTCATGCCTTGTTAGGTTGAAGTTATAATGATTTTGTGTGCTACAAATTCGAACATTTATAGAAACAAAAGCGATTCTGGGATCCGAACCCACTCTCGCAGAGCGAGGTACCTAATCGCCTGCACATAAAAGTAGAAACTATGAATGCACAATGTCATTTAAAAAGAGGTTAAATGTTACTTTCTCGGGAAATACAATTTCAAGCAGGGAGAATAGGAGACGTACGTAGATTATCCCTGATTCAAGTAACATTGGGGTGGGGTGGGGGCAGGGGGGTTTAAGTCCCATCAGGAATTCGAACAAACACTCTCAGAGCGAGGCACCAACTCGCCAGTACACTACATGCTAGAATTTACAATTTGCTTAGAAAGTGAAATCCTAAACATACCATTTGTTACACTTGACCACTTTCTAAAGGCGTTGTGTATTCACGTACAAGGTGAATACAGTTCTAAGCCGCTTGTAACAATATTCCAGCCATATCACGGCGACACCGTACCTGGGCTTCACGCATTGTACACATCTAGAGAATGGAACCCGGAACTACCACGTGACGAGCGAACGCTTAAATAACCACTTGTCTACCCAACCGCCCCTAACCATCCCTGCATAAATACAGGACTCTTGGTCATAGGGAGGAAACGACTTGACGTGCAGCAGCACTATGTGTCCATAGAGAGTTGTACACAGCGTTCGAATTAGCTACTGGCCCGCTAGCCAAATACTAGCTGGTTGTGAATCGGGCCAGTAATATACATGTATTGTTAAAATTATCCCGGCTGGCTAGCTGAAAATTTCTGATAATTTGTGCTTTATTTAATGCACATTAATATGATGAAGTCAATTATTAACGTGTTAAAAGTCCGTCCGCAATCGTTTCGTGATATTTATTATCTCTTGTCACACGAAGATCGCTATATATAAAAATGTTGATAGCGTTGCGCATTTTGTTGCATTTTGATACTGATATTTTGCAGGGCCAGTGAAGTATGATGTGGGCTTGCAGCATTAACTATAGGTACTTAACTAATATAGCCCTCCTGGCCAGTGACATTTCAAAATTAATACATACACTAGTTGTACGAGCCTGTAATCACTCGTCGTCGCAGTGTACGTGCGTGCGTTCGTGCCCCATAGGTAGGGTAGCCTAGTGGTTAAAGCGTTCGTTCGTCACGATGAAGACCCGGGTTCGATTCTCCCCTTGGGCATCACTTCTGGTGCCCTATGCACCCACTTCCTGGAAATGGCAGTGTTATATTTGTACAGTGCCTCGGATTTGAAAAATCTGACACAGGGTCATACAAAAAACAGAACGGTGGATGTACAGGACTTAGATGTTATTACATGAAGAACAAACATAGGGTTGAAAACAAAGTAATGTCTATAACATATACATGCATGATTTACATAATCTGACGTTTTCATTCACTATACGTAATGTCTGCCCGTGTTAAGGAAATATCATATTTCAACTTTATAATGGTATTTTATATATATACATCCATTAAGCAATTGTTATCTATCACGGAGTGTCAATTACTAAACTGTACTTTTGTTTTTAATTGAAAACATGTAAATAATATATAAAAAAGGATAATTTCCTTATATAATTTCATCTGATTGATATACAAAAAAGCATAACAGAATGTGTGAATGGTGCTCAAGCGATATCAGGTTGATTAAAGTTGTCTAAACTGAATAAAGTCTGTTTTAGAAGTTCTATTCTAAAAATCATAGAATAAGTACATAACGGCGGCCATCTTGGAAATGGCTCCCAAAATCATATTCAGCCGAGCATCCGAAATGTCCATCATAGTCATACAGTTGAGTGAGTGAGTTTAGTTTTACGTCGCACTCAGCATAATTTCAGCTATATGGCAGCGGTCTGTAAATAGTCGAGTCTTGGTCAGACAATCCAGTGATCAACAGCATGAGCATGGATCTACGCAATTGGGATTTGATGACATGTGTTAACCAAGTCAGCGAGCCTGACCACCTGATCCCTATACAGTTGAGACATCAGAATAGCTGAACATCATAATGGTTATTTGTCCCTCACACGTGAAGGTCCAGGTTAGAATATTGATCTTCAGTAACCCATGCTTGTCGTAAGAGGCGACTAACGGGATCGGGTGGTCAGGCTCGCTGACTTGGTTGACACATGCCATCGGTTCCCCATTGCGCAGATCAATGCTCATGCAGCTGATCACTGGATTGTCTGGTCCAGACTCGATTATTTACAGACTGACGCCATATAGCTGGAATATTGCTGAGTGCGACGTAAAACTAAACTCACTCACCACTTAATAACATCTACTGTTTTCTTGCTCACCCAATGAACAACTTAGTCTGGTCCAGACTCGATTATTTACAGACTGACGCCATATAGCTGGAATATTGCTGGTTGCGGCGTAAAAATAAACTCACTCACTATTTCAAGAGATGTCGTCACTGATGTCGCTGCTTTCATGTTCGTATTTGCTCTACGATAAAAGGGCGGCTGAGTAGCCTAGTGGTTAAAGCGTTGGCTCGTCACGCCGAAGACCCGGGTTCGAATCCCCACATGGGTACAATGTGTGAAGCCCATTTCTGGTGTCCCCCGCCGTGATGTTGCTGGAATATTGCTAAAAGCGGCGTAAAACCAAACTCAGTCAGTCAGTCTACGATAAACGCAGTCGTTCATTTCGATAAAAGAAACCCCTGCACCCATTGCGTCATCGCTGTCTTTGTTGAAACATGCCATTGTATTACAATTGCGTAACTCGGTGCTCATGTAGTTGATCACTGGATTGTCACACCGCCGCCATATAGCTGGAGTGAGTTTGGTTTTGCGCCACTTTTAGCAATATTCCAGCAATATCACGGCGGGGGACACAAGAAATGGGCTTCACACATTGTACCCATGTGTGAAATCGACCCGGGTCTTCGGCGTGACGAGCGAACGCTTTAACCACTAGACTACCCCACCGCCCCCCATAAAGCTGGAACATCGCTGTGTGCGGCGTTAAACACCAAACCAAACCAAATCTTAGTCAAGTGTTATTCGTCAGAGCAGTCTTTCTGCCACACACGCCATTATATATAGGTACTTCCTCTCAACCGGAGGCACTTCAGCCATGATGTCAAAATTTGGGATGAAGAAATGGTCCATCGGCAGCTCTCCAGTTAACATCTTCTTCAGCTTGACAATGCTCAGTTTCAGCCTGTTAACCAAACTATCATTCCCCCACATATGGTCCCCCAGCGTAGCCACATAGAACTCGTTCCACATCAGGGTTCGTAGCTGGAACGTGGTGAACTTATGTTTGGCCACACAATACCCATGTTCCCGGGTGTATTGGGCAGCACGACGAAGTTCTGAAGCGATCTCTTTGCCCTGAGTAGCAAGACTCTCGTCCATTCTAGCAGAGTCCTCGTCGTCCTTTGCAATCTCCAGTATCCTCTTCAGGATCCGTAGCACTTTCTTCCTACACGTCCGCTCAGTGCTTCCAGCACATTCGTCATTTTCGTCCAGGTCAGCATGTTTCGTAATTGTCTTTTCACTTGCTGAAAATGAAAGACGCCAAAGAAGATCCCTGTCTTTAGCATCGGCTGTGAACAGATATGTCTTCAGTAAATAACTTTGACATGGCAAATACATGACATATTTTGGCACTTGAACACCCACCCCCCTCCACCCCCCCACAATACCATTGTCAAATGCCGTGTTTGTCATATGTGAAATACTTTTCCCGTGAGATACTCTTTCTCCTTAAAGGGGCGGTGGGGTAGCCTAGTGGTTAAAGCGTTGGCTCGTCACGCCGAAGACCCGGGTTCGATTCCCCACATGGGCACAATATGTTAAGCCCATTTCTGGTGTCCCCCCGCCGTGATATTGCTGGAATATTGCTAAAAGCGGCGTAAAACTAAACTCAGTCAGTCAGTCAGTCTTTCTCCTTAAAACCACAAACTGCTTGAATCTTTGAAGAGCATTTAGGAGTAGAATACACAGGGACCTGAAGGAGCAAGCATGCACTCCGAAACATCATGTAATTCACAATAGAGAAGTTGACATCCCTAAATCAAGCTGCTTGGTGATAGTTTACAAACAACATTGTGTTTTAGTGAGTGAGTGGGTTTAGTTTTAGCCTGTTTTTAACAATATTCCGGCAGTATCATATAGAGGGTGTGACACATTGTACCCATGTGGGAAATCGAACACAGGTTTTCGTCGTGAAGAGCGAACGCTTTATCCACTAGGCTACCCCACCGCCCCTCCTTGTTTTTGAATTACCAAAGTACAGCTAAGACTGAAAGTAATCGGAGTCCACAAAACATCTTATCAGATAGGCTAATAACTAATATACGTTGATATATCCATATTTCATATGTGTGCAAAACAGACGCAAACTTTCAAACATCCCCCTCAATGTACACACATATATAGTAAGAATACCTCACGCAACGAAACCATATAATACAAGATGTAATTGTGTTTTGGGCAAATGGTTAATATTGTTTAACTGATACCAAGGTGAACAAAATTATTGGCGTCTGTTAATAGACAAATCAGTTTCTTGAACTATCCCAACTGCCAAATTTATTTGAAAATGAAAACGCCGCACTCAGCAATTTTTCAGCTGCAATGACGACTATCTGTAAATATTCGAGTCTGAACCAGACAATCTAGTGATTGACATAATCGATTTTAACAATTAAGATACGATTACATGTGTCATCCAATTCAGCGAGGCAGACCACCCGATCGCGTTAGTCGCCTCTTACGACAAGCATGGGTTGCTGAAGACCCATTGTGACCAGGATCCTCACGGGTGAAGTTGAAAATGTCGAAAACATATTTGCAGTACCTATGTCACACTCCTTAGCTACAACAAGGAACCCTTTCTTTGATATGTCCTTCAGTTGTCTCTGCGTACAGCCGCTGAAGTCTCCAGCGGTGTCTGGCCATCCAGGGAAGTAGAGAGCAGGAACCAGGTCAATGGAGATGACGAAGTTGCTATCGCCGTCTTTTAGACCAGTGTCGTAGTTAATCCCGAATGAAGGAGACCCAGGTTCCTGGGTAGTGTCCCCTACAACAGAGAATGGTAAGCATGGCTAGGAGCACTTCCCTTTCTGAAAGGTATTGTTTCATTCGAAAGTGCAGTGATGTTGAGTGGGTTTAACCTTTACGCCGCCTTTAACAATATGTCACAGAGGGAGGGGCACCAGAAATGGGCTTCACACATTGTACCCATGTGGAGAATCGAACCCGGGTCTTCGGCGTGAACCACTAGGCTACCCTACCGCTCTGCATGTGAAGAAATAACTTCTTTGATGGGCAGTTTTAGAAAATGAGGTGATGAAGAATGATGATAATTTTATGGATATACAACTTCTTCATTCTTGACAACGACATTAGAATCTATTTACAAATTGCCTGATTTTACACATTGACTAACATATCCATAAAATTATCATCATTCTTCGTGAAGAAATAAGTTTAAATATGAGGAAAAGAAAGTAATATCCGTAATGTTTTATGCGTTTGCTTCACAATAATACGTGTTTAGTATCATTGATCACGGCGGGGGACACCAGAAATGGGCTTCACATTGTACATATGTGGAGAATCGACCCCGGGTCTTCGGCATCAACCACTAGGCTACCCTGCCGCCCTGTTGAATATGTGAAGATATTTAAGTTTAAAATATGGGGACACGAAACTTTTAAAGTAATATCCATTATGTTTAATGCGTCTGCTTCACAGTAACCCGTATTTATTATCATTGATTTAAATGATTCCTTTTCTTATTTTCTGACTTACTCGTTATTGGTCTGACCAGCATGTCTTCAAGACAACTGAAAATATATTGTCTGAATTTGGTGGAACTGAGGAAGTCTTCCTGACAAAAGTTGGTTAAGTCTTCCTGCGGCTGTGTGACTTTCACATAACAGAAGCCAACAGGGGCTCCCCGCGTAGACACTTCAAGGCTCTGGAGCTTTGCCACAAACATACAATCCATCTCATCAGGGCAAGATACCTGAAGCATAAAGAAACAATGAGTGAGTGAGTAGTGAGTGAGTGAGTTTAGTTTTACGCCGCACTCAGCAATAAAAGTGTAAGTACTTGTTTGTAAAGAGATGTGCTTTTGGAAGTGTCCTGTTTAACGCCACCGTTAACAATATGTATGACTATGTTATCGGCATATAAATTTGCACATCATATATTATAATCATAATAATCTGGACCAGGCAGAACACTTAAGGCATAATCACTTATTCACTGACAGTGACAGGATCTGACCAACCAATCCGATTTTCAGGCAGCTTCAGCAAGGGCATGAGCTACGATGGAATCATTTTGATTGTCCAGAGGAGACAAGAACGAATGTACGTAGCAGAGTGAAGTGATTTTGTATACTATCAAAAATAGTGTTCCACAACCCCAAAAACGAAATGATCATCTGACTACTAACTACCAGTTGGCGATGACATGTCTGTACATTCATTTTGATCTGAAGCAAGACTTTGAACCTTCAAAAGTTCACTTAAACATTGATACCATACTTTACGGAAACCCTGCTCTGCCAAATACTATCAATGAAAATATCTTTAGACATGTGCATAAATACATCGTACGAAGTAAGCGCTTCGATAAATGAATAATATGTCTTAATATTATTATGTCCATTCATTACGTCCATTCATTATTGTTCATGTTTCTGATTGGAGCGGGCGGTAATAAGTTACATAACTTGTACCCAATCCATTTCAACATAGAATAGATTCTGAATACAATGTATGTTCAAACAAATAATTCATTTCACAGTATACTATTGTGATCAGCTTACCTTGGTTCCATCATAGTAAGAGCCGGACTTCAGGTCTCCCCAACGCCATGACGTCTTTGCCTCCAAGTGACAGACCACTTTCTGGACTAAAGAGTTGAACATTTCCCGAGCAGTTGCTATCTGATGCTTTCGCAGCTGAACCTGTTTTCCAAAGAATTCACCGATATTTCTTGTATTCTTGGTACTTATTATTTTCTTCTCAAAAATATCATTTGCAAATTGTTCCAGTTCTTCTTTATCTGTGGATGACAGAACAGGTTTCTGTCCATTGTATGTCATTTCTGTGAGACGCTTTGATTCATCATCAATATATCGACATGTTTCCCCTGTGTTGGAACACCCATCACTGTTTTGAAATTTCTTCGAATCTCGGCTTTCTTCCTCCTTATCGTCATCTTGTTCCTGTTTTACAGATGTAACTTTTGTTTTGGCTGAGATCATCGCATCACCTCTCTTTTGACATTTGACATGATTTGCCAACGATGCATATTTTCTGTGACAATGATGGCACGTTTTCTTGGGATCTCGGATTTCTTCTTCCTCATCCTTATCTTTTGCCATATGTATTTTTTTCCTTACAGTTGACATCGGAGCAGTTCTTCGTTTCACACACTTTGTCTAATGGAATCAACCTGACATTAACTGCTTACTTGTTTGACAGAAGTGCTGTTCAAATGGTTTGTTGTTTTGTTTTAATTGTTTCAGCATGAGATTTTTTTTGCGCTGCTTGTTGTCATAAATATAACGCCTCCAGGTAGATATCCTATCTGAAAAGAAATAATTTCCAATATGTCACGTGGAATTATGTAAATATGCCTGAAAATATTTTTGTTACCCTGACTTTAACAAAGGATTTTGTTTTGCCTGTTGGCTGAAGCGTTCGCTTGTCACGCCGAGTTCGATTGTGTACAGTATGCAAAGCCCATATTTTCACCCCGCCGTGATGTGAAATAAAAGCGCGTATGTCTTCATGTTAGACCAGACTAAGTCGGGTTACTCGTGCAAGCCTTTCGGGATACCACGCCTCCGTTGAACATGCGATGCTGCAGCTAAAGCAGCTCTTGACAAGCCCTTATCTCCACTGCTGATCCCGTACAGTGAATGGTTATACCTACTTGGGTTGTCAGTCAAGACGTGATGAGGTAATTTTACGACGATGTCGTATTGGCCACAGCCGATTTACTCATGACTATCTGCTGAAAACGGATGGGGATGGACCCCCCATGTGTGTCTCTTGCGATGAGGTTTTCACCATCAAGCATATTCTGCTTGAATGCGTGGACTTATCGTCTGCAAGGGACTTACATTATGATGCAACAAACCTGAAAGATCTGTTCTCCCGCGTGAGCGCTCATCTGATAGTGAACTACCTGAGGGAAGTTGAACTGTATCATAAATTGTAACTGTGAAATGTCACTAACAAATTGCCTGCCTTTAAATTTGATGCTATTACTTTTTCTGCTTTTAAATGACAATGTAGTGAATATATGTTTTTGAAATAAAACTCATACCGAGTATGTACTTACAATGTTTATTAATGCAAACTTGTTCTCGTCACTATATGGCTGGAATAATGCCGATGTGACGCAAAACCCAACTCAACTCAACTCAACTCCGCTGAACATGGTGACCCCACTGAAAGACCGTACACTGTATCCGAGACTACAACCGCACAACCCGTCTCTTTATCCAGCGCCGGTTGGGGTAACACGACACCACACTCGTGTGAGTGAGTGAGTTTAGTTTTACGCCGCTTATAGCAATATTCCAACTACATCACGGCGGGGGACACCAGAAATGGGCTTCTTACATTGTACCCATATGGGGAATCGTACCCGGTTCTTGACGAGCAAACGCTTTAATCACTATATAGTCTACCCCACCACACCGGAGATACTATAGTTATCTGCTGGACCGCATCGCTATAGACGATTGAAGAACATGTCACACGACTTAAAGTAACATGTTATGCTTGCCCATTAGGCGTGGAGATCAGCGCTATACAAATGCCCTGATTATGTTTTACAGATTAAAGATAGTATGCAGCAGAGAGGGTTCGGGTGATCCTGGCACAGTCAGGCTGGTAAGGCTCATCATCAGCTCAGGGCCCTTGCCCCCTTTACACGCAGCCCAGACAGCGAATGGGACTTCTACCAGGAAAAACTGCTTAGTTGAACCCTCTAAGAATTTCCGGAAAATATATATCACTATTATTATTATGACATGAATTATTTGAAGCGTGCATTAATAATTCCACCGTTCCTGCCTATCTTTACAATCAGACACATTTGTTTTAATTTTCACAAATAAACCTTCAACAAATAAACTTGCATACTAACAGGCAATTTAGAAATACGAATTATACTACCCATCAAAAGTTTAGACTCACTTAAAGAACTCACTATATGTTATGTATATACAGTGGAAACCTGATAAGTAAAATGTCAAGGGACTCGCCAAAAATTGTTTACTTATCAGGTATTTTACTTATCCAAACTTATAAAAACCTGCAAATGACAACCATATGCATGTATATGTATGCATATGTAACAATGAACAACTTATCAGGGCTGGCCTCCAGTTGTCAGTGTATTGTCAACTGTCATGACGCCAGCGAGCTGTAAACAGGATGTTTGTTTGACTGGAGACTGACACGACTGCCCCTCATGTCGGATTATGTGGTGATCGCTAATTTAGTTATCCAGTCTCTTTTGTTAAGTAATTTACTTCCAGGGACCGTGAGAAGACGTTTAGTTAAGCGGTATTGTTTACTTATCCGAGTTTAGTTAACCAGACCCTAATAGTGATAATTAATGTATGTATGTATATATTTGGTTACATCGAAGATGAATTTCTCTACAACTTGGGGGAACCAACTGCAAACCTTGTGCAGATGGGTTGCAAGAGGATCACGCATCAAATTGCTGAAAAGCATGTGCAAATATCGCGCATGTGAACAGCTGCGTTTTGGTGTTGAGTTTTGTAAAGAATTCGCCAATTTTCACCGCGTTTCACCATTTATTAAACTCATGACTATAATATTTTCAGCGTTACGAATTTGTTTTACAATACATCATTTCCTCTGTAAACAGTACCTTTAAAAGTATGGAATATGTTGCAAAATCTAGTTTAGAGCAGTTGACTGAAGTGGCTTCATTTACACTAAGTATCGATTGGTAGTATATATCACTTGCTTAAGGCCAGGTATTTTAAAAATCAATTCGTTCGTTACAGATAGTAATCAATCTTTCAGATCTACCATACATGTTCAAGTAAAATTTGAATGCTCACTGTGTTGTGGTCCCCTGATAAACTCCTTGCAGGTGCTGTGTGTTCCGAGACCAGTGTAGAGTTGTCGCTGTTTATGTACTGGATGTACTGTATGTTAGCGCATCATTTGAATGCAGTAGACTGACCTACATGATACTGCATGCTGGGTTAAAAAAGCGCTGACTCAAACTTTGGAAGAGTATTTTCCTCTGAACCACTATGTATTGCTCGTTCCAGCTCAAGCAGAACATACAAAACATGCTTTATGTGTTCTGTCTAAAGGGATGGATGACTGCAGGTACGCTTTGTGTCTATAGTGATGTATGCCTGCAGTGTACTTGCAGTACTGTGACCTATACAATGATGATGATAATAGTAATAATTATAATAATAATAATATCTTTACTTTACTTTACTTTTTTTGTTTTTCTTTAAATTCTTTGAGCTTTCTGCTCAACAGAGAGGAGGGTTACCATCCCGGACCTCCTCAGCACAGATCCCCAAGACCGCTTACTTATCTCCTTTACATGGATGACATCGAGCTCCTTGCCAAAGGAGATTCCAATTTGAAAATGCAGGTTCTCCTTGTCGAGTCCTTTTCTAATGATATTGGCGTGACATTTGGGCTCGACAAATGTAATACTCTTCATTTGAAACGTGGCAAGGTAACTAATGATGGATCGGCCAAGTTACAGGGGGGAGGAGTTATTGAGCATCTTATGGAAGATCAGGCCTACACCTATCTTGGAATGCAAGTTCGAGACAAGCTCCAAAATGCCCAGATTCAAGATAAACTTCGGGCCCAGTATAAATCTCGCTTAAAGAAAATCTGGAGCTCAGAGCTAAATGCTCGAAACAAGGTCAAAGCCACCAATACTTTTGCTGTGCCAGTCCTTTCCTATTCCTTTGGAGTAGTTGATTGGACAAAACAAGACATCCAGAGTCTTGACCGTCTGACCAGAAGGATCATGTCTGATAACAGAGTCCACCACCCTCGTTCCTCTCTTAACCGTTTATACATACCAATCAATTCTGGAGGTCGGGGTTTGATTAATTTATTATTGTGCTCTTTTGCACATATTTATTTATCGGATGATCCTCTGGTGATGCATGTGAAGACTCATGATGAAAGCAAGGAATTCCACAGCTATTTTAAGCGTGCCAAGGTTGTTAGACAGAATCTGAGATTTGAGGTTGATTTTGTTGATGGCGATGTACTGCTGGACGGTACAGTGATGGGAGTAAACCAGGTGAAGTCCTTCACCAAGTCTGCCCAGAGTCGGTCATTTGTGGAGAAGCTTTCTGAGAAGCCATTGCATCGTGTGTACATGCAGTGTGTTGAACAGAATAGCAAACCCACCGACTCCTTCGCCTGGATGAAGTCGGCTGGTCTTAACTGTGAAACTGATTGCTTCCTTTTGGCTGCTCAGGACCAGTCACTTCCCACTGGCAATCGCCTAAATGTGACTCTTAAAGAAAATATAAACATGAAATGCCGACTGTGTAATGAATTTACAGAGACTGTCCAACACCTTGTCAGTGGATGCCCTTCTTTGGCACAAACAGCATATCTTAAACGACATGATGGTATGGCTCGTTGCTTTTACTACCGTCTCCGACATGCCTGTGGCTTTGACTCCGAGGTCTATCCATGGTACGACCCTGAACATGTCCAGGGCGTCATGAAAAATGATGCTTTCAAACTTCTGTGGAACAGGCCCATATACAGCCTCAGAAGAATTCCAGCTAACAAACCTGACCTTGTCCTTTTTGATAAAGCCAATGAATTTATTTATATCTTTGAATTTTCTGTCCCTTTTGACAGCAATGTGATTGGCAAGATTCAGGAAAAGCATGATAAATATGCGGACCTCGCCTTTGAAATGTCTCGCTTGCATCCCAAGTACACTGTCGTCAGGCTCCCCATTGTTCTCGGTGCCCTTGGTTTGGTACCTCCTGATCTCTTGGCGCAGATCAGGAGAGTGCCCGGGTTCTCCACCGGGAGCACAGCCCTTCTGACACTCTGGGTAATGCAGAAGGCTGCAGTGTGTTGGGAAGCCTTCATATTCTCCGGAAAGTTCTTGGTGGGTTCGACTAGGCAGTGTTTCCTGTAAGAAATCCCATTCGCTGTCTGGGCTGCGTGTAGAGGGGGCGAGGGCCCTGATCTGATGACGAGCCTTACCAGCCTGACTGTGCCAGGATCACCCGAACCCTCTCTGCTGCATTTTCATCTTTAATCTGTAAAACATAATAATGAGTGTATTTTTATAGCGCTAAATACTCCAAGTGTCTGCTCCAAGCACTTGCACAGCACATTATTACCCCGGATAACCCAAGCAGCCTGTGAGGCGCTAGAAGGTTATAGTCACATGACTTATCCCACCGGGTACCCATTTTCTGGTGAACAGAGGCATGTTTGAACAAACTCACTTACCTAAGGTGAGACCACATGTATCACACGTGTTTCGTTGTGGGGCAGGACTGAAGTCCTAGAAACTCTCAGGAGTAAAGCTGCAGAACACGGTCACCAATCTAAGGACTCGCCGCGCCCAACGTTGCTTAACGGGACCACATGCCACCACATGTACCCGTGAGTATCACGGTTAGAATTGGCCTTCAGTAACCCGTGCTTGTCGTACGAGGCGACTAACGGGTTTTGGGTGGTCAGGCCCGTTGACTTGGTTGAAAACATGTCATCGTATCCCAGTTGCGTAGATCGATGTTCATGCTATTGATCACTGGATTTTCTGGTCAAGACTCGATTATTTACAGACTGCCGTCATATATTTGGAATACTGCTGAGTGCGGCGTTAAACAACAAACAAACCGTCCTACAGCTATGTGTTGTGTCTACAGTGATATATGCCTACATTGTACCACAGTACCCTTCCTACAGGTATGTGTTGTGTCTACAGTGATATATGCCTACAGTGTACCATCAGTACCCTTCCTACAGGTATGTGTTGTGTCTACAGTGATATATGCCAACAGCATACCATCAGTACCCTTCCTACAGGTATGTGTTGTGTCTACAGTGATATATGCCAACAGCATACCATCAGTACCCTTCCTACAGGTATATCTTGAGTCTACAGTGATATATGCAAACAGCATACCATCAGTACCCTTCCTACAGGTATGTGTTGTGTCTACAGTGATATATGCCTACAGTGTACCATCAGTACCCTTCCTACAGGTATGTGTTGTGTTTACAGTGATATATGCCAACAGCATACCATCAGTACCCTTCCTACAGGTATATCTTGTGTCTACAGTGATATATGCCAACAGCATACCATCAGTACCCTTCCTACAGGTATGTGTTGTGTCTACAGTGATATATGCCAACAGCATACCATCAGTACCCTTCCTACAGGTATGTGTTGTGTCTACAGTGATATATGCCAACAGCATACCATCAGTACCCTTCCTACAGGTATGTGTTGTCTCTACAGTGATATATGCCAACAGCATACCATCAGTACCCTTCCTACAGGTATGTGTTGTGTTTACAGTGATATATGCCAACAGCATACCATCAGTACCCTTTCTACAGGTATGTGTTGTGTCTACAGTGATATATGCCAACAGCATACCATCAGTACCCGTCCTACAGTTGTATGTTGTACTTACAGTGGTATATGCCTACAGTGTACCATCAGTACCCTTCCTACAGGTATGTGTTGTGTCTACAGTGATATATGCCAACAGCATACCATCAGTACCCTTCCTACAGGTATGTGTTGTGTCTACAGTGATATATGCCTACAGTGTACCATCAGTACCCTTCCTACAGGTATGTGTTGTGTCTACAGTGGTACATGTATATGCCTACAGTGTACCGTCACTACCCTTCCTACAGGTATGTGTTGTATCTACAGTTACATATGCCTACAGTGTACCATCAGTACCCTTCCTACAGGTATGTGTTGTGTCTACAGTTACATATGCCTACAGTGTACCATCAGTACCCTTCCTACAGGTATGTGTTGTGTCTACAGTGATATATGCCAACAGCATACCATCAGTACCCTTCCTACAGGTATGTGTTGTGTCTACAGTGATATATGCCAACAGCATACCATCAGTACCCTTCCTACAGGTATGTGTTGTGTCTACAGTGGTATATGCCAACAGTATACCATCAGTACCCTTCCTACAGGTATGTGTTGTGTGTACAGTGATATATGCCAACAGCATACCATCAGTACCCTTCCTACAGGTGTATGTTGTGTTTACTGTGATATATGACTACAGTGTACCACAGTACCTTTCCTACAGGTATGTGTTGTGTCTACAGTGGTATATGCCAACAGCATACCATCAGTACCCTTCCTACAGGTATGTGTTGTGTCTACAGTGATATATGCCAACATCATACCATCGGTAACCTTCCTACAGGTATGTGTTGTGTCTACAGTTACATATGCCTACAGTGTACCATCGGTACCCTTCCTACAGGTATGTGTTGTGTCTACAGGGATATTTGCCCACAGTGTACCGTCACTACCCTTCCTACAGGTATGTGTTGTGTCTACAGTGGTACATGTATATGCCTACAGTGTACCGTCACTACCCTTCCTACAGGTATGTGTTGTGTCTACAGTGGTATATGCCTACAGTGTACCGTCACTACCCTTCCTACAGGTATGTGTTGTGTCTACAGTGGTATATGCCTACAGTGTACCGTCACTACCCTTCCTACAGGTATGTGTTGTGTCTACAGTTACATATGCCTACAGTGTACCATCAGTACCCTTCCTACAGGTATGTGTTGTGTCTACAGCGATATATGCCAACAGCATACCATCAGTACCCTTCCTACAGGTATGTGTTGTGTCTACAGTGATATATGCCAACATCATACCATCGGTACCCTTCCTACAGGTATGTGTTGTGTCTACAGTGATATATGCCAACATCATACCATCGGTAACCTTCCTACAGGTATGTGTTGTGTCTACAGTTACATATGCCTACAGTGTACCATCGGTACCCTTCCTACAGGTATGTGTTGTGTCTACAGGGATATTTGCCCACAGTGTACCGCCACTACCCTTCCTACAGGTATGTGTTGTGTCTACAGTGGTACATGTATATGCCTACAGTGTACCGTCACTACCCTTCCTACAGGTATGTGCTTGGTCTACAGTGGTATATGC